AGGCCGCAACTTGTTTTTACTTTTGTTACTAAAGCATATTAAGATTTAATGTTAAAGGACACCGGAATAGCTTCGGACACATGATGCATGTTGTGATGTTTGTTTCGGCAATTTTTAACAAACTTCACAAACATTTTTCATTCCTTCCTGCTGTTAGTTTGACAATTGAAAGCATTTAAAGATATCTTTGTTTGAAAATATCTTTTATAAAATGATCAAAGCCTATCAACATTAAGGAATTGTATCGTTAATGGTGTTAAGTTTTATTTCAATGAATTAATAGTCGACAAACAATATATGAAGAGAGAAAAGTCGTAAATGAATAATTTTCTTATTTATAATTGTTCGTTATGAGTTTGCAGCAATCATTCATTTTTCCACTTGAATTAATTATTCAATGCAGTTTTCCTTAAACAAAATTTAAATTTTCTCGAATAATCATCGAAAATAACATCAAAAAATCATCCGCTTTGACCGTCATAAGTATCAAGAGTTTCTGGTATTTTTATGATGACCAATTTAAAGAAATTTTAGCGCTTGAATGATGGACTAAAAGCTACTGGCATTATGATTTAAAAATCACAAAAAACTGCTTGCTGTAAGATTTCAAAAGAAATCGATAGAGAGAAGAAAGAGAAAAAAAATTTATGATTGTTCCATCATAATGGTGCTAAGTGACCAAACTTGATTTTTTATTGCTCTCGCAATCGCTTACACATCGAGAAACATGCAATAAAAATTTCTTTCCGACTCCTTTGAGTGATTCCGCTAATGAACGTGATTATTGATGAAGATGTTGATGAACATTAAGCCATTTACTACCGAATGATTTCACAGATATTTATTTTCTTTTTCATGTTTAGGTTTGGTTTCAAAATCGTCGTATGAAGGATAAACGTCAACGAATTGCTATTGCATGGCCTTATGCAGCAATTTACTCCGATCCAACGATGGCCGCTTCAATTCTTCAAGCATGCGCAAATTCAGTTGGAATGGCTCCATATGGTGCATACGGACATGCACAATTAATCCCACAAATGCCAGTTATGTCACCCCAAATGCCATCAAATCATTTCTCTTATTCACCTTATCGTTATGCGCCGTATCCAATCCCACCACCTGGTGGAGCCGCTCAAAGAACACCAGGAACAACAGCATCACAATATCCACTTCTTAATGGAAGTCTCACAGGAACAAATCAAATGAATTACGGCCCATTGACAATTCCAAAGCCACAATGTACACCACCACATGAAATTCTTCAAAGTCCAACATCGCAACATTCAAATCTTTCACTTTCGCCAGGTTCTGATAAAGAACATCATCATACAAATAGCAAATTTGAGTTGAGTTCATCAAGTAACGACAACAGTCCCGTCAAATCGTTATCATCAACACCTCAAGGTCTGCTTATGACTGCCCCACAATCTTCCCCTTCCCAAACCATTCTTCCTGTGACACCAGAGAAACCAAAACTTTTTAAACCTTACAAGTCAGAGGCGTAATAAAAGTTTTTGTTTCTTCCGTCTCAGTAGAGTTATTGGATCTCATAATAAGAACTTCACTGTTAGGAAGAATTCCATAATACCTTGAAACGGTCTGCAAATACGTTTATCTGAGGATATTAATCCAATGATGATATTTCTGCAAAAGGCAAAGATATTCATAACATATGAAATATGCGATGGAAACTCATTTAAAAGAAATGAGAGCATAATTCTGATCGAACTTGGAAAAGTTTCGCTAATAAGTTTACGTACTTGTAGACCCTTTCCAAGTAATGTGGATGATCCCATAAAGCTTTCTCCTCTGTTCTACCTAGTGCAAAATATGTTAGAGGATCTAAAACCAGATCAAGAACTTCTGCCACGTCTTCTTCTGCCTTAAGTAAATCACCAGTTTTCATTTCTCATGAAAGTATTAAATGATTTAAAGGAACGTCGAATCTGAAAAAAGTTTCGAATTCTTTCCTCGAATGAAGTAGAAGAAGAATAAAAAGTTAAAATAACGAGAGACTTGTGTATATATTTATGTAAAAAAATAATTTAATTAATCTTTAGTTAATAATTTTAAACTTAGGAAGCTTAAATGTATATGTGTGAATTTAATTATAAGTTATAAGCAAATAATAATTAGTTGATTGAGTCAATAAATGCATAAGAATACGTATGCTGGTTATGTTTTATAAATAATGAACATGAAACAAACTTTCTTCTCTTTTATTGTGTTACATTTCTAAGTTTCAGGATGAAGAACAAAAGGAATTAAATTAAATTATGCATAATTAATCGTAAACATTCTTTGTGATGGTTGAAGAGAGACGAGCTGATGGAAATTGATTGTGTTGAAAGAATAATCTCTTCATTGTACCCTAGAAAATGGATTCAATTGCTGGTTTATTTGGCATTTATTCATGAGGCTGAAAATAGAAACACCTGAGACTTCATGAGGCGGATTTTCATTCATTTTCCATTCCACCCTCTCGAATGAAATAAAATGTGATAACAAAAGAAGATCCAAAGCGTTCATTCGTTTTATCATCGCATGATAAAAACCTATCAAGATGAAAAATGATGTTGAAACACAATTATAACCATCTTGATAAACTGCTTTGGATACAAATTGTTGGATAATAAACCAGATGATGTAGAATAATTCTCATTGGCGAGTAAAAAATAAATTTTCTCGTAAATTTTTCAATTCATGCTTCGAGAAAACTTTTTCCACCATTTCAACATGAATGGATTTTCAGAAAACCTTTTTCCCGGTAATAAATTCATGCAATTAGGATTCGTTTATTTTGTCGGATTCTTCTTTAGATATTTTTTGATTTTCTTGGGCTTCGTTCAACGATGTGTACATTGAGATTAAGGGAATATTTGAACCTTTTAGTGTCTTCAGGCTTTTCGTTGTTGAATGTTCATTTATTTATGTGGACAATTTGTCACTAAACATCCTGTTAATAACATCGAAGCATAGAAATCTAACTGCAATATGTTGACAATGTGATAAAGTTTCTAATAAGTTACGAACAGAATTATGTGCGATTATTAGCTTTAACAATAATCCAGCTTCATTTGCCAAATAAGTCTCGAAGAATTGTTTTGTTGGATGAAAATGAAAATTGAATCTTGGCACAGAAAATGAAACTTTGTTCGAATTCATCCTACATAATCTGAGGAAAATTAATTTTCAGGCGTATGATGTAGTTAATTTGTGAGTTCAAGTGATTAATTGTTAATTCTCGTGTATCTGATGACAAAGTTCTTGCAAACATTTGCTTCGTGGATTTTACGATGCTTAATATTGTCTCGCTCCGTGTTATTGTTCTGCTAATTCTCTAGAGATATTTTCAGTGTCATCACCTTCATAATTTTCTTGTTTATTAAAACTCCTGCTGTGACTTGCTAATCTGATTATTATCAATTCCAGAAAAAAGGGGTTGACGTGTCCGTTTGACGTTGATGCAGGCATATGGTTGAATTTTTTAACTATTTATCTTCCACTTCTTCATGTTTTTATTACATAAATAATTGTTCTGTTCAGTTTATATCAATTATTTCATGAATACATGAGATTATGTTGTAAATCGTTTAATACTTCAATTGACTCGGTGCATAAATATTTTGATTTGTGCAGATATAAAAAAGTCATTCGAAGGGGTTCATTCTTGCTGACGTTGTTCACTTTGCGTCATGGTTCATAAATATAAAATAAAGTGCAACAATTTTTCAGATACGGATTATTAAGAGGGTGGAAAACCAGTTGACAAAAAGATTTACAAAATTTATGTTTATCTTCCTATAATTTATTTCTTTAACAATAATTAACCTTCTGTAATAAATTAATTGTAAGCAAAAATATTTCTCGTTTTCAAGTTGTTATTTTCAAGTTTATTTGAACTAATTTGTCGTTCACATAAGACTCCTAATTGTAGTGATTCGAATGCAATGTTATTAGCAAGAATTCTTGTGCGTGTGTTTTTTAAACTTAACAAAACACAAAAAGGTAAAAAAGACTACGAAACCAATTATGAAGTTTTCATCCGACTAAAATAATTATCACATAAAAATTAATTAACACCTATAATTGTGAAGAATATTCGACAAGAAGAAAAATTCGTTTGTTTCTTTCAATCGCATTTGCTGACATAACAATCCTATTACCATCGAGCCTAAAGTTAATAATAACAAATTAATATTCGATACTTTACAACAAAAGATTGTTTTGTTAACTGTTAGATTTTGAACGATGATTACAAAAGAAATGGATTTGAATTTGCTTTTTAATTTTCCAACTTGTCAGACTTGTTTCTTCGTTAAATGCAATCAAGTAACAAAGGAAACAAAACTTGTCTGGCTCATGTTATTTCGATAATTACAAGAGCCACATTGCTGATTTCTTATGATTCTCATGCGATGATGGAACAAAGACAAATCATGATAATGCGAACTAAATCGAATATTAAGATGAAATTGTCACGATTTGCAGTTGTTAGCTATGGACATGTCATAAGTTCCATTACTTCATCTGATAAGCATTTATTTATGCTTCGAGAAAATGAATGCCTTTCATATCATGCGAGAAATGTATGAAAATTATTTCTGCTTTTATTTCCGAGCATTTTCATTATTTTTGTATGCTACGCTCATTTCTCTTATCTCTCAATGATCACTCGTGGGGATTGTAATAATGAAGAAGAAAAGAAAGAGAAAAATTGTATACGCAATTTTCTTCGTTGATGTTAGTTAGTTAGTTAGTTAGTTAATTATAAAATAAGCATAGATATTTATGAGTCATTTTCAGTCTTTCAGGTCTATAACATGTTTGTGTATTTAAACAGACAGAAATAAAAACAAACCAAAATCATTATTACCTCATAAAATATCAAAGTATTTCTACCGTCTAAAAGCATGTTGTAAACTAAATTGAAGTCCCTTAAATAACATTTTCAAAGAAACTTAGCCTTGGAATCAATGACATTGAAATAGATTTCAGGATATTGAAAATAGGGATGAAAAATTCTTCTATTCTTGATGAAGTTCTGTGAGGTGTTTAAAAAAAATCATTTAACTTAAAATCAATAAATGTTCATAAGAAAACATATTACATTAAATTATTCATATTAAAAGATCGTAGAATGTTTGAAAAAATTCGATTAAGCAACATAACTTGACTTTTATAAAAGAGCTTTTCATTATCAAGTTAAAAAGTTTACCATCGCCTTGTTTTTCTTGCTTACTTACTTATAACGATGCCAGAACATCTTTACTTAAACTGAAATCACTCTCCATACACTCATTCAAATATCAAGAAAAACACGTCATTATAAATATTAAATGAAGAACTTACACAGACGGAGAAGAATTCCAAATATCGCTTTGAGCTTTTAAGAGGTTGCTGTAAGGAGAACACCAGAAAATCGATTATCTCCTTATAAACGAATAAAAGAAATGGTTGAAAGCATGATTATTTCAAATACTTCACTCTCATTGGCGTCTTTTCTCTCGCAGAGTTTCATTTCAAAGAATTTCTCACTGAAACTTAAACCACACCCAAACAATATCAAGAGAGAAGTTCTGAACATAAAAAGTATGCTCTGATTAATGCAAACAGTTGATATAAAATTTTTCGAGTGAGTTCAGGTCTTGATTTTTTATACCAACTTTAATTAGAGAAAAGGAAAATCGATTGAAGATTATTTTGGTTAACTTTAAATGATTTGAGATGATTTGAATATTTTGTAGATTTTGTTTCAGATATCTGCCGCCGGGTCATTTTATGTTATCCGGAAGTATTCATTTTTCATAAGCACTTGAAGAATTGTTTTAAAACATTTATTGATGTTTGCTTTGAGTGCGATACCTTCAATAAATATGTCATTTCATCTGTCGAGTCTCTTAAACTGCGCTCAAGCAAAGAGAAAAATAAAATTCTAAAGTTAAATATTTACCGGAAATTTGACGCTTGCTTCTGACTGACTTTTAGAAACTCCAACAAAATTCAATAAGAAATTTTCTGGGTTTAAATCTGACGAAATTTCAAGGGTTTTTGGACTTCACACAGTTAAAGAAAGAGAAATAAAGTTTATTTAGGATGGCAAGCTTGTTCTTTCAGTTAACACTTAATAAAATTCAAATTATCGGCAATTCATGAAAGAGCTCACATCAACGCATGTATCATCATTTCAACTCTATTCGTAATTCCGTTTACCTAATGTCTTACTCATTAAAATTTTCAGCGTTTTAAATTATGTGGCAAAAGCTACTGATGAATGTTTTTATCTTTAGCATTCGAAAATAAATTGATAACTGACAAGGACAATGTTTTAAAGGCCACTGACCATCATTTGTTATTTTAATACAGCTAAATATTATAAAACTTCACACTTAATGGATTGCTTAATGGAAAATACTTAAAGATTGTGATTGTCTATGTAATAATCCTGAGTGACTGAAAAATATTCTTTTTGACACGTCGATAAGTATTTTCATTTCATTTCGTTGACAACTTGCAAATAAAATGAAATTTGATTTTATAATTAATTATGATGGAATGGAAACTTTCCGTTAATAGTTTTACTGTTGAAAAAAATTGAAATAATCTACGGAATGTCATAAAAGTTTGTGTTGCTGACTACTGAATAAATATTTTGACTTCATTAACAGATTTCCACAGCCGTAAATAAAAATATTCTTCGCAAAAGCGTGTTAATATTTTACTGAGGGTGAATGGACGAAAACAGGGAATAAAATTGACATTAAATCTTTTCACTAGATAGATTTTTTGATGGGGTTCATTCTTTTTAATTGAACCGATCAAAATATGATTAAACATCAGCAACAACCGGAAAATTGGTGAAATATTTCACCCCCGATTAGATAACAAAAATTTTATTGTTCACAATTTTCTTTTGATTCGATGAAGATTGTCGGAACACGAGCATTGATTTAACATGGATGATTGGAAATGATTTTAGTATCAAATCAGTTCGAAGGTCGATTGATTTGTGTCTAGGGCGATTTTTGACGATGACCACAAGAAGGAAAAAAAGTTTTAACATTCATCATGTCCCACAAAATGATTCTCATTAACCATAACGAATATCTTGACTTTAGTTAACCAATGCAGCATATTTAATTCTGTTTACAACAGTGAAATTATGCACAAACAAATTTATATGTTGTTAGAATTGCTTGTCATAATGAAAATCAGAGCGTGCGTAATTATGAGAATAGCCGAGCAGTTTATTTCTCATCAAATAGACAATGATTCGAGATACGTATGAATAATGTGTTGCTTACTGCTTAAATATATTTTCCTCTATTATATGCTTTTTATGCATACATAGACTCGATCGAGGTTTTCTCATGAGATAAGACTTTGCTTTATTATGAGAAATCTTCCATTTTCTGTATCTTGTTTTTCTATTTCCATTTTTATCTAAACTGATGTGCTGACTTGGCAAGCATACGAAAGTCTAAGACGAAAACCTTTTAATTTTTCTTTTTGATGGAAATTCTTTTTGTTCATGACATGAACATTTTTGTTTTTCGTAACATCCGTAATAAGATTGTCTTTATGCTTTAAACCACATCATAATCAGATTAATGTTGGATTCAGATCACGAGCGATTATTGTAGGATCTATGTAAAGGGATTTGAAATTAAAAATTATTTTTTCATTTGTGAAAAATCGATTTGAAACATTTTCCTATCACGATACCTGGAAAGGAGAAAATAATTTCATCAAATATTTATATTTAACAGGTCACGATAAAATCTATGTTTTTATGCTACGATATATGTTGCAGATTGAGGAAGAACAATAAAAGTCAGTGAGATTATACCCGAAGAGCCATTTCCACAGTAGAAACGACAATTGATTTCCCCGAAGGATAAAAAAATGAATAAAAAATGGCTTTTCATAGCATTTCACGAGCACGAATCCCCTTTGTTCGTTGTTGTTAGCTTCTCCTTCTTTCCATTTCAAGCTGATGAAAAAACAATAGAATTTAGATTTCATTGCACTAAATATTCATTGTCACAAAAGAAATTTCAATGGTTGAGTTGTAGAAGCAATCATCATAGAAAACGAAGCAGAACAATCTCATCATTTTCGTAGCAAACCGTATCGTTTGATAAAATCCAAAAAGGTGAAAAAAAAGCATTTCTTGCCCTTCAACATTTTACGATAACATAGAATGTTGAAATTTGTCTAACTATGTACAGTAAAATTTATAGCATTGAAACGAACGAAATGTTCTTTCGCCAAACCACCTATTAAAACTATTATTCATGCAATAAAGTTTTATTGGCGTACATTTTTGTTCATAAATTCTAAATTCCTTCAGCTTTTAGAAACTTAAAACTTTCTTTTTGTGCAAAACCTCTTGGTAGAGTTTTACAAAATGACAAGAAAACGGTCTTTTAAAAGTTTCTTGGAAAAATGCCGAAAAAATGTCAGTTTTGAGTTCATATGTTAAAAGATAAAGAAATAAATCAATAAACTAGTTGAAAATGCAATAAACTACTTTGGCATTTAATGCTTTCAATGGATAGATTCACACCTTGATTTGTTGTTTTGACCTCAAATTAATTTCGCTCGATTGACCGCAAATCAATCAATTAAGTTTGCACAATCAATTATCGTTAAATTAAATTGTTTGCCTTTTACAATGAGACTAAATACAAGAGAAAACCTGCAGTAAAAGCTATAAATGAATGTCACAGCGTGGTCAATAGATACAATGAATGTCCGATAATGTTTTCGGATGTGCAAAAGCATTTATTTCGTAGATACACCCTCGCATTTATGTTCATTTATTAGTTGAGAGTTGGGAGAAAAGATATATTAGAGACAATAAACAATTTCAAGCGACAAAATGGAATCTATTAAGGCAGCAATTAAGCTCGATCGATTTCATTGATACAATTTTAATTCAACCATTAATGGTTATCAATCTGTCAATCATTAAATTGCACTGACATGTTTATAAGAATTTCCTTCTTAATTTATTCCAACACAAATTGATTCGTTTTCCTTCAAATGAAGTCTCGGTAGCTGTATGTGGTTTATTTTCCAAACTATTGCTACCATTAAATAAAAGAAATTTGCACTTCCAGAAATTTTTCATCGTCTTGAAATTTTCAGAAGATCACGAAAAGACCGAAAGAAAATATCAGCAAAATTTCATGCTGTGAAAAGTCAATGTTTATGACAACACCTCAAAGCGTGAAGCAATTAGTGCGGCTAAGTCTTAAAAGATCCTTTCTGGTGTTTTGTATTCAAAGTATTTCACAATACGTCAAGGCTAGTAATCTGGTTAACAAAATTATCATTTTAAACCGAATGCTATGTTTATAGACTAGCAGCAAAACAATATTTGCATCAAATATAACTCAGGTTTCTGTTCGAACACGAAAAAGGAAGAATTGACTAAAATTTAATAACTTCTTCATCAAACGATGATCTATTTTTATCGACTGTTCGTATTCAAAATAAACATTTATTGATGCTTTATTATGTGGGATGTTTTGAGTGGAAGAAAATTGACGTCTTATTTCCCCCTAAATAATCTTTTTAAATAAATGAAGATGGTAAAGGAAGCACTTACAGTTTCCATGGGAATGCTTTTAATTGTCTTCTAATTGTCGAACATATGAAACTAAAACCACTTAAAGTGTCTTGAAGTGTCTTGAGAAGGAAATGATTTTAGTCCATAATTGAATGCAATTTTGCAAACCTTTCTTAATTTAAATTCTGCCATTAAATAATTTTTTATTGATTTTCTAATTAAGTTCAAACATTTCTTCGGTTGAATCTTTAAAAAGTTTCCAGGAAATGTTTTATAATTGAAGCTACTGGAATAATTTTATACTTTAACTAATTCTATTATCATATGCCTATTAAATATTTCCGAACGATGAATGCAATTCACACGTTTGGTTGCTTTTATGGATTCAGATAAGATAATAATGCCCTAAACGCAAGCTTTAATGTCTTTCCTCGAATTCTTCGTTGCGGTTGAAGAATGGAATTGTTAGACCTTCTTGGTGGGCTTGTCTACTACTCGCTAGTTTTTTTCTTCTTTTAATATTAATTTTCACCATCATAAATACACAAATCATGTAATTTTTATAAAACCTCGGCGTCTATTTGAAGATTCATTCATTCACAATGAAATAGTTTTCGGTAAGAAAACACACAAACCTCTTAAGAGTCTTAATTCCTCTGAACATTATGACGAATGACGAGTCGAGAGGGAGAAACCATTTACATAAAAAGAAATCCCATCATTCAACATCATATGAAGATGAATCAAAATTTATTCAAACACAGATTTCGAATAATGGATTTCTTTTATTTGATGTGTTAAAATCTGGCTTTTGTTTTATTTCATTTCATGACATATTTTACCGTGTTGAAAAGGGAAAACAATGAGCCATTACTCAGATAAAGATTTTATTCATAAAACTTACGAGTTATTTGTCGAGTTATAAGAAAAGTAACTCATTCGTGCTTTTGTCTTGTGCTGCTGCTAATAATTTTTCATGATTAAAGAACGAAAGAAGAAAGCGAAGAACGCTTTAACGATATGAGTTGATGTCTCGCGGGATTTAAGAAGAGAAAAACACCGACATAAAAAAAGGGGGAAAGTCTTATGTGCTGTGATATAAGAAGCAGCCATTTTTAACTTCCACATGCTTCTCGTAGTCGTTAATAATCCTAAAGTAAAATTCATAATCCCCTTCGCTTGTTATTGCTGCTTCCAACTAATTTAATTTTCCACCCGAAAGTAATGAAGACGAGAAAATTGGATATCATCGAGCGAGGAAAGCGGGTTGTGAAAAAAAAGATGGTGCAAATAAAGAGAGGAAAATTATTACGTAAATTAAAATTAATAATGTTTTTCTCTTAGCTACGAAGGAATAGCGAGAGACTGAGAAAGAGGAAAAGCCGTTGATGGCGGAGAAGAATGAAGGTAAAGTTTAATCAAGTGTGGGGAAACAAAAAGAAAAATATGAAAGCTTGGAGCTTAGGGATTATCATGAACTGAAATCATCGACGTTCATTGAACGTAAAAAAAAGATTCGAGATATACGGAAACGAAATTTATATTTTATTCATGAAACGACCGATGTAGCACAACGTCGGGTAGAAAAGAAGTTTTCTTCTCTTTTTTCTTTGTATTTTATTAAAAATTTATGAAAAAATTATGTTTCTAGAATATTAAGAACTTTAACGAAGACCTTATCAACATTTCATTACTTTCATTTATTTCCACGAGAGAAAAATGAAATTTTCAATTTCGTTGCTTCAAGATTTCTATGATGGAAAATTTTACCTTAAATATAAGAAGGAAAGTAATATTTGTTGACAATTGAGGGCTTTAAAAAATAAATTTTGATTCATATTAACGTTTAAAATATCAGAATCGTAATTAATTAAACTTTTTCATATATTTGGTATTGATATTTGATTCCATTCTCTTCTTGAACCTCTTCAGGAATGTCTTCGTCATTTTTAATGCGATTGAAATTATCAGGAATAGTTGGGAAAAATGCATCACAATCGAATGTCGACATGACACGAGTAATATAAATTCGATGACACATTGGAGACTCCATAGCTTCTTTATAGACAGAATGGCCTCCAACAATCCAAACATTTTCGATTTGATCTTTTATTTTTGGTTCATCTAATTTAAGGAACGCATCTTCCATACTTTTTGCAACAATGACTTCAGAAGGAAATTCATATTTCTCAGGTTCAGATGTAAGGATGACATTAAATCGATCTGGCAGTGGTCGTTTACTCTCAGGAACTCCAAAATAAGTTTTTCTTCCCATTATAATAACATTTTTCTTCTCAGGATTATTAACTTTTTTCGTTTGAGCAGAGAAATATTTCAATTCCTTTCTGGAAATTCAAAAATCATGATAATTTGAAGATCACGTGGAAACCTTTAATTACTAGAAAAAAAATTTACTTTAAGCGCCAAGGAAGATCTCCATTCTTTCCAATTCCCATGTTATCACAAACTGCAGCAATTAAATTTAATCTCATATTTTTCATTATTATAGAAATAGAATTCTTTTGGCTTTAAATGAGTGTTATAAAAAATAAAATGAATGGAATTAAAAAATAATATTTTAAAACTGAATAACCGTTTCAATGTAAACAAATCGTAGCTTATGACCCCTCGAATTAAAACAAGGGATTTCAAGGGTATTCATCTTTCACCAACCGATTCCGTTTTAGACTTCTTAAAAGCATGTTAATTAATATAAAATAATCACTTAAAATCAGTAATCGTGCTCATTTCCAGTAGCTCAAAGCAAATATATTTCAAGGTAGAGTTGTCAGAGCATAGAAAAGAAATAAAGTATTGTTGTGATACTTCTTGATTCAAGGATATTTTCGATTATCCTTAGTGAAGAGAATTAAAAAATTTAAAATGGCTTTTTTTTCAATGTAACCTGAAAGCGCTTAGTTATGTTTGAATGTGTGACTTAAACATTGTATGAAAATTTATTGGGATAAATAGCGGCTTTCTTAAATTTTTGAGTGATACTTCTGAAGGAAAACAATGGAAATTCAGTGAAAAACTGAGTTCCATAAGTGCTAATATAAACTTCAAATGAAAAATCAATAATCTTATGAATTAAATTTTCACTTGTTTTTTTTTTTGCAACGCCTTTTTATAAATGATTTTTTTTTCACAACAGAAATAGTTTTTCCAAATTTATTTTTAGTTGTGGAATAAATTCACTGACATTCCTTTATTTATTTTTAGGTGAAATTAATAAATGAATTGAATTATTAAGCACAATGGAAGTTCAGTCACCTCAAAGTGTGCAAATTAATTTTAATAACAAGATCATAACATTGCATAATGTGACAATTGTAAAGAATCCTAAAATCATCACAATCGATGCAAGCGCATATTCAAATTTCTTGAAGGGATCGCCTGTTAAGTTAGGAAATGGAATTCCAGTGACAACGACAACAGCGATAAGTCCTCTAAAACTGTCGATGCCAACACTTGTTCCTTTAAAGCCCAGTTCTGAATCACCTCAATTAGTAACGTCAAGAGTTGCTTGCTCATTTCCGAACTCAACTCTTGTAAAACAACTCCCAAAGTTTACAACTGCTCAAGTTATTAAAACAATTCAAACTAAGAATAGCATCACAACAAATCCACCGATCACTCCTGTAAAATTACAACAAATTCCTGTGAAAACTCAACCAACTGTAATTATAAGCCCTCCGAAGAAAATTGTTTCAAACAGTCCTTCGCCAGTCAAAGTCGAAGCACCAATTTATCCACAAACAAGTACAAGTACCGTACCGACAATTGAAACTTCAATTGCTGTACCAACAAAAGTTATAATTTCACCTCCATTGAAGAACAAAATAAGTCCATGTTCTTTGACATCTCCAGAAAGAAAAAGAAGATGCTCAAAACTTGATTTTCGTTGTTTATTTTGCAATGAAGTTTATGACGATTCAAGTTTATTGGTCGAACATCTTAAACAGCAACATCCACAGTCTGTTAAAATTCCAAGTCAAGATGAACATGAACAACAAGACACAGAAGAAAAATCAAAACCGACTGAGGAAGAACGTGTGCTTCCAAATCTGCCACAATCAAGTATTGAACAAATTAAAAAAGAAGGATCTGTTCATTTATCTGCATCAGTTTCATCGAATGATAATGAGAGTGATGACAACGACGATATTGATGATGAGGATGATGATGAAAGTGAAGTAAATGATTTAATTATGGATTTAGAAGATACGCAAGATACAGAAACAACACAAACACGAAGTGATACTCCTGAGTCACCAGAATTCGAAGAACATGTTCCAACTTTATCCGTGAAGAAGGAACCGCTTGAAGAAGTTCAATCAAATAATGATCATGTTAATGATGAAATTGATGATGATGATGAATTTGATGACACAAATTTTGAATATTTTTCAAGTATTTTGGAGCCAATTTGTGAATTAAATTGTGAAAATGATTCAAATGAAGAAGTTCAAGATGAAAATGAAGCGATGAGACTTTATCGTGAAGCGATGGAGATGAATTACCTTCAAAATGGGATAAAGAAACGAGGAAGGAGGAAAAGACATAATTCAAAGCCATTAGTTGAGAATACGATAGCGATGAATGGAATTCTGGCTGGATTACTTGACACAACCGTTCTTAAAGTTCCAAAAGGTCCCGGACGTGGAAGAAGGAAGGAAATTGATGAAAAAGAATTGGAAATCGATCGAAGTAATGGCGTTTGCTTATTCAGTTGTAATCGATGTGATGAAACTTTTAAATATGCTGGAGATTTAGCCAAACATGTTCGATCGCACACAATCAGCTCACCTTATCAGTGTTCGATATGTCAGGTAAGAATTTCTGTTAATTTCTTTAAATAGTTTATGAGAATAATTTTCGTTTAATTTTTCAGAGAAAATTTACACACATTGGAAGTCTCAACACGCATTTAAGAATTCATTCGGGTGAAAGACCGTACAAGGTAACAAAAAATTATTTAAATTAACTTCAAATGAATCTCAAATCATTTTTAATCTTAGTGCAATCAATGCGATAAAAGTTTCACACAATCAAATTCTTTAATGGTTCATGTGAAGTCTCATCTTTCAAACAAACCTTTCCAATGTGAACAATGCAATAAAGGTTTTCTCAACGCATCAAGTCTCGCACTTCATCAGAAGACGCACACCGGGCCAACAACTGTCACTTGTCCCATCGATGAATGTGGGAAGGAATTCCGTGATAATAATTTACTTGAAGAGCATATGATGACACATCGATTGTCATTACTTTATCAATGTTCGTTGTGTTCGGAGAAGTTTGAGCAAAGCTGTTTGTTGGTACAACATGTCAAGTCTCACATTGGCGATAAACCATTTCAAGTAAGATTTTCATTTCCACACAAAAACATGAAAATTTTAATTAAATTCTTTTCAGTGTAATCAATGTGGAAAATGTTTTACACAACCTGGAAGTTTAAACACTCATCTTAGGATTCACACAGGAGGTAAAGAAAAGAAAAGATGAAAGACATGAAAAGTTTAATGAAAATAATTTTTCTTTTTAATGATTTCTTAGAAAAACCTTTTGAATGCGTTATGTGTGGCAAGAGATTCACTCAAGCGTCAAGTTTGAGCGTTCACATGAAAGTAATTAAGAAGTGGAATTAAGTTACGAATGAATGTTCTAAAATTTTGATTTTGTTTATCTTTAGGTTCATGGCGAGAAGGAATTTAAATGCGTGATTGAAAATTGTAAGAAATCGTACAGCCAAGAAGCTTATTTGAAGAAACATATGATGAAGCATATTGAAGCTAGCTTGAATTTTGAGAATGATCACGTGAAGCAAGTGGCAGCTGAATAAAATATTTTGACGACTTGACGATCTCATGTATCAAATTTCATTGGCTATTGAATCTTTATCATTAATTAACAAAAACATTCACTGAATGTACAACAACATGAAGCAAAAATCTCTGCTATTTATATCCCCATCAGTATTTTAGGTTGTAAAAAGCGAAAATGAATTTAAAAATTAATCTAGAAATTTAGTGCTCAATAAGCTTTTATGATGACAAAACTAAAGAAATTTCATAATTTTAGTTTAAGGAAAACTAAAGTTTCAAAGAAAAAACATTCAGAACTTTAATTGAATTAAAATTTCTTTTAAACTTCATTTGAATAAATTTTTTTTAATAAGATAACTCCTAGAAACTTAATTTAAGTTTTTACAAGGCAAATAACTTAATTTTCTTAATGAGTTCCTTGTGTGATTTAGATTTTAGCAACAATTTTCTGATATTGATTTGCATGAACTTTTGTTTCATTCTTTTAATGATGAAAAGAACTTTAGAAGATCGTTTGAAAGTTGAATATAAAAATAAAATTCACATTTAAAATTAGAAAGTTTTATTATATGTTTGTCTTTCCAGCTTTAATTAAGTTTTCCAATAAAATCGGGAAACATTTGTTTCGAGGGTTTATTAAATGAAATATTTTTTGGCAATTGTTGTTCAATTCCCCAACAACCACAAACTTGCGTTTCTATAGGATTTCAAGCTGCCAATTGAATAAATTCTACGAAGTGGAAGATTAATTCCATAATATGATTTCACCTGTTGCAAAACTTGTACATTGTTTGGTTCCTGATAGCATTTCGTGACAATTCGAGAAATATTTTGTATAAATTTTTGAGGAAAGTTTTGAAATGCAAGAATTATGAATGAAGTGAAGACAAGCAAATGTCAACATAAAAACTTCACTTTATTAATTTTATTCTAGAAATTTGCAACAAAGAATTCAAATTTGATGCATCTTGCGAATAAAATATGTTGCATCTCGTATGATGAAAACCGCAGCATAAAATTTATGTTTACCGACATTTCATTTTTGAAGTTGCTGAGTTGAAAATGGTAACAAAGTTGAAAATGAAATATCGTTTGCGTTTTTCTTTTTATTTCTTATACAATTCTCTCTGTTATTCTTCAAAGTTTCTTCTCTTTTCACACACTTATGTACTGTAACGGTAGAGCATTGACTCTCGTACTCCGCAATTCTCGTTTTATTTTTCATTCGTTTTTTTTTCGATCTCATGAAAAGCATTTCAGAAACAAAGTGCAAGCGCTCGTGACAAAACATATCGCTCCTTGAGAGAAGAAAAAAAGAAATGGAAAATCTTAATTAAAGTCGTTATTAATTGAAATAAATTAGTGAATCTTATTGCGAAATTGTAATCTAAGCAAATTGTATTCATATTTCAAGAGCTGTTTGGTGAAGTTTTGAATAATTTAATGAGAAGAAAGGAAGGCAGAACGAAAAATCAATAAACAACCAGCACTTCGTTGTTGTTTGGATTCAAATACATATATTTTGCGTTCAACACTCAAAGGCCGTTCTTTATAAAGCAAAGAGAGCGAACAAAGTGTGGTTCGCCCACCGCAAGATTTTCATCTAAGTTTGTTTATGGTGAATACAAAAGTTTACATTAGAAGAAGCGCTATTAATTACTCACTAATTATCATCCAGATGTTGTAGCATTTATTGGAAGGGAAAGAATCTTATTCAGATAGCAAAGTGAAAATCTAAACTAATAGTTTTATGCTAACTTGTGAATGTGTGTGTCTTGTTACTTAGTGCAAGAATAAAAAGCCATAATAGAATCAACTGAAAGAGTTATAAGAAGTTTTTTTTTCTTTCTTTATCGGCAAAGTGAAGAAAATTACGTTAAAGATATTCGAGTTCACAACGAAAGAGAAAAATCGATAAACAGAAATTCTTTCCGTAAAATAAAATCAGTTCTCATTGTTGGATTAAATTCCCTCGTGCGCTTACAATTAACGAGCTAAAGGAGTTGATTTTGTTGGAATATTTGAGGAAATCATTTAATTTTTGGAATATTAAACGAAACGAGAACAAAACGTGTTTCTAAGGTGAGTTTGCTACAATTTGAATCAATGAAATATTACAATTTTTCAGCGTGAGAAAGCATAACATATTTTCATTGCGTACTTTGAATATCAACCATGATTATTACCTTAACATTCATTCAATAAAAAATAAATTCTTATGAATGAGAAAGAGTCAGAGAGAGAGAGATGAAAAGAGTACGACAGAGATGGAGCAATTTTAGATTATTATGGAATAGTAGAACAGCATAAAACTCACTAGAAAACCTAGAAATGTGTATAAAAGTGAATTCTCTAACGTACATTAATAACCCAAATTCAAAGCCAAAGCCAAGGCAAGCAAAGGCAAAGAGTAAAAAAAAAACCAATTTCCCTTCTTGATCATCAAACCGTAAATTTTAAGTGCTTCTGTGGTTAAGAGAGAAATGTTCTTATATGCATAAGTTATAAGAATATCTTTCAGAGTAAGAAATAATAATAATAAGAAACAAGCACGCCACTTAAGAATTCATGATAAGAGTTTGATGCATTTTCATGTGCCTTTTGCATTTACACTTTTTTTATTTTTATTTTTTCTGGGTGGTAACTTGAGACGTAACAAATTTTTAACTTTTCAACATCAGCACGCTCAATTGTTCAACGTCTTGTTAATTTCGCGTCACACAATGCTTTTAAATATGATACACTTATCCTTGAAAAAATCATCGCTTAACTACTAACAAAGACCCCAAAAAAACACTTCGTCTTTATTAGTTTAAGTAAAATATGATGTAATAAAATATTGTTACCAACATTAAGTTACTAATTCTTTATGTTTTATATGGTAATGGCCTCTATATAGTAAGGCTTCCTTACCAGAGAATAAATAAATAAAAGTGCATCCTGTCAGTCATGTTGAAGGCAATAAAAATATAAAAAAAAGTGTGAGAAACTTTTTCTTCTTATTCTTATTTCCCTTCCTATCATTTCTTGTTCTTCAACTGTCATGATATTTCACTATAAAAGCATCGAAAACAAATCGTAGTATTGCAATGCACGTCTTTCATGTGCACCATTTGTTATTTCATTCTACATGTGTATGAATGAAATAACGACGACATAACAACCCCTCTTTGTTACATGATTATGAAGAATCAAGAATTTCACATAAATAATAAATACTATGAGAGTGAGTAAACGAAGAAATTAAACAAACAACAATCATAGCGACCCAGTAGATAATTCAAAATTGCTTACTTCAAAATAATCTCTTCAAAATATTTCATTAAAAAGGTCAAGCTGAAGTGACTGTAACGAAACGATTGATAAACTCAATGTCATTTCAAATGAATACTCAAGTGTCAATTAACAGATTTTTTTATGAAAACATGCGACTACTTCAATTATCTACTAACTGTTTCTCATGAGATGAATATTTTTCTGGCTGGGTCGTCATGCACAAATCATTATTCCATTTCTCAAATTTGAAGCTATTAAATAGAAGAAAATTGGAAAGCAAGCGAGGAAGTTGATTTTCCATACTTTTTTCATGTTCAAGTTGCTTCTCACACTTTGATGTTGGAATGTTTTGAAGATAAAGCAAGCGATTTCATACAGAGAACAGGTATAATTCCGCCATAAGTAAGAATGTATGTATTTGTGCAAAGGCGATTTGTTGTGTGATGTTAAAAAATTCTTTCATGAAGAGAGAAGAACAAAATAATAATAAAAGAAAAAGAAATACAACATCAACTCTAAGAAAGAAAAGTAATGGACAAAAGGAATTGGTAAGTATAGAAGCAGAGTTCAAAGCATGAAGTCAAAAACAAGAAGAACAAGATTTTTATATGTTGAGAAGAAAAAAGTTTTCTTTCATTTCTTCTTACCTCGATTTTCTGACGAACACGAAGAGAAAGACAAAATTTTGAGATAGATTTGATATTTTCATGATTGAATGTCTTGATGTTAACATGAATCGAATGCTTTTTAGTTTATAAACTTTTCGAAAATATTTCCAATGCCACGAAATTCTTTGATTTCCCACATGTTATGTGTGTTCGATAGTAAATTTGAGCGCTTTTTTTCTTTTCTTCTTTCTTCTTAAAGATTCTTTACGATTGTTACAAGAAAGAATCGAAAAGAAAAAAAAATGTTTCACCGTTTCGTTTTCATCTGTTATTCTTATGAAACGCCGTGCTTTTCACTCAAGTTTTTGAAATGGTCCAGGGCCGCTGCGCGATTCTGGTGGTCGAAGCTATATAAAGACATCATTTTTCACAGTTAACTGCATTTGAATTTCGATGCCTAATTGTGATACCAGCATATCTTCCATTCGAATGGAAGAAACTGTGAGAAATTGTTGAATGAATGGATGGAATGGAAGAGAAGTTGAGAAATTTATTTCTGGATTTCTAGCTCGACACAAACACAAAGTTTTTTAGGCGAGAAAAATTTAAATTTGTAGGCTTTTTTGAAATACTATATTATGGAATAGATTTCAATGAATGAATGTGAATTAGTCGTGCTGTGTTGTAGAAGGAAGAGATTTTATTTCTTATTTCAAAAATTACATAGAAGCGCCTCCGTAATCTCATAGAATTAACATTTTATTACACAAAGGTTAGATTTGAAACCAGAACAGAATCAAAATGTTGCTCGACATTTTCATACTTTTATTAGAAAGTTCAATAGCAATAATTTTTCTTTGGGGAGTTTGGCTTGAATTCCATCGTACATGTCTCATACTTTTCGTCTTATCATATTAGCTTCTACATATTCAATTCAATTGATATTTTCATGTATTTCTTATGTCAAAAGCTGCCAATTTTCTTTTCTTTTCATTCTCATCCCTCTTCAAATCAACATCTCAAATAGTATTTGTATTTGTTATTGGGGATTATTGCCTTGTCAAACAATCACGCGGATCTACAAGAAAACAAGCGATATGCGATATGATTTGATCAAAAGTCATTCATACGTAAAGCTCGTCACTTGGTGAGAAGAAATATTTTCTTTTTTATTAAGGGCGGAATTTTCCTTTTTGTGAGAAAAACACGAATACGTTATAAGAAAGAAGGATGATAATGAAAGGAATAAAAAGAAAATTTAAATCAATGAGAGAGATGAACATGCCTTGACGAAGAATCCTTAAGAAAGAAAATTAAATCTCTTGCTCTCTCAAGGAAAAACTCACTCTCTTTGTCCACTTTCGCTCTCATTTTCTTCTCTCTCGTAGGGTGTATGCAGGGGTTGTGTGCATTCATAAGTTGCGAAAATGAGAATTTCAAATCTTATCAGAACGTAACGAGAATCGAATTCTTTCTTTTCCATGCAGTTGAGAGTAAATACAACACATTCGCATTGAAAAAATGTATCTTTTTAAATTTAAAAAGGCTCATTTATTATCACGCAAACTCCTTTTATTACTCATACAAAAAGATTTCATATCGGTTTTCCCTCAACACCGACGAAAATGATGTAAAAACAAGAGAAAAACAGCCGAGAGTGGGAAATTTTACTCTTTGAAGAATAAAAAAACGGCGAGAAATTCTGCAACTAAAAGGAAAAGAACGGAAAAATCAGGGCTGAATAGTGAAGTGAATCAGGGCTAGTTTAGTTCGGTTTTTCCATTAACCCAGAATGTGTGTGCGCTCCTCGCGATACTTTTATATTTAAATTGAGTGCTGAATCTATTGAATTTAAAATCAAATACATAGTCTAAACGATTGTACATTATAATCGATAAACAGTGTAGTGAATTTACCTTGAATATCATAAAACAAATTTAGGATTCAATTTTTGGAAAATTCAACACGAGAAAAAGTGAAGTAAATAAATTTTCCATAGCAAAATAAAAAAAGAAAATTTTTGGGAGTTTTCTTTTGTTATCAGTGGTGGGATTAAAGAAGTTTCTATGAATTGGGGTCACAAAAGGCATCTTTTAAATCTGTTATTTTAAGCAAAAAAGAAATTGCTAAGTAAAGAAAGAAAATTTATTCGAATAAAAGCAGAAAAAAGGAAAGAAAAAACTTTTCTCTCGCCGTTTTCATACGAGAAAGGAACACACCCATTTGTTTTTCCTCCCCTGACTCCACATACATCTGCTGTGTATTTATTCAACATTCATTCCTTCGGACAAGGTGAAAACTTGACTGTGTGTTAATCTGTGTGTGTGTGTGAGTGTGTATCAGTGAATGTGAATTAGAAAGTGTGATATTTTATTAACAATTCGACATTTATTTTTATTTGTTGGCCACTTGACTCACAATTCTAAAAATGTGGATTGTATTGTATGCGTTAATTGCTGGTGAATGGAGTTGTTCACTTTTCCACCACTTAAGCTTTTAAAACGTTTTCTTCTTCATTTCGTTAGACTAATGAAACTTTTTCTTCAACCTTTTTCAGAATGAATTAATACATAATCAGAGTGATGAAGAATGTTGAATGTTTTACTCAATTAAAAAATTTAAAATTAAAATTTTAAACTCTTGAAATTATCGGAAAACTTTTCTTCATTTCTTTTTCTTTCTTTTTAAACAATTGAAATTTCCTCTTGATCGGCCACACCCGGGAAATATTTAAACTTTTGAATTTTTTTTCGACGAAACTTTCGTTGCTTGTCTTTGGAAAATAATTATTTTTGCTTATTATTAACTTCATTCTTCTCATTTTTTGCAAAAGAAAAAAACTTTCAAGCCTCTTCCACTTGAATAAAGGAAAATTAATAATGGATTCACTGAAGCAAAAATCATATCAGAAATTGAGTCAATAACAAGCGGATATAAAAAAAATCATTTTGTGGTTTGAAATTGCGGAATTCTTCAAATTCTAATAAATATCTGTGCAAAAGTCAGTAAATCTGACATTAAACAATATAATATCAAGAGAAAATAACAACAAATTGATTTCAAGTGAAATTCTTTGGACAACGAGTGCCGAATCATGGAATTTATTGGAAATATGCCATGAAAATTACATGAAAACCAATCGTCATCGACATAAATGCTTCTCTCTCTCACTCTTCAATTGATGGAAATTTGGATGATTTGTATTGATTTTAGATTATTGTTTAATTTGCGGTGCGTATATTTTCATTGATTATCGGCAAATATCATTCAATGTTTCACCAGATACGCATAATAAATCTTGAAGCATGTGCTGTACGAATTTATTACTTGAAACTTTCAACTTTATTTAAATAAAGCGTGAAATATTAGATTCTCCACGATTAATTTAGTGCCAGTGAATCGAGAGTAGCAGCTATTGAAACTGTCGAAAAGATCCACAAAGAAGATTGAAATTAAACAGTTCTCATAATGGAGAGAAACGGAAATCTGTGTTAATAGTTTCGCAGATCATAATGTGCCCATAAATATATCAAGTAGCAGTCGCGCGACTAATTGACGATGAATCTCATTACCTCAGAATCTCTCGCACAAAAATAAATCACTTTTTATTGCAACACTTTCCTGCTTTTCCCACCATTGATGAAGTAAATGTTCCAGACAAAGCTCATTTCAATAAGAAGCTTAAACTGGTGAATGAATAAATGAAAAACTCGCTAAGCTGTTTGAAAATAACACAGTGAGTTAATACGTTAATTGAACGATTCAAAAACCGAAATAAAAAGAATTTATTCTCATTCATTATCTATTTAACATTAAACAATTTATCGGTGCTCAAGTGAATGTTAAAAAATATTCGAACAAAAGACAAATCTTCTTCACCTTCTTTGATCTCCGAAGATTTCACTTATAATTTATAACTGAATAAATCTTTCGTTTTCCAGTTTCATGTTACATGACAAATATTTAATTCTTTCTTTCTTTCTTTCGTTTTACAGGAAGCTGCAAGAGAACAGGAAGTTTAAGAAGTAAATAAGAAGAGAAAAAAGGTGGTAGGAAAAGTAAAGCAAGAAATTATAAACCAGCGACCCGCAAAAAATGCAATGGTCATGCTGAAGATGCGTTAGCAGGAGAGCAATGGGAAAAGAGGCATGGGCGTGTGGAACCCTGGGGCTTTCCGGTGGTGTCAGGCATTAAGCCGGTCGCAATCGATAACAACCGTTCTGTTAAGCGCTTATAATAAATTGTTTGTTTTACTTTTGATACTCTTGAATACGAGTGGAAATTCAATCCAACCAGGTGAGTTTGTTTTCCTTCCTTTCCTTTCCCTTCCCTTCCTTCGTTTTGTAACATTAACTTAAAAGTCAACGATTGAAACTTCAATCAAACATCCACCACATTGCACATTAAAGAATATCCAATATTTATATTTCTAATTTGATTTCCTACCTCACATAACTGCGGCTATGTGTGTGTGTGAGTGTCTGTGGTGATGTTTTTATCTCAAATTGAATATATTCAAAAACTTGACATTTTAAGTGAGGTTTTTTAAGAAGGCTTTTTGAAACGCTTTGAAGATTCATTGGGAATGTGTTGAATGAAAAAAGACCCAAATTAAAATCATTTAAAGCAGTTTGATGATTTATTCGTTCTTATCATTTACAATTTTCCGCAGGTCAAGATGCCGTACACATTACAGCGATACTCGGCGAGAGTGTCATCTTCAACTGTCACGTTGAGTTCCCAGGTGACCATCCCGTTCCCTATGTGCTGCAATGGGAGAAGAAGGTGAGCGAAACGGTATGATAATAAATTTCTTTTCCGTTTCTCTTAACCATATAAATTTCGTTCTTTTACGGCATATCATGTCTAAGAAAATACAATGAAAACACATACAGAAAAGAAAGATAAAAGTATAAAAAAATCATTTTATCGAAAAGAAAAGAAAGAAAAAAAGATACAGACATATAAAATATTTAAGTAATATGACACAAGCGTAAGATATATTTTGAATGTCGTTGGTTCGTTCCTTTTTATGCTTTATTTATGTTGTAAATAATATTTGTATGGAGAACAAATCTCGTCTTTTAATTTATTTAATTTACGTTCTCTCTTCCGTGAAGAAAGGAAAAGGGGATAGTTGGAATTGCATCACAATCCTTCGTTTTTATATTAGATTGTAATTCTCTATTTTTTGTTCTAAATGTTGTGTGCTGATGTATTTATGTGTCTCTTCGCTTCATGAATAATCTTTTATGGTAGCGCATATCATCTTAACGAGACAAAGTCATGAAGAACTTTTTGTCACTCTTTGAATTTATTTATTTAGAAAAATGTTATCATTGGAAAATTTATTTCTTTAATATCATTTTTTTCTGATGAAAAGGATAAAAAGAATTGGTGAAAGGAGATGTCAAATTGCGCTTGAAACATCGTCTTCTTGAGACTTGAGAAAGGCATTTTCATTGATTCATTATGAGGATATTTATTTATTAGCTTTTCATATTGATTTGAATTAATAATTCTGCTGTTTATTCTTTGACTTATGATGTTAGAAATTTGATGTCATTCATGTCTGCATATGAAATTTTAATGTTTAATGTTGCTGTGCTTTCCGTCCATCATCTTTTTCGATTGAAAATCCTTTTTCCAAAGCTTTTTCTTTATTCATTCATAAAGAGATTTTCTTGAAAAAGTTTTGTGCAAATTTAATTTTTATTTCATGTTGTTTTCATAAATTCTTACATTTGTTTTAGCTTTTCAATTTTCATTTCGTTTTTTCTTTTCAATTGTGAAAAGCAGGAGATATAAAAACAATTCTCATCCGATTTACATAATAAATATGAGTCTGCGAAAATTCATCGATGTAAATTAGCTTTTTCAAATGCATATTTTCGCCTCTGTCATGCCCTAATTTAACTTTGCGTTCGTTCTGTTAAACTGAGCCTTAATTAACGTGCTCGTTCGTTTATTTTAAATTTTTTTCTTCTTTGTAATTTTGGAAGATGAATGATGTTTTAATTAAAATTTATTATATTATCAAACTATAAATATATGGTGTAGATATAAATTTTTAGTAGAAAGCGAACATTTGTTAACGAGTATAAAATAAAAATAAATAAGAAAGAAATTAAAACAACGAAACTTTATCATTTAACGTTCTATTTCTCTCATTTATTTATGTTCTTTTTTGCGACTACAATTCAATTTTCCGACTACAATCAAATTTATGGGACATCAGGGACAGGAAACACCGATCTATATATGGTATGAGAGTTATCCGACACATAGCGGAGAAGGCTACGAGGGACGCGTTTCTCGTGTCTCTCCCGACTCGCCTTTCGGCGCTGCGTCATTAAATTTAACCAACATAAGAGAAACGGATCAGGGGTGGTACGAATGTAAAGTTGTTTTCCTCAATCGATCACCAAATCAGCATAAAAATGGTTCATGGTTCCATTTGGACGTCCATGCGCCTCCAAGATTCAGTGTTACACCCGAGGATATTATCTACGTTAATTTAGGTAAGCAAAGTAAATTGAAATGATTATTACAGAGAGCGAAATATTCAAAAGAATCGCGTTGGGAAAATTTCTTCGATTTCCTATCGACAACATCCGCTGTATTTGAAAATATGAAAAATAAAATAGAATTAGGGAAAGAGAGAAAAGTTTCGTAATTAATAAATTCAAATCAATACATAATTTCAAGCTCTAATGAGTTTTTTAATTAACAGGTGATTCAATTATATTAAACTGCCAAGCGGATGGCACACCAACACCCGAAATATTGTGGTACAAAGATGCCAATCCTGTGGAACCTTCATCTACTGTCGGGATTTTCAATGATGGAACAGAATTACGAATTTCAACGATACGCCATGACGACATTGGCGATTATACGTGCATAGCACGAAATGGCGAGGGACAAGTTTCTCATACAGCACGTGTAATTATTGCGGGTGGCGCTGTAATTATGGTGAGTAAGATGTTTGAACCTTAAAAGAAAATTGTAAAGAAAATGAAATATTTTTGTTCATTAATTAGCACTTGTCAATGCCATAAGTTTCTTTTACTTTTCTTTATTCATGTTATAAATTTTCGGTTACTTTCAGAAATGAAACCAAAGAAAATTTTTCTTTTTTCTTCATTGAAAGAAACCCAAAAAGATTTAAAATTGGATGAAAAGTGACGTCGTTAATGAAGGAAATTTGTCATAATATTTGTTTATCACACACAATTGCTTCAATTAAAAACAAATTTAACTTCTATTTATAATTTTCTTTGATTATATGTTGTTTCGATGTTGGTGTTAATCATCTTTCTTCCTTTTACTGATCATCAATATTTTTGTCGTGTAATTAGGTTCCGCCTATTAATCAAACGAAATTAGAAGGTGAAAAGGTACAATTTACATGTGAAGCTAAAGCAATGCCTGGTAATGTAACCGTAAGATGGTTCCGAGAAGGTTCACCTGTACGTGAGGTGGCATCACTTGAAACACGCGTACTTATACGCAAAGACGGCACATTGACAATAAATCCAGTCAGTGCTGATGACTCAGGCACTTATACTTGTGAAGTATCTAACGGAATTGGCGATGCACAAAGTGCTGGTGCCTATTTGAATGTAGAATGTAAGTAGAATTTATGCTTCTTCATGATTTATGCTTTCCCACATTAAATAGATAAATAATATTTAAGTTGATAGTTCGTGACTTTATCCCTTTTTCAAAATCGAAAATTGATGTTGTTATTTGTCTTTTGATTCATGAATATCTCTTCATCTTTCTTTCTCATCATATTAGATCCCGCCAAAGTGACCTTTACACCTACAATACAATATTTACCATTTCGCTTAGCTGGTGTCGTTCAATGCTACATCAAAGCTAATCCACCACTGCAATATGTTACGTGGACAAAAGATAAACGCTTATTGGAACCATATCAGACAAAAGACATTGTCATTATGAACAATGGTTCGTTACTGTTTACTCGTGTTAATCAAAATCATCAGGGTCGTTACACATGCACTCCCTACAATGCGCAAGGCACACAAGGATCGTCAGGTCAAATGGAAGTCCTCGTGCGGAAGCCGCCATCGTTCATTGTTGAGCCAGAAACACTTTACCAACGGAAGGTGGGCGAGTCAGTTGAAATGAATTGTGATGCCCTTGAAGCTGAAGGTACAACAAAGCCTACGATTACATGGCAACGTCGCGATGGAACACCTTTGCAAAGAAATCGCGTGAAAGTGTTAAATGGAAACATGACAATTGATAATTTGAGACGTTCCGACTTTGGTTATTACGAGTGTGTCGCTTCGAATGAGGTTGCAACGATAATCTCATCAACACAATTAGTTATTGAAGGTACACAACCGCACGCTCCTTACAATCTAACAGCAACTGCCACGGAATTTTCTGTTACATTATCATGGATGCCGGGATACTCGGGTGGTCCCGATTATAAACAAGATTATACAATTTGGTATCGTGAAGCGGGAATATCGGATTGGTCGACAATTCCTGTAACACCATCGGGTAGCACACAAGTCACAATCAATCGATTATCCCCTGGAACAACATACGAATTTCAAGTGATTGGCAAAAATCCACTCGGTGATGGGATGATGAGTAAAGTTATGACTATACGAACATTGGGTGAGTTCCATTACTGGCTTGTTAATGTTTTAAATACACAAACTTCCTTTGCCACTACTGCATTTATCATCGAGAAAAGTTTTTGGTATTTAAAGTTAATGAAATATTTTATGGAAAACTTTATCCGTTCATCTTTTCCCTTTATGGATCATCAAAATAAATCTCTTGAACATTTATTTATATCCTAGAAATCCTTTTTTTCACTGTCTCTCATTTCGATCTCTTGTCAATTAAACCAAATTAGATGTTGGACGGCCCCAACTGCCCAAACCTACGGTGCCAAGTCCAGTTACATCTGCACCCACTCCGTCTGATCCATCTAAATTTCCGGAAGGTCCGATTGTGGAGGGTAAGCGAAAGAAGATAATGATAATCAATGTTGATTAGCTTCCCATTGCCCTTTTTTTTCACTTTCTCTTTTCCTTATTTTTTTGTTGTCTTTTGAGTTGACGTTAAAAGTTTCTTTCGCTTGAAAGCTTATAGTTGAAAATTGGGGAAATTTTTCTTTATTCATCATACATTTTAAACAACTTTGTTTTGTTATCATCTTCATCGTCATCGTCCAGTTCAACTGTGCAATATGCTTTCATAAATTATTCTTTATCAGACCTTCAATATCATCCAAGAATATGTTTGTTGGGGAATGAAAAGAAGGAAGCAATTTAAATTTTTTTCCTTCTTTTGTTTTATCATTTTCTTCATCGTCAATGAAGCATTGAATACTCTAACAATACTTTTATTGATTTTAAAAGCAATTTGTGCATGAATGATCGAACACGTTAAATTTATTTATTTTCTTACATTTTCAAGCGTGCAATCGTTTATTTGTAACCAAAACAAGAATTTTTCTTTCTTACTTTTGAATGATTTTTCGAAGAACATAAAAAATATTTCAAAATGAAATAATTGGATAGTTAATCAAAAAGTTAATCATTTAGAAACATTCACATTCCTTTCTTGTTTTTGAATTTATCATTTTATTTAGTCAATTTACTTTTTCGGTTTATCCTCACTTTATTTGGGTTCATAATTCACTCTCACTCACCATTTGGCCCATTTGTATTTTGGAAATCTATCTACTTATGTTCAACTCAAATTCATAAACTAAAACTAGTCTAAAATACAGAAAAAAAAGATAAAACCATTAAGCCACAACTGATGAAAAATAAATTTTATGTCAGTGACTAGAAGAGAAGTAAAAAGAAAAGAAAAATATTAAGAATAGGAGGGGGTGGGGGTGGGAGTTTGAAAAGTATAAAAGCGTAAGATTCCTAAACGAGAAGTAGGAGAAAGGAAGATTACCTTTTATCCTTCATCAATCTATTAATTCATGTTTAGAATACTTCTTCCTATCATCTCAATATCGCATCGTAACGAATCTCTCTGAATAACGAAGCATCTTTAAGAGTCGAAAAATTGCTCAAATTTATTTTCCATCTTTAAATCTTTAAGAAGTTTCGTTTTATAGATGTTTTAGCAAATGATCCAACTTGAAAATAATTTCATGCTTCTTTCCTGTACATACTTTATGTATTAGCGAGTGTTACGATAATAAAAAAGAGCAGAAGAAAAATCTCATATATTTATTTCTGTTGAAGGAAAAACAACAGTTTTTCACTAAACTGACATGCGAGGATGAGTTTTTTTTCCATTCGAATTTCATTCGCCACATAATTCATGAGTTTCATTCGTTTTGTTAACAAATAAAGCTTCTTTCTTTCACTTCCCTTCATTCCATCTTTCCATCTCTTCACTCATCTTCATGTCTTTCATTTTTATTTTGGCATATATTTTGTTGATTGCAGATATTCTTAATTTAAACGATATTATGTTACCAACTGACTCAACTGGTTCCACATACTTCCCACCAGTTTTCCGACCAACAGGTACATTCGCCTTTTGCTTTCAAAGTAGCTTTGGATTAAATTGAAAGCTTTTTTGGTTTTATGTTTTACGCTTTTTGATGTTGAAAGTTAAAAGATTTGAATCCGTAAGCTTTCTGTTGTAAATAAATTTATTTATATGTACATATGTATGCTTTTTTAATGTTCTCAATTTATTCGTTACATAAAAATCCATCATCATCATCATTTATGATTTGCATCTTTTTGAATCTGATGGTTAAGCTTCTCTTTGAAACATTTTACAGGGCAATGACTTCAAAGCTTTGGTTTTAGGTTGCATGTTCTGCTGTTTTATTATTGGTTAGAAATTATGTTTCTTGTTTCTTCTCCCCTCAAATATTCAACTTCCTATTTATGTTTGGATAATTTAAGTATGTTCAATTTTCTTTCCTAAATATATGTTGAAATTATGTTTTCCATTTGTTTTTTGCCTTTAAGATTATGTCAAGATTTAAAGTAAGGTTGGAAGCTTAAATCTAAAATTCGTTAAAATGCTTGTTTTGTGTTGTGAAAATAGATTTTAGGAAAACATTTTCGATTCGATGTATAATGAAATTAATTTTGATTTTATCTTCGTAGGACCGAAACCAGGACCACCTCGTAACTTGACAGTGACTGAAATCCCCAATGGTTTTCTCATCTCGTGGCAAGTTCCACTCGAGCGTGCACATTTAGTTCAATTCTATACGATAAAATATCGCACTGATGCCCAGTGGAAGACGCTTAATCGTGGTCAAATACGACCTGAAGAGACATCCTATCTAGTGAAGAATTTAGTTGGTGGTCGAACTTATTATTTTCGCGTCTTAGCCAATTCCGTTAAAAGTTATGAGTCAAGTGATGAAGTGAAGTTTCCAGTTCCAGCACGAGTCAAGCATAAAGCAATAACAGCCGGCGTTGTTGGCGGTATACTATTCTTTATCGTTGCCATTATTTTATCAATTTGCGCAGTTAAAATATGCAATAAACGTAAACGAAGAAAACAAGAGAAAGGTAGGCAAGAAATTTCATTATGAGGTTTGGGGTGTGAAGTAGCTTTTAGTGACTAAAGGTTGTAGAAGTAAATATTTAGATATTTGATTCAATTAACTCAATACCAACATGTTCCATTAAAACTTCTATTTTAAGTAGATACAAACTTAATTTTCATTTTGATTTTAATTCAAAGTAGCGTTGTTACAACTTGTTCTAAAACTTCTCTCTCCTTCTCTCTCTACTTTTACTTACTTTTTCCACAATTTTCATTAGTCTCAAAGAAATGTGGAAGGAAGATCATTAAAAATACATGAAATGTGTAAATTCCTATCTATCAACAATTGCAAAATTGAGAGCATGAAAATTGTAGAATTTTATTTTATTTTAATAAAGTTTTTTCTTTTTTATTATTTTTAAATATTAACATTTTTAGTTTACTTTTATAATTTTAATTTCAGAATTTTTATTAAATATTTTCGTGAGAAATTCTCGCTCAAAGTTGGAGATTTTTTTAGCAAGAATTTAAATCTTTTTTCCTGCATGTTATTTGAAAATCATTCCCTCGAATTTAACTTCAAAAAATGATACAAAAGATGAAAATTTTTATAATTTGATTAAAATTAAATTTATTTTCCCTATGAAAAATTATTCGGTACATCACCAATGCAATCAACGATACAAATAAAAGTTTTCAATTTACTTTAATTAATTGTTTACGTCCTGAATACATAAGTCAACAACTTCGACATTAATTTTCATACATTTTATTTATTGTAAAAATTTCCACATGATCATGACTTTAAACTTTTTTGTCTCTTTCAATGAGAAATCCTTTGAAAAGTTTCTTAAATCATGATAATCTAACTCACATAACAAACACTGAAAAGTCTGATATTTATAGTTAAATTATTACACAAGTGACCCAAAGCCTTTAATGTTTTATTATGTGATATGAAATGAAAACATTCCTTAAGTATCCCTCAGCTCATCATTTAATTTTATAATTTCAACACATAAGTCAAGAAAAATTATATTTTAAGACACAAAACACTAAAATCACATTTACACTTCCCATTTCATGTGTCGCATTTATTTATCTCTCCCTTTTGAATCATCATGAAACACAATTTCAAGATACTTTGGAATGAGGAAGCTCAAGAAAAACTTTCTTCTCATCTCCTTCTGTTGTTTATTTTTCATAAAAAATTGAAGTTTGAAAGAATTTTCTGTCTTTATTCGATTAAATCAAGTTTATATTTCACTACTTCATTAGGTGGTACACAATTTTTTACTTAGATATTTTCTTAAGAAAAAAGTGTTCAAACTCCGGAGTCGATGAACTGTTTAGGTAGCACTCGTTCAATTCTTTTTCGAATCTTTCTTATTTCACGATGCTAAGAAACTTTTTGGTCGTGAAAATATTTCTATTCGTAAAAATGTTGTTTGAGTGAACTTCATACATACCTACGTGATCCATCAACACCGGGGGTTTGTTATAAGCTTAGAAAGCTTTCAAAACAAAGAAAAATCATCACCTTTGGCTCTAAAGTAATCAAACTCCAAACCAAAAGAAGCTTTTTTTTTCGAAATGGAATTAAAGCCAAAGTCCTTTGTTTATATATAATATAAATTTATGTATGTAAAAACTTTCGGAAAATATCTTGTCTCGATGCTTTTAAATGTGTTTAAAAACTAAATTTAATCAATGGTAGAGTAATTAATTATCATAATCTAATGAAGTTAATCTAACAACATAACAAAATTGTATAAAATTTCTTTTCCTTCCTTTTTTTGGATTTTGATGATAAATTAAAGTAAAAAAAGCGTATTTAGATATTTCTTGTACATATTTACATCATCAAGTAAATAAAATTTATATATAAAGAAAGGATGTTGTAATGGCTCAAATACTACGTCAATTAATTTTAGAAATTATTCGCTTGCAGAACTCAACATGGTAACCGCTCGATTAACAGATATTCGTAATGCTGGCTATTCAAGTTCCGGTGCAAAAAGAAGTGAAGTGCCTTTAAAAAGGTAAGGAATAAAAAATATGAAGGAAATTTATTTAATGACCAACATTTAACATCCGTAAACTTTTTCCTCATGATATCAATCAATTCATTTATTCTCATCTTCCGCTGTTTTTCTTCTTCTCTTTTCTCATTACTTTTTCTCTTTTCCCAATTGCAATCCATTTGATTAAATTAAATTCACAACCTCGGAAAATTGTCTGGAACTAAAAAGGATACAAGGTGAATGATACAATGTGATGACATGGAAATGAATAAAAACAAAAGATTTTTGGTTTCAATTTGAAGCATTGTTGGATTAAATAATACATGTTTGATGATGGGATGGATTGAAGACTCATTAGTAATGATTTTGGGTTTCTTTCTACTCGTATGTGATTTATAATGGAGAAAACTTCTCTCCACACCATCATCGTTTGCTGTTGCCTTTTTCGAATCATCATTGAAGAAGGAACAGTTCATATTCTAGTAGCATAAAATATGCAATTTCCAATCATTATTGACGTGATGCTCGAAAATTTCTTTATTGAATTTCACATCGAAAGCTTTCAACAAGCAACATCATGAAAAGCTTTCACCAGGGAAATGGAAAGATTTGTAAGGAATCTCGATTTCATGCTATCAGAATCATGACTTCATTAATCATTTCAGAATAGAATTGTTTATTTACAAGAAACAAGAATGAAAGAATAGATTTTAGTTTTCAAGTGAATCATTTCCATTTCTCTGGCTTTCTTTTCTAACGTTAGAGAAGATTTTTTCCTTCTTTTCATAGATAATAACATTTCCGTTTCGTTGTTTGTTACTTCATTTCAGATATAAACCAAGTAAATATTCGGGAATAAACATTTTAGTGGCAATCATGCATTGGATCTGGCCACCAGGACGTTGTCAAAATTGCCAATCAATCTATTCTAGTTCTTTGACTGATGATATTCCCAACATTAAACAAATTCGTCGTTCTAATGACGGACGCTTTGTGTTGAATGAAGACGTTGTCGATGGCATTTTAGTTGAATCGAAACGAAACAGCATTGGATCCCAATATAGTAGCAGTGACGATGGAGGTTTTCTTCCAAAAAGAAATCGAATTCCGTGTCCGACATGGCGTCGTCCGCTTGTTCAATGGCCAAGTCAATTGAGCTTTCGTTCCGATGGTCAAAGCTCAAATCGTTGGATTGGTCTTGGTAAAAATTTACTTCAAACAATTCCTCAACTTCATCGTGTGACTTCGCCGAATTATCAGAACTCAGTTCCACTTACGGAAAATCTTCACATCAACACGATAAGTTCTTACGTACCTGCTCCGATGATCTCAAGTAATATTAACACACCTTCACGGTTAAGTCGAATTCACGCAAGCTCGCCAGCAACGTCAAGTCCTTTAGTGAATTCAATTTGGTCTCCACTTTATTTTAGTGATCTCAGTTCTGTTCATCCTTCATCAGCAGAAAGATCTTTTCCAAGTCATCGATCACAAGTCGTTGGTGGTGGTGTTTTCTCACCAAACACTTACAGATCTGTTCGTAACAGTCGGAATCCTCGTTATATTAACGAGTTGCCGGCACTTGGAACATTATATGATGAAACACGAAGGATGGCGCGGGGGTTCATTCCAGTACAAATTCCATCGCCGCCTGTAAGAAGCTATTATGCTAACATTGGACCTCATCTTCATAAGCCACCAATAGCAAGCTATAGATCAGGTCGTTCTCGAACTTTCCCTCGATCTTATAATCGAATGCTTCGAGCACCACCTGAACTTGCTTCACCAATGCTTAATCTCAATTTGAACATTCTGGAGCAGTCGCCAGAAAGTCAATCGAGTTCAAGTGGCTTTGGAAGTAAAAATACATCATCGCAACAAAATCAAAGTTCACAGTCTGGTGGAACTGCAAATGATTGGCGTCTACCGCCTTATCGCTCTCCACCTCAACCTTCAGTTTCGAGACAAAGTCAACATCATCATCAACAGCAACAACAGCAATTGAATAATGACAGTTCATCGCCATATTCAATGTCACAATGGTTTGAATTAATGCAACGTTTGAATTTGGCTTCAACAAGTGAATTTAAAGCAGTTGATGTTGGAAGTGTTGATGGTCATTATGAGTTTGATCCATCAACGCCAACGCCAACTGCTTCAACACCAACTGGTCGCGATGATTTCATTCAACATCAACAGCAACAACAATTACAACTTCAACATGCACATGATTTATTCGGCACATTAAGAACGAAACGTTTTCCTTATCATCATCAACAGCCTCGTTACGATCAATCAACAATCGATGCCAGAGTACAAGCAATGAAAGAAGAATTTTATGCGTACCGTAAACGACAAGCAATCAAACGTGCTGGAACTGTTTTAGAAAGTGCATGCTAACACTTTTTTTTATTCTAATTTAATTAATTTAGTTTAAACATGGTAGATCGAATTTAAATTTACATTCAAACCACCATATTAATTTAACATTGAAACAATTTTCATTTCCATGAGAACAAGAAATTGCGATGCGTTTCAGTAAACTCCGTCAAAAGAAAAAAGTTCTAAATTCAGAAACTTAAAGCCTCTTTAATAGTTAAAGAAAAAGTTCACTTTGTGTGTTGCAGAAAGTTTCGGGATAATGTTACGAATATTTATTTGTTCATTTACAGCCACCGACAATTGTGTTCGATAAACGAAAAAAGCCTTTTTTTTTTATTATTGCTATTCTTCTCTCTTTTTCTTTTGTTGTGATGTTTTGTGGCTTTTGTTGAAACTTTAGCGAAAGTTGGTAGGAAAATTTAATTTGCAACAACCCAAAACTTTCTGCATGCTGCCAAGAATTGTATAAAGATTTAGATTATTTTCATTTATGTAGCATGAGTTAGAAAAGTGGAATGAACTTCACCAGATGTCATGAGATTTTGTGGTGAAAACTTGGAAAAAAAGGAACAATAAAGAAGAAAAAAAACATAAAAATCTCATAGATGTTGTTAAAAATTAACAATGAATTGAAAAAAAAAGATATGCAAGACGAAATGTCGTCTAAAAGTCGCATAAAATCTACAAATGATGAAATAAAAAACATCAATTGGAACATGTAAAAGAGAGAAAAAAAATTAGAAATCAAAAAAATTTAAAAAAATAAAGAAAACAATTAATACTCAAGTTCGTGGATCAACGATTGAAGTTAGTTAATAAAACATATTTAAAATGTCAGATTAGAAAAAAGCCCAATTATCTAAATTTCGCGATTTTAATTTCAACGTATACATCTTGTAGAGATATTTACGTAAAAAAGTAAGTAAAATGCCAGATTTGAAAATATACACAAACAGATTCAACGGCAGTGTGATAACAACAAAATACTAATAAATAATTAAAAATACAAGCGAATGATGAAGATGAAAACTAAAAAATGTACTGTAGTTAATAAATAATCTATTAAGCAGGAAAATATGTTGTAGAATTAAAACATTAATGATAGAGAAACAATTTCTTGCACTAAATTTACGCTTTCTTGTGTCGTGTTGTAGCGTAACGTTCACTGCAAGAATATGTTGGAATCTTCATCACGAAAGCTTTTCTTTTAAAGGAATCAAAATCATTTTCTTGCCTTTTATCACTGTCACTAGTTTAATTATTTAAATCATAGTTCTTGTTTCAGTTACCTCATTACAATGCCTCCTATTTCTTGACGATTATGTTTATGAATAAGAAAGAAATCTCTCACAAATGCTGATGTTAATTTTAAAACACTTATTGTGATGCTCACTATACTTTGATAAAAAAAAATACTTTAATTCATTAATTGAAGAAAAAGAATCTTTAATAAAATGAACTCATCATTGATAAAATGGATGAAGAAAAAATGTTTAGACCATAAGTTTTCATAATTATGTACAATATCAGTAAAGCATGAAATGAAAAGAAAAACTATAAAAAAAGGAATTTTGAAAGGTTGATCCAGGATGGGACAAAATGATATTTATAAGCATAACAACTTTTTTTCAAATGAAAAATTTTATCTACCAATGTTGAGTAAGGAAACAAAACAAAAATTTTTCGCGGTAAAAGTTTATTGTAAGAAAGTAGTGAATAAAGTTGTAGAATTCTTTATTGCAATCATAGCTCGTAAACAATTTGTGAAGAGGCGAAAATAACAAATAATTGGCATCATTCCACAAACTTTAAACAGTTGAACTTACGATAAATAATTGAAATTGCACTCTGATTTATTATAGGAAAGATTTCCGATTCAATTTTTTTTTCCTTTTGCTAATAACTGAAAATAACAAATACATAAAACGACAACTTTCAAATTTAAAGAAACAAAAAGAAAAGTCATTGAAATCTTCTTATGCTTTTCATAAGCTAAACACAAGAATTTTTAAAGTAACTGTGTAGCATTTTACAAAACAAAGCAAAAAAAGTAAGAGAAAAAAATTAAAACAAAAATAAAATAATAAAAATAATAATAACATCGTATAGGCTCTTATAACTGATTCGTAAATATTTATAACTTGTCTAAATAGATGAATGAAAAAGCACAACATAAATAAGTTCATTTAACAAAATAAACTGAAACAAAAATAGGCTGAAACATTAAAAAGAATGTAAACTCAATCTGTAACATATTAAATTAAAAATGAAGAAAAAATAATATTGAAAAAGAAATAGTTGTAAGTAGAAATTGAGTTACACTTTAAAGTTTAAGATTAAAAGAAAAGAAGAATGAAGTGAAACAATTTTAAAAATTAATATCGACCACACACAGAAGTACATACATTGAGTGCACTGTTTCAGAGTTTCAATTTTCATTAATATAAATTCATGCTTCTTTTAGTTATTTATTTGTTCTTAAAGTTAAAAACAAAAATTAAGTTAAAAGTTTTTATCAACTGTCTCAAGTTCACGTAGCTTGAACAAACTCAAATAAAAAAGAAATTACTATTAAAACACACAATTTTGATTGAATGCAGTATAAAAGGTTAAGATTGGGCGATGAAAAAATGAAGTTATGTAATGAAATTCTGAAAAATTACACAATATACCAAAAAATTGAATAAAACTTAAAAAAAATAATAAATTTGAAACTTTTGATTCTTGAGTCTAATTTCAGAAGCTTTTGGAAACTTTTTCATTGATATTTAGCCGAGACACAATGCATGATCGAGTGGAACGATGTGAAAATGGAACAATGCATGTTATATGATCATCGGTTACTCATTACTCTTTAAAAGTGAAAAATTGTGACATGGTGACTTGTCTGCTTAGTTATTTGCAGAAAAAACGAATTTTCTATTTCAGCAGTTTTAGTCACTTTTTGACTGCACTGTCTTGATGCCAAATTTTCCACATTTCTTAGTCTTTCTAATTACAATAGAAATTCTTTGTGAACAACATCAGTTTTATGTTGTTAGATCTGATCTTGTTTCGAGTAAAATAATAATTTTAATGCACTTTTGTTGTATCAACTGTGTTTATCCATTAGCAGTTTGTTTATCTGACTTCTTGCATGAAAAGCTGGCGAGATAGAAAAGAAAAATAAAAACATTGTTTTGATGCTTCCATCAATAATGTTGTATGAAGCTGATATTTTTTAGCTGACCGTGCTACTATGAAATCAATCATTTGTTTTTGTATCAAGTTTAAAGCATTACAATTCATGTTTGCATGTATAAAAATATGTTTCTCAATAAAAACTATTCTTACTTTGATCATGATTCGATCACGGAGGCCAATTTCTCCATTTCATTAGTTGCATGAAATTCCCATGAAATCATCATAATAAATATTTACAATGTTGCGCATTATGAAGCATGCACTTGCTTTATATTCTATTGAGTTGTTGTTGAAAATTTGAAATTAATATCACACATTGACTGTGAAAAAAAACATTTCATCGAATTGGTCGTTTACTATTTTTACTCGTGTAGAAATAGCTGGAACAATTATTAGCTTTACAACTCACGTTCGAAAAATGAAAGAATGGAAAGAAAGAAATGTCGACTTAATCATCAGATTAAATTCGCATAAAGGAAAAAAAATTTACAAAAACTTCTTCAATGAGAAAAGGACGGATGAATAAGAAAAGCTGTATTAACAAACACTATAATAAAAAGTCACCCAACCGAACAACATTCTTATTGGATTTATCTACACCCACATAATGCAGTCACATAATGCAGCAGCATTTCGAAGAATTAAGGAAAAAGAAGTTTGTAAGTCATTATAACGAAAATTATCCGACATTATTCAACAGCATGTAAAATGAAGAAGCATTTTCCAGGTTCCACAGAATTAATGAGCAGGAAAGTGATTGCTGAACTAGTTTTAAAAATCAACAAGTATTTAAATTAGCTTTTCCTACCTTTCTTAATTAATGCTTCTCCACAAACATCAAACCGCTAAAGAGGGAATCATGACTAAGTATCTAGGAATTAAAAAATCTACTAATGATGTTTATTTTAAAGAGATGCACAAACGAAAAGATAAACATTGGTAGAAACAGACAGTAGACAGAAGAAAAATACTGTAATTGTATTGAGAAATGTTCTGTTTAGCGAATGATATCCGAAGGAAAAAAAATGACTTCTAACAGGAAGAAAGAGAATGAAACAGTAGACAAAGAAAGTTTGATGATATCTCATAATGTTGGTTTAAGTCCCTTTTTATATTCATAAGTAAACTGACTGAATTGTACTCGTAAGTCGTGTGTATAAATGAAAGAAGCATAAATATTATATGAATGTATAAACGAACATCGCACATGTGTAGCGCTTCGAGGGCAGAAGAAGAAAGAATAAAAACTGTGGAGAAATATACAAACGCAGAACGCTTCTCAATACACTTTTCGCTTTCATGTTCAACCTCAGTAAGTCAGTTGCATTTGAAGTGTTCGCGTGAACGGTATCGTGAAATCAAGAACGACGGCACAAAACGCTCTCATTTCCAACCAATTTCGTTCTTAATAATCTTTCTTCTCTTTACATTTGACTGCCTCATTTATTATAAAGCAGGCAAAACGAAGAAAGTGTTTCTCCTTTTATTTTTTTTTTCAAATAAAAATAGAAAATCGGCAGAAAATAGTTTTCCACTGCACAATTCGAAATGGAAATTGTCTGAAAATTAAATGAAGTGAAAATATTTCAACTTTCTTTTTTCCCCTGGTTAATAAATAAATAGAAGAGAAGTAAAAAAAAAGTGAATGAAAACAACAACAGTCAAGTGCAATTCTTTCTTAAATGTATAAACGAAGAGACGGAAATTAATTTTAAAGACGTCGAAAAAAGTTTATATCGTGACGAGGACATTCAACCGGATGCCGATTGTATTTGAATGCAAGCAAGATTGTGAAAAAAACATTATGAGAATTGTCGTCAACAAGCAATTTATGCATCATCAAGCTTAGAAAATTTCGCATCCACGCGTTGAACACTCAAAGCAGAACAAGAAAGCAAAAAATAAAATTAACAAAAACAAAAAATAAGAAAAAAAAAGGAAAGAAAAATTGACGGCACATGATACCAAAATAAAGAAAAAGATTCACAAAAGTTTTCTTTTATTTAAAAGTTGATGTTATATGAAACAGAGCGAAGAGAGCAGCGGAAGGAGAAGTGTTTGGCATGTTCTCAAAATGCAACAAATTTCGTTTGTCCAATGACTGAAAGAATCATAAGCATAAAATTTTTATGAACACCATAATTAATCGTCGGATTTAAACCCAAACATTATGTTTTTGGAAGTCGCGTTTGTAAATGATTAATAGACTAGCTGCAGTGTCGTGTAGTGAACAATGCGGAGTTGAATATTAATTTCTTTAGCCTAGGAGTGTCACTGTCGTCTAAAAACCGAATTAAATTAAAAATTATCTGCAAGAGGAATCAGATAATCCCAAGTAATTCAAGAATTTAATTCTGTGCAGATCTTTTCATATATCCGACAAGACATTTTAATACGTAGCTGTAAGCAGACATAAATTATTAATTTTTAATCAATACACGTCGCTGCCAATAATAGCGGAAAAAAACTGCAAATAAAAATGGAACCAAGAATACACTTCATTGGATTCTTCCTGCTCATCATTCGCTTTATAAATATTGATTCACATCCGAGACATGAGAATCCCGCAAGCAGACTCAGTCATAACAATAAATTAGAAACAGACTTTAGTGATGATGTGGTGAGTTAGTGTTTAAAATTATTTTTCTCCTCTTAGATACATTTTTGATTCAGATCGTAAACGGTTGGAAAATGTTTATTGATTTCACGAAAATTATTACATGCAAAGAAGATTCGCCAAACAAGCAGCAAACTTAAGGGCCAATCATCATTTTTATTGAACGTGAACTTTCAAAAATTAATTTCAATTTATTGAGTGATGATTGTGAAGCCTTTTTCCTCATCGTTAAGATATTAAAATGTAAAAAAGATTCGCAACTCTACTGGAATTTGATGTAAGATTGATATAAAAGAATCGCTTACGTCTGTTTTATTTAATAGAAATGACATTTTGCTGTTCAAGTCTAACTAGTGTCAAGGTTTCATTCAACTACGATCAAATCAAAAACTGATAATAATTACTAATCTATTTTTGTCGTTCCCTTTATTCTTTGATTGAAGAATTGAAATGAAAAGAACTTTTATTTGACGTTGAATTGATCAGTTAAGTCTACTCTCGTTTTCCTCTTACACAAGTCGCAAAATATCAAAAATTATCGTTTCTTTGGGTAAAATAAAACGATTGAAAAAAAGCAGACATTAAAACTCATGAAACAAACACTGGAAGCATCAAAATGTTTATTAATTAAAGCATGTCGTAAACATACAAGTAACAGTTGGAAACAATGAGTTTTAAACGAACTTCAATATGGTTTTTATCTCGAAAATTAATTTTTAAGCTTTTCAGTTGTCTAATTTCCCGAACAGAAATATTTCTACGTCGTTTCATTTAATTTCATTTGATTTCTTATTTAATCTTCCGTCGTGCTTTGTCTACAAAAGGTGCTAAATATTTCTGGAAAATTACTTTACGGTATTTTAACATTGCCCGATGCATCAATGTGAGATAAAATGATCTTTGTTTGCTTAACTGAAAGGCGTAATAAGTTTCGGGTGATTCACCTTTACATTACGGACTTTCCGATTTGTTATTATTTTCTCCCTTCTTGAATTAAGATTTCCCGATTGATGGAAATTGTACGATTTCCGCTACATCTGGTCGGCTATTTGAATACCAAGGGAATATTTATGATGAGAATGAGAATGGAAAGCTGGAACGTTTATTTACTCAATTAAATACAATTTGCGTTGAAACTTTGCTCAAAGGCAAGCAAGCAAACTCATTATTGTAATTGAAATGATAAAAAGAAACTTTCAGTCGTAAACAAAGACGTGCTAAACAATCTAAGATTCTTAAATAGATGAAAATGAAAATCGTGAGCGAATTTTCATGATTCATCCAACCCATTGTCCATTGCTTAGAATAATAAGTAAAAAGAACTTTTCGACAGTGTTCACGACATTCATACAAATGAGACTGAACGGAGAGAAAACATAAAACATAAACAAATAAAAAGCAAAGAAAACAAATTTAAAACAGGGGCGAGTCGTTGACTTCCCCGTTTATTATAATTTTCTTTTAACTATCCCTTTATTTTTATATCATCATCATAATATCCATAACATGCTTATGTTGACTGACGTTCAAGCGTCAAAATAAAATTTTATGATCTTTTCTTTAAATTAAATTTCGGAGTGGTGTGTCTCGTCGCTTACTCAATTCACATATGAAAGCATCGAATTAAAAGGTCAAATAAATGTGTGCCTTCCGGTAGAATGAACATAAAAAAATAAGAATCTGATCGTCTCGAAACATTTTGAGGCCCAATAAGAAAACAAATTCTTATAAGTTAACATGTGGATATGAAACTAGAACGAGGATCGCGCCTGAAATGTTCCCCACTGGGTTTCCTTTCTTTACTTCACAAACGATAAATTTTTCAATTCTGTTCATGTTTCCTTTGTGATTCAGCGTGTGCATAAATTTTCTCTAATTTCTCTCATATGGAAACCATGTCTGGGCCATGATGTCATTGAATTTCATTACCATAAATAGACATTTTTGCGTTTGCAAATTTCAACATGTTTTTTCTTAGCAGTAATTTGACCTCTTTTCCTGTCACTTGTCTAATTTGTTCTTTTCAATTCGTGTGATGAAACCAGCAAATAATGTTTTTTGCTCTCTTTGCTTTGCCGTGCGATGACAACGGTTTCGCTTCAAACATTTTTTTATTGTTCAATTAGAAAAGTTTTGTTCTATTCTTCTGTTTTTTCATGGAAGAATGTTTCATGCAATGAAACAACAGCAGTCAGTGTTCATTACCACCAAAAAAAAACTTTATGTATTTATTATATAATTGATTTTTTGATCCAAATTGCCGTCAGTTTAAACGATTACATTCTTTTTTGTTTCATCTCGCTGGTGGCACCAAGTCATAACATGACATATGTTTCAATTAACCTTTTTGTTTCCATTCGGTTCTTTGTTTTATAATAAATGCAAAGTTCGAGGCGCCAAAATGATTTTTCTTTAGATTTATGTTTAATCTTTAATAACTTCGTTCACATTTAGTGAACTTGGAGATAACTTGTGAGAATGAATTAATTATGAAAAGCTTTCATTTAAGGCGTTAACTAGAATAATTGCTTATGAATTATCATTAATTATTGTCTCGCATCTCATTAAATTGCATATAATTAAAATATTGATTCAAAGTTGTCAATTATCCATTAGCGAAAGTCTTTGTTTTCGTTTAATTAAATGAAGCTGAACAGCTTGTTGTATCAATATTAAGAAAGTTCAGATTTAATTTCATATTTCTAAAGTTGAAATTCAATAATTCAATGAAATTTAAAATGTTTAATATAAAATGAACTACAAATCGCACTTGAGTTTCAAAGTATTTAAATTAATTGTTTAGCTTATTTTTAATGTTTCTTTAAATTATGCAGCTTTGAAAAGTTAAGAGTTAACAGTCGATTTATTATTCAACTCAAGTTTCATTTCTTATTTTTATTTTTGCATATTTTCTTAAGATTTATTTCTCGGAAGGGAATTGTAAATAATTGAAAGCTCACGACGATATTGATCAAAGATATTGTTGTTAAAAAACACAAGAAAAAAAATATTCCTTTGACTTTGTAACTAAGAAGGAGAGTAAATCACAAATCAAATCCTACTCACAGAATATTCTGCTTCCAATCAAAGAAATTGAAAGTCACTTCCTATCAAGAAGACTACATTTTTACATTCAATAAGTCCACTCAACCCAGCGTTGGAATGAAGAAAAATATCTGTTTATTAAAAATCAGAATATAATTCTGCTATAAACTATAAACAATAATTGATTATTGTCTTCAAGTGGAAATAAACTTTTGTTTTCATATAAGGCGTTCATTGGAGTCATTGCAACTGTTGTAGATCGATTAATAGTGACAATAAGAACGTGATGAGGTTGTTTCATGAACTGTCGTTAGTAATTAATATTAACAGTGTTGTGTGTCTAAATTAAGGAACCGTTAAATCATCTTTTTTCATAAATACATGACATAAAGTTTTAATATAAGAGGCTTTTAATTAACCTGAATTATATGTTCATTGAACCATTTAGCGACTTAAACTTCTTTTTATTTATTTCTAGCAAAACTATCTCATGCAATTTGGCTATCTGCCGAAGTCAAGCATGGAGACTGGAAATCTTCGATCAGAAGATCAACTCAAAGATGCCATCAGAAGTTTACAAAAGTATGGAAATATTCCAGTCACTGGTAGAATAGATGAGAGAACAAGAATGTTACTTAAATCACCACGATGTGGTGTTCCTGATTTTGACACAAGTGATTTCAAAGCTCGTAAATGGCACCAATCAACACGCTCAAAACGATTTGTAATACAAGGACAGAAATGGTCCACTGAGAATGTCACGTGGAGGTAATTTCAGTCATGCAATAATGTTTCTCATGTCTAAATTCTTTTTTTATCGTTAGCCTAACGATCATGAATCATATTTTTGCTACTTCCTCTGTTTATTTTCTAAACAAATGCACTTCCGTAGTTTGTTTGGCTTTATTTGCATATTTTCAATTTATAGATTGATAAATAATGTTGTGTAACATTTTCATCTTTCCTTATCAGCATTTATTTTGAAACAAATTTTGACTTTTCTTATCAGTTACGAATGTTTAATGACAGGCAAAAAAAAATCAAAATAAATAAATGAAAGTTGTAGAAGATTTGGCGGAATGTTGCGTAACTTTATTCTGTATTTTTCATTGAGAATTTAAATGATTTGTTTTGTGTCTTGTCAACGAGTGAAGGAAAAAAATAAGTAAAAGAAACAACAAATAATTATTTCACACATCAACATCCGCTCTTATAAGAATGTTTTAATTTTTTTTTCATTCTACTTTGTATTCTCGTGTTCATTTAGAGCGAGTAATGGAGAACATTATTAACTTTAGAAATGATAACGACGTTAAATGAATATTGAAATCGAGAAAGACTTTGACAACATGACAGAAGCGCAATGAAATGTTTCAAGTAGGAAGACGAGCGGAAATTTTTAATGACAACAACTTTGATTCGGTCAATGGTGATGTGTTTATGTACACATCGGTCGATTTTAGAATTTTGATTACCATCATCATATTTGACTACATGTTAAACATATATTTATTTAACTGCGGATTTTATTGCTTCCAATAGCCATTTAGCTGTTGAAGGCTTAAATCGTAAATTATGAGGGTAAAGTGATGTGATCATTAAATGTTAAATCAACACAAAATGCTTTGACGATGTCGATCAACTATGACAGATTTAGAGTTTGCTTTTCTCTGATGCATCGAATCGACAACAATTGCTTTGTGAGATTTCTCAACAAAGCATAAATAATGCTAAACATGTGAATGTAATGAATATTTAAAAGCAAAGTGTTGATAATCGACTTCACTTTCATCTCAAGCCGCTTTCAAACACACAAAAAAGAGGCAAATCTCGACGGTAAACAAAAATGTTCGAATAGAAGTTGGGGACTTTGTAAGCCACTGAAACCACAGCAACGCGAAGAGATTGAATAGAGAACTGTTGTGGGAATATGAAATATAGTTTCTTGTGCTTCTGTTGTTGATTATTTATCTATGCAGTTGCATTCTAATTTCTCGTATTTTATGATTAATGACTTCTATAATCTTCATTTGAAACTCAAAGCTAATATTTATCTTTTATTTTATAGTCTAGTTAATCAGACGATGTCAACACTTGACGCTGGCCAGACGCGTCGAATTCTTCATGAAGCTCTAAGCGTCTGGTCAAAGAATTCAAAACTGAATTTCCGTGAAGTTTTAAGCACTGAAGCAGACATTCAAGTTTTATTTGCCAAGTGAGTCTCTTAAGATTACAATCAATGTGAAATATTAAGTCGAAGAAAATTTCTATCTGGGTGCAGACAAAATTTATTATAAAAAAGAATTTTATTTAAATCAACTAAATAATCCAAAATAATCTCATCTTCCTCGACACACGCCTTGATTCTTTTTTCGAGCCCTCATTAAAATGCAATCAATTTTTTCTTTTCATTTTCTGTTTTGATGTCAGAAAACATCACGGAGATGGATATGATTTTGATGGTCCCGGCAACATCTTAGCGCACGCCTTTTATCCCGGTTCTGGTCGAGGAGGCGATGCACATTTTGATCAAGACGAAGATTGGCATTTAGATGATCGTACGATTGAACATTATGGAACAAGCCTTAAAAATGTAGCAGTGCATGAATTCGGCCACAGTCTCGGACTTGGACATTCGTCTGTTCAGGGTGCAGTCATGTTTCCATGGTATCATGGATATCGTGGCGATGGTGACTTACCTGAAGACGATCGACTAGCAATTCAATCAATTTATGGCACAAGAAATGGAGCGAAACAATGGGGACCCAATCCAAGACGACATCATTACACAAGAAGAACCACAACCACTCCTAGAACCACAACAACTCGTCGCTCTTATACGAGACGTTATTACACAAGCAATCGAAAATATAACGATCCGAAAGGAAGACGAAACAGTTTTGACACAAATAACCCTTCGAAATATCCAGACAGACCGCGATACTATCCGTCCGTTGCAACAACAAAATCCCCCACAACAAAAACTACGACGGCACATCACAATACTCATCATAACAGACATCATCATCCGATTCCCGAAACATGCAACACTGCTTATGATGCTATAACTATTATTAGGGGTGAAATATTCATTTTTAAGGGTCGCTATCTATGGCGTGTTGGGAATGATGGCTTACTCGGCGGGTATCCACATGAAATCACTAAAATGTGGAATGAATTGCCTCGCGATCTGACTCATATCGATTCTGTTTATGAAAATAAGCGAAGACAAATTGTTTTCTTTATTGGTAAGTCATCGCACATGTGCATAAAAGAGAATGAAAATAATTAACTTCATGAGAAATTTGACAAATGAAATTTTTATATTTTTTTAATGAAATTCTTAGGAAAACGATATTATGTGTTTCATTCACAACATTTATTGCCTGACTATCCGAAACCACTCACTGATTTGGGACTTCCTGAGACACTTGAGAAGATTGATGCTGCTTTAGTGTGGGGACATAATAATCGGACGTATTTCTACAGCGGTATAATGACCAACAGGATTTTATAGGTTTTTAGGGCGAATTTAATTATTTGGATTGAATTTCAGGAACCGAATATTGGCGCTTTGATGAAGATGTGATGCATGTTGAGCTTGATTATCCACGGGATATGTCGATGTGGCGAGGCATTGGATATGATATTGATAGTGCTTTCCAGTATAAAGATGGTATGAGCGAATATTTTATGTTCATTATTTTAGTCAGGTTTTATCGTGTGATGAATGGAATTTAATCAGAGCAATGCATTTCAGGAAAAACCTATTTTTTCAAAGGAAAAGGTTATTGGCAATTTGATGATTATCACATGAGAGTTGCACATGAGTCGCAAAAAAAATCAGCACAAAGGTGGATGGGTTGTCGAGAGGTGTTAGAGTTATATCCCGATCAACGACAGTATTTGAAGAACACAAAACGTGATGAAGAAATGGAAGATGTTGAAAATGATGACGAAGAAGACATGTACTTTGAGTTTGAATCATCATCACAAACTTCGAAATCGAGCATAGTTTGTAGCAGTAAATTAGTGTTTATTTTCTTAGCAATTTACTCTTCTCTATTTAATGGAGACCGACTGGGGTTCACCTAAGAAAATAAGGTAACATAATTCCAATATAAGTTAATACAAGTGCCAAACATGATCATAAACTAGTATTTATTAAGTGAATGGATTGCAAGAACATTAATTAAATTTTTTATAAAAAAAAGTGGATTAAATTTTCACTGCCATAAATAATATTAAAACATATTCATGATAGACGAAAAAGAAATACTTTTTCAGTTTTCTTTGCTTTTCTAAATCATTGACCTTTTAATTATAATACTATAGCATGCTTCTTTATCTAAGAAAACACCAGCAACATAAACTGAAATAATTTTCTGTGATATGAAAAAACATGAGAAAATGAAATTGTATGAGATATGAATTTTTGAAAATTTAACAGCAGAAAAAATAAAATAAATATACGAAAACATAATAAAAAATGTGTGAACTTGTCTTTTAAATATTCGTCGTGTGAAATCGAGAGCAAAAATAGAAAAACTTCCGTGTTTTGGATTTTCAGTATCCAACGTTCTTTGTTTGATGTCGTTTTGATTTATATCGCGATGTCGTTAAACATTTACTACTCTTCTTCAGACGTCATTTACATTTTTTCCTATTTTTTAAAAATATCTCAAAACCAACACATTCACAATTTCCATGCCTTTAAATCCAATTCAGCGAGAAATAAAAGTCATGAAAAGCGCTTAACAGAATAAAATGTTATTGAATTTCAATATTGAAAAATACAAGCAATTAATGAATTGCTGTTCAAAATAATTAATAAGAAAATATGACTATTTTCAAAATTAATTCCATGATTCTCAAATCATTCTGTCGCAATTATGACAAAGAGCCAGATTTGCTATTATTCACTTTTCTTCAATGTTTTTGTTCAATTCAGCAAAAGTTTTGTACCCCCGACGTCAAGTTGAAAAGAAAAGAATGTTGTTATTATTCGCAAGTAAAATCGTAAATTTTCTTTAAATCATTCAAAATGTCGGAAGAGTTTGCACTTTGTTGGAATAATTTTACTGATAACATCACAGCTGGTTTTCATTCTCTTCTGTTTCGAGGCGATTTATGTGATGTGACGCTTGGTAATTAAATTTAATGATTTTAATGGCCTTTTATTGAACTATTGTTTTTATGTTAAAGCTGCTGAAGGGCAACTTCTAAAAGCCCACAAGGTTGTTCTATCAATTTGCAGTCCATATTTTCAGGAGATGTTTGTTACCAACCCATGCCAACATCCCATAATTATATTAAAAGATACGAAAGCGAAATTAGTTTTGAACCTTCTAGAATTCATGTATCAAGGAGCAGTAAATGTTAAACAGAGTGAACTTTCAGCGTTTATGAAGATAGCAGAGACCTTACAAATTAAAGGTTTAACAACAAATCCCAAAGAAAATAAAAGAACGTCAAGTGGTGAGAAATCTAAAGAGAAATTTTCTGATCAAAAATCTCCATTAAAACGCTGCAACGAAAGTCCTCCGACCACCGAGAATCAAAATAGTAATAAACAACAGAAAATTCAGAATGATGTGACTGATTTAACAATTGATGATGATGATGAGTCACAAGTTGATGAACAATTTAATGTTTCTGTTCCTGAAATCTCAATGGTTGAACTTGGACTTGATTCAAATCCTCTCAGCTCAAAATCACACGATTCATCTGAAGCTCATTTATCATTCACTCCAACAACTTTAAAGATATCAAGCAGTCAATCACTTGGGTCCAGTTCATTTGATACAAAAAGTGAATCAAAAGATTCGGAAAATCGTCAGCCTGAGATTCCAAATGAAGTTCCATCGTCAGGAGCTAACATCACGATGTTGTCATCAACAAGTTTGCTTCATGGAAATTGTATTTTCAATCGCAATAATACTGTTGCAACACAAGCTGGTCTCAAAACTTATTGGCTATGTAAAAGTTATAGAATATCAATGTGTAAAGCTCGGTGTATAACACATCAGGTAATGTCACCATTCAGTCTAATTTAATTAACATTTATAATAATTTATTCACTTATCTCTTCTGATATTATCAGGGAAAAGTCATTTCTGCGACTGGAGTTCACAACCATTCACTTCATATGAAAAACAAATATTCAGAAATTCCGCCGGGACACACTCCAAACATCATAAATTCAACGCAATCAATAAATGATTTTAAATCTAACATCAGTTCAATTGTCACACAAACAGCATCGTCACAGCAGCATCAGCAGCAACATCTTCAGCTACAAAGTCAACAAGGCTTCATCCAACCTTATCATTATTTCTCTCACATGATGGAACCAACAAACGAGCAAATTTACATGAGCCAAATAAATTCAAATCAACATTTTAATCCAACAACAAGTGAATCAAAGTTATCATTTTTACATGATCCATCAACAAGCACCCAAGGACAGTTCAAAATGGAAGACATTTAGTTAAAATAATTAATAAGATGTAACATTAAATATTGTAAGCATATGAGTTCTTATAAATAATTTATTTACAAATAGAAATATCTCTCATTATACTTATATAAATGCAAGGTTTGTTTATTTGTTATGAATTGAGATTTTTAGCAAATTCCGAATTCAAGCCCTGTATTCATTACGTGGTAACAATTAGCCAGCTAATCAAACACTGTTAAGTATCTAATGGAAGGAAATCACATAAATAAGTTTGATTTGACGCGAAAAAAAACTTGTAAATAAAAATATCCAAGATATTTAAGTCAAAGTTGTTTAAGTTATTCAATGTTAACTTTGCACTAAAAATTTTAATTAACAATATTCGAGTCTTATATTTATCTTGATAGCTTTACGCTGCATTGCAATATTTGAGCAGTTATAACGACGACAGTTTCATTGAGAGTTGACCAAACCTTAAATCAAAATGTGGTGCTTGGTGGTGTGACAGACACGATTTCAGATAAAACATAATCATCTGACTTGCTCTAGTTTTCAAATTAATTTAATAAGCCAAGAGATGTTTTATTAAAACAAAGTATCATCGTTCCATTGCACAACAATTCTCTGAAGTAAACATGCATCTAGTTAAACATGTCGTTTGTTGGTTGTTGCAACTTTCAAAGTGACAAATGCGTGCATTTATTTTCTTTTTACTGGTCGTCGATTTAATGTCGTTTTGATTTTATTTTGCATTTGATTAAATTTTTATTTGCTACCACACCACAAATGTTGCAAACGTTGGATACAAGACAAAAAATTGAAAGTACGTACGTTTAAGTGATTTAATTAAAAATCAATGTATAAAGTGATATCAAGGAAAATTGGAACACGACACTTTCCATTCTATCATGCGACATTGCTAAGTACATTGAATATTGTGTAAAAGAAATAAATAATTGCATTAAATGAATTTATAGCTTTACCACTTTAATCCTTTGGGAAATTTAATGCTTTTGATTATCTACCAAAAATGGTGCGTTTGGAAATTAAATTTAATTCGTTTTAATTTTTTATTTCTGATTTAATAAATTAGAAAATTTGAACCAATATATCACTAAAGCAAAAATCCACCAGACACTCAATTGAATGGATTAAAATATTTGGCAGGAGTTTAAATGGATTTACAGATGTTAACATCTTTCATTCAAATTGAGTTCAATGGTAAAATTCATTTATGAGAAGCTTTTGAAAATTCGTCAATGGATTGAATGAAATTTTGATGAATTAATCTTGTCGCAAACGGATTTAATTCAATCTTATTGAGATCAAATTTTGAAAAGATTGATAAAGTTTTCTTCTGCTTTTTCCATACGCAAGAAAGCTTTCTCTACTTTTTTGTTCGCTTCTGACGGACTTATAAATATACTGCAGAACGTTTACCAGACGAATCAAGCCATTCATCAATTACTATAAAAATTTTAGCAGCGCAACTGACATGCCCTGAGAGACGATTATCAGCATCAGATTTAACTTCGATACCTGCATAGTCAATATTATCAATAGGAATTGATGAAAAGTTTGCAAGGAAGTGAACTTAGGAAATGTAGTCAAGTAAGGAACTTTAACATATCGACTACGTAGTGATTAAAGCACAGAAAAAATCCAAATCAAAAGTTGAACGGACATTTCCAAGACAGGCATTGTATTTAGCACGGAACTCAACGTCAGTGCTTAAAGGAACAATTACGTTTAATTTCATGTACATAACATATGAAACAATTTCTTTACTCGAAAAGCTGTTGACTGTTAATCTTCCATCAATCAAATCAAATCAATATCATAATTGATTATCTGTGATCCGCTTCCTATAATGTTTTTAACAATCGATGACGATTGCATCTGAGAATAACTTGAGTAGTAAGTAATCGTAATTAAATTCTTTAGGATGTGAATTTATATTTAATGAATGAAAAATCAGTTCCTTTCAGTAATATATCTTATGAGTAGAATAATTGTGTGCAAAACATAAACAAATGTATGTTGTTGGCAGGGCGTGGAAGCAGAACAGAAATTTGAATTTATGTAAAAGCTAACGTGAAAAATCATGAAAAACTTTTGAATTTTATTCCGTCTTGATTTAAAATAGAAGTGGATGAACTTCAAAACTCTTCTTCTATCTATGAAACAAACCATGAAAGTGGAAGCTTTAAAACAAATCCCTAAAAGCGGAAGCTAGATGGAGTAAAAACTGCATTAAATTGAAAACCAGGAAAATTTCCACGCTCTGGCGTGTGTGAATCGACAGGCGTGACCAAATATAAAATTAAATAACGAGGCATATAAGGCTCCAAGTGAACTTAGGTAGCAGATATTTAACAAATCTATGGCAAATTTCAACCTTCAATTATTCGAATGCCACAATAAACATTTATAACGAACATAACAATGACGATATATGCTCCTGATGATTAAATGATTTTATGCAGTGAACATTAACGCAAAATTTTTGATTATAAATTATGATTATGAAGCAAACATAAACTAGGGTTGCTCAAAACCAACNTATATGCTCCTGATGATTAAATGATTTTATGCAGTGAACATTAACGCAAAATTTTTGATTATAAATTATGATTATGAAGCAAACATAAACATTTCATTCAAATTAGGCTGCTCAGCGTGCAGAGATTATAATCATTATTCATTCAGATGAAACACATCAAACAAACGCAAGTTTTCTTTTATGAATGTAAATATTATTAATTATATTTTGGTTTACATTTAATCAAAGCATGGTCATGATAATTCGTTGTTCATTTTTCGCAAGGATTGTTCCATAGGATGAAATGAGAGCGGCAACTCAAAAGTAGGATCAATTCGTCTTGTCTCACCTCATTATTCGCATTATTAATCATTCGCAATTTATTATGCAAAGAATGTTAAAAATATCTACATAAGTTCAATTGTAGGTTTCTATAAATCACATATTGTCTGAGTTGCTCACGCGTTGTTTCTGCATAAAATAACTTAAATATCTAATCGTAAAAATTGAAACTTATTCAAGTATCTGCACAAGTAAAGTAACAGCGGTAGGAAAGTGAATGGCTGAATATTATTCAAAAGCTGATCGATTTATTATAAAATCTTGTCTTAGGTCAAGAACAAACGCAAATGACTATTTTTCGTTGATTAAAAGTATTAATAAATTGCATTTTGCAACTTTTATGTGCTTGTTGGCATTTAAGTCGACAAATTATTTATTTAAGAATCTTATCAATTTTATTATTTAAAGCTTAATCAATCATCGATATATGTGTTGAACTTGAGCATGAAATATGATCAGATTTGTATCAAATGATCATTTAGTGCTAATTGGCATCAACAAACAAAGTAATGCGTCCAAATGGCAAAATTGATTAGTGCCCATTTCGAATGCAATGGTTAACGTTTTTTTTAGAGCAAATATTAGCAATATTACACATGTTTGTTTGATGTTGACTTAAACTGTTTTTTTTTCTATTTTTTCTTTTGCGTTTACGCCGAGAGCCAATTTATGATGTCGAAACTTCAATATTAAACTACTAAGCGCGTTGACGACAAAACAAAAAGTCACAAAAGCGATTGATTGTAAAAGGCATTTTAATGACAATCATTTAACTTCAACATGCAGCATTCCTCTTGGGTTTCGTTAACTAATGTCTCTCCTTTTGATTATTATATTTTTAATTTTCGGACCAACCTTTTACGGATTATGAATGGAGATTGAGCTGTTAATTATTTATGTTCGATGGACAAAATTTGCAACACTTTTTTCTGCCTTTTTAATTTATGTTTTCTAATAAAAAAAGTTTATGTTTATTAGACAAGCATAGATATATATACTTAAATAGAAATATATTCAGTCGATCATATACATTTAACTTCTCATTAGCTTTTTTTATGTTCTTGGAAACTTGAATGTGCATAACGTTGCATAATTTCTGAGAAATGAAAAGAAGAAAAAAATGAAAGTCCATGCTGCGATCTACATTCAATTGTGCAATATATAGGACACAGCATAACATGTTCTCTGCTACTTATGCTCTGACTCAGTCAATGTTCCTGCTCAAGGGCAAGTTTAATGAAAAAAAATTTATTCAGTTCGCAAAAATTAAGAAAGAAAGGCAGAGAAGAAAATGGGGAAAAACGATTAATCCAGTTTCATGATAAAAATCTTCGAGTACGCTTAAAATTTATGGACGCCCAATGTTTTCTCTGCCTTGACCCGTTGGAACTTATTCTATCACCAACTGAGCAGAAAATAACGGTCGATATATTTTGGCATGCGCAATTTAATTGTCTAGTGTACATTTACCTTTAATTAATCCTTCAACAGTTATGATTAATTTCAATTAAAAATTTATAAATTGATTTCATGGAGTTCAATGATCATCGGCAGCTATTAAAACTACAAAAAGATTTGGAAATGAATTGTTGAAAATTTGAAGAACGACTCAAACGTCGTTTAAGGTGAAGAAGACAATTTATTGAAATGCCCACGTGGATGAGTTAATAAAAGTAGATACAGTTAATCTTTCATCGTTTAGAGGACGCGCGTGCGATGCATGGATATTGCCAAAATAAAAATCGCATAAATAACATCAAGATAAAAATGTTGTTTACGCAATACGTTACAAGCGTATGAATGACCTAGCACGAAATTTCGCTACAATTATCGCTGACACACGCATAATGATAAAGAATCTCGATGTCTTGTATGACCCAATTTGGTTCGTTTTTTTTGTTTCTCTCATTAATTTCTTTTATTATTTCATTTCTTTTTTTTTGCCAAGTTTAAAGATAAAACGAAAGCGACCACGATCGACAATCTTTTTAAATGAAGCACTTACATTTTTACTGACATAATTTTCATGTAATTCTGCATACCGACGAGATATCTAAAACCGTAGGCAAAGTAAATATGAAGCTTTTGTATGTAAATATCTGTCAAAGTACTCTAAGGAGTCGCTTACGAAAGTCACATTAATTAAGTTAATGTGTAAATGAGATTGCTTCATATTCATTTAAAACTTTCAATTGCATGTGATGTTATAAATTAAATTTGTATCGATAACTTGCAAGCACAATAATCATGCGTTTTTATTCAAGAAAGAGAAAAGAAAGGGAAAAAGGTTCAAATTTTTATTCAAATCTAGAAAAGATCTTTTGCATTATGTAATTTTATGTATTTTAATATAAAGTCACGTGAAAATGTGTCATGCTTTATTGCAGTAAAAATATTTCATTTCAAATTAAATTAATACCTTTCGAATTTCCAAGCGTTCATGATATATTTAACCAAACATGTATTGAATGTTATTCTAAGGAATTGATTCAAAAAGTTTTCATTTCGAAAGAGTTTTATCAGCACGAGATAAAATATATAATTTACAAGCTAATACGCTCACGCTCAACGCACAGCATTATATTCGTAAACCATTCTGACAGTTCCTATTGACCACAACTAGTTTTATCTCGGTCAATACGAAGACCCGAAATAAATAAAAGAGTTCACCTCACTGTTAGCTCAACGACGTTAGTGAGTAAGCAAGTAAGTAAGAGAGTTTGCTTCTTAGTTTGTGCAAGTATTTATTTGTTCCCTTCTTCTTCAAAACTCCAAGTATTCCGGTTAAGTTTCTTTCTTTCATTAAAAACTTTTAAATTTTGACACAATTTTTCACTTGCTTGTTTGTTCCAGTCGCCAGTCAGGAATGTAAATAAATCCAGGCATATCAAAAAAACTTGATTTTGTTTTTGGGATGAGAACGACATGCAGTTGAATTGCGAAACATTTTAATTGCATTTCAAACATGTGCAACTGAAGACATCTAAGTGATGGAGAAGAAAAAAAATGAAAGAAATTCAGTTCAATGTATTCACGAGCGAGTCACTTAAGTAAATGTGTGAGCTGAATTTGAGTAAATCTTTCATTTTTTTCAGTTTATTCACATTTTTAACAGCTTTGAATCTTAAACGACGTTTGTGTGTCGTTCCTTTACCTTTTTCGTGTGTTTTTTTTCCTTCTCTCCAACAACGTTGGTTCCAATGCAATCATGAAACGAATGAGTAGTGAGTGAATTTATTTACTACAGAGAGCTTTTGAATGCCTTCTTTGAATCAGTAAAAGTTTCATTTTCTACTGTTTCCATCAAAAGTCTTTTATTTGAGCATGGGAAATCTGTTGTCGAGAAACAGTTAATATCCAACTGCTGAGCGGGCAAGTCAACTTTATTATTTCTCTAAGTCGTTGCGTATGCGGCTTTAAGTGTTGTTCCATTTGTGATTTTAATTATTATTATTCATAAAATCTGTTAACAGCGTAAAGATTTTTTATGTTGTTAGCAGATAAATAGAAAAATTCTTGAAAGATTAAAGTGACATTATTTATGATAAATTAAAACAACATAAAAAAGATTTTTTAACACGAAAAATAAATTTTTGATAAATCAGTTTAACGGTTTGCATTCTTCTTCAAGTTCATAATTTAAAATTAAAATTAAATTAGCAGGTTCATAAGATCTTTGGTCCAGAAAGGAAAAAAAGAAACAAAGAAGTGATTTATGAGAGATTTAATGCAAATTTAATCAGATTCCAGTCGGTATCTAATTGGAGATAATTAAGCGACGATCTTTCGAGTAATTCCCACTAGTGACTATAAAAATATTAGGAACAAGAAATGCTAGTGTAATTAAAATAAAACATTGCATAATAAAAAGTGGAATAAGAGTTGTGATTAATATAAAAACAAATTGTGTGAAAGATAAATAAAAACAAAAATGTTAGCGAGGTAAATCCCGATTTTCTAGAAATATTTCTGCAACATTGCACATCTATCTTGTGCTTTATGCAATCATAATAAGAAGACTAAACATTCCAACGCGTGGAAGGAAAGTTTTCGTTTTCTGTTTCATTCCTTCGTTCGTTGCGATTCAATTTGTGCATCTCGCGACAATAAATTAGATACTTTGTTGTAGTTGAGCGTTCAGTGAATGTAGAGAAGAAAAAGAAGAAGAAAAAGTTGCTTATAGACCAAACGAGTTTTCCCTTTTACGACTATCTATAACGAAAACATTGTGCGAAAACAAATCAATAGCAAAAAAGGCGGTTATTAAAATGAATGATAAATGATGCACTGCGGGAATATACATACATGTAATTTATAGCTGAAATTAATGTCTGAATGACTTCCAACTCTTGCTTTCGAACGAATTGTAGAACAAGAGAAATAAGAAAAGTAGAAAACTTTGAAACGACTATCAGATAAATAAAGAACAGTAACAGACAGTTTTCAATGCAACCATTCGCATTCGTGATATTGTAGACTGAAATTGAAAGTGCATTCTGGAAAATTACAGCATTAACTTTTCCTCGACATTAAAAAACCTTTCCTTGTCGTGCTGTGATTCAAATTTATCAAAAAAATTAAAATGGAGCGATTGTGTGAAAGTAAAAGTCTTGATTCAATCTATTTTGCTTTTCCTGTTAATAACTTTGATACTTTGGTATTTAAGACGAAGAGAAAAAAGAAATTGTAATCACACTTATTGGTAATAAAACACAATCAAATTGAATGATAAAATAAAAATTAATTTAGCTTCCATTTTTGGTTTTAAACTTATAAATAAATCGCCATACGCAAACTTATTTAATGATTACTCGCAACAGTTGGTTTACCTCTTCATGACTCAAACAGAAAATTTCTCTTCAACAACAATCAAAACAGATAATTAACCACGTCTAGGATAACTTTAATTTATTTTTTATGATAAAAACATTTCACATGTTAAAAGTTGTCTGCGACATTTGACTTCACACGCGATTTAAAAAGCTTCATGAACCAGTTTAAGCAAATAGATGTGAAGAAAAATTAAAGCTTAACTAATTAAATTCGCGAATTTTTTTTTTCATGCACTCTGTAACTAGATAATTAACTTGTTTTTATAAGCATTGATGTGTGTATATGTACATGAAACCAATTCCTTGTTTATAGTCAACATTAAGTTGATAAACAAGTGAAGCAAAAAGAGCACAGATTTGAAGAAAGATTCCATATACTGTAAAGAAGATTTTACGTAATTCAAAACGATAAAATTTCCTCTCACATTTCTGGTTTCACCAAACAGCCTTAAGCAATTTGTGAAAAGATTCAATCATGATGAAGAAGGCAAAGTCTGCAAACATCTTCATGACGCGATTGCTAAATAAATCATTTGTCCGATCTCAACTCTTCAATTAAGGAAGGCGTTCCGGAAGTAGAATTGAAAATGTGTACTATCTGATCCGAAGTGTTTGATGATCTTTTAAAGGTTTTGTTTTTTAAAAAAGATCACCGAATTTGAATTTCCGACTGACTCTTTCATCTCATTTTGTTTACTTCTTGTCAAGTTAACTTTGTTTTTTCGCTTAAACTTCAAGACAAAAAAAAAAGCGATATTCAAATACATTTGCAGTAGCTAATGATTCAAAAGAATAGCGGAATAAATGTAAGGTCGAAAGGCGTTTGTAGACGTTTGATATTGTGTAAATAAGTTTAATTGAATTGACCGGGCCAATTGTCAATCTGCTGTTTCTGACATCAACAACACGAAATTGCATTTAAATTTTCGTCTGAACTTTTATTTATGCAACATGAACGACCAATGATCGAAGCTTTAAACGATTGTTCTTTTGTTTCGCCTTGATCAAGTTTCCAATAATTAATCGAGAGTCAATTAAGTTTCATTGGCTTCAAGATTTCCATCCTTTTGATTCGATTGAATCAGAGTAAAGTCAATCCTCTTTATGATGCTTGTTATCCTTGGAATTCTTTTATTCTTTATATTTTTTTTTGTTTTTCACCACAAATGAAGTGACTTTAATACCATTCGAAACTGAATCATGGATATCACAGCAGTAAATATAAATGCTTGAAAACTTCAATAAAATCATAAAAAAGCAAGCAACAAGAAATAAAAACTCACGGGTGCGGAATGGTCTAACATGCGGCTGGAAATTGTCCAAACGAATGTTTCTCTCCATGGAATTGTAATTTTTCCGCTATCTGCGAAATAAAATTAATGTTTTGCCATTTTTGAAAAGCGCTGACGCAGAGTGAAGAAAAAGAAACGTTTAACTTGACTTGTACTTCTTTGTAGGGTTCGTTGCGGTAATGGCATTGATGTCTTTCGTGTCACGTTCATTTATCATTCTTGAAACCTGCGAGATAAGTTTTTGATCAATAATGAATAATCTTCGATCTCGTTTCGCACATTAAACGTACGTTTGAGTTTATGAAGTTAGTAACATACTTAAATAGCTGCAAATGACTCACATCAAATAAAATTTGTAGCACAATCGTATCGCAATTTATTTGCGCAAAAATCTCAAAGTCAAAGCTTTGAAGTGATTTGCTTGAAATTTTGAAGTGATAAATTAATTTGAAGTATGACAAAGAGTATGACATGTCGAAAGTTAAATGGCACGCATTTTGACGCATGATTGAAATCTCGCAAATAATGTTTGACATGATTTGTCTGCTTGCTCATTAACTTTTCATACTAAACATGTGTGTGGAGTTGCAGATCCTTCCGGTTGAAGTTTTCTTGCAAACAATTCAATTTGAATTTAAAATATGCTTCCTGTATGTGTAACAATTTTTTTTCTCTTTCGTCACCTTGCAGAATATTGATTTGCTTGGTCGTTTTACAAGTTTGCATCAATGGTCAGAGTTTCTTGTCATTTGATCCACACTCACAAGAATGTGCACTCGTTATGGGCCCAGGACGATCATCAGCGTTCGACTATGGCGTGAATTTATTCCGAGGGACCTTGTAAGTATCACAAATATTTATGTTCATATGAATATTAATGACTTACCATTCACTTCAAGTAGCTTTAAGCACAAGTTTTTCTCCTTTTTTTTATCTTGTCGCCTTAAATAAACTAACTACGCGTTCAGTTTAATGTTTAAATTTATGCGCGTCGTTCCAAAGCATGCAAAAACAATCAATAGTTTACCTCGCACCTCTCTTAAGCATAGGCAATTCACTTACACCATAAATACTTAGATATGTATTATGTAATGTAAACTTTTCTCTATACAAATCAAACGCACTCACTTAATGACGCTTGAAGTTTCCGCATTTATCTATAGACATAGAAATTTGCCCATCACATCACCTTTTAAGCATTTTGGAAACGTCATCTTGATGATTTTGTTTTCTTATTTCTCCTTATGGTTTAATAAAGTGTGGGAATTTCATGAAGGTAATTGTTTGGGATTTAAGATTGTTGAATGTGCATAAAAAGAGAGAAATTCCTGTTAATTAGTTGAAGACGGTTTTAATTCACTCATTTCCTTTCTTTTTATAGCTTCATTATTGAAGAATTTTGTTGATTGAAGTTAAAAAGAAGTTTTGTGACGAAACTCTTTGGAATTTGTAACATTTCCTGCAAGAAGCTTTCAACAGTTGCTTCTGCCTTAAGAAATATGATTTCCCATGTAGAGACAAAGACATGCGTTGATATTCAATTACGTTAAATCTCTTTCGTTTATTGAAATAACAGTACAGTTGTAGTAACATTTGTAAATAGGAAAAATCTGATATTTGCCAACTACTTGCTTCTTGCACTTTCATTATTAATTACGTAAATTATCACAAAACATCAATTGCCTTGAATTAAACGCCTTTGCATGACACCAAAAGAACGTTAATACTTGACAGTCATCAAGAAGAAGTTTGTTTCCATTCAATTAACGTTTGATAATTCAAATATTTCCTTTTCTATTGACAGAGGTCCACAAGTTCAATCGCATACTTGCATCACTTATGATGCCGTCAATCAAGCTTACATTGATGCGAGAAAAAGAATTCGTAAGTATTTTTAATATTTAAATCATTAACAATATGTAAATATCAAAATCATTTAGGTGTTGCGACTCCGAAAGGTGAGTGGAAGCCTGAAGACATCGCGACAGTTGGTGAACTATTGTTGGACATGTCGATACAACTTGCAAGAACGTGAGTACATTTCAGTAACATTGTTTTACCTTGTACCATGAACTGGTTTATCATTAAATATTGTATAATAATTGTCTGGTCTCTCTTGTGACTATTTATGTTTATACTTGTTCACATGAAAACTTAAGTGCTCAATGTGAAATTCACGCTATTTTCTTTATTGATCAGATTCGATTTGGAATATAGATCGACCTCTAAAAAACTGACTCTTAATCGGCAAGCGCACGCGTTAAGTATATGCAACATACAATTTAATTGATATTGCTTATTATGTTTGCGTACATACAAAGAAAACGTTGATTGACTCCCACTTTGAGGTAGTAAATCTACTTGCAAGTACAATTATAAACTCATTTAAACACTGGTTTTAATGAGAGTTTCACTGCTAATGCAGATCCTTTTGACCTCAATCATTTTTTTCTCTTTCTTGCTATGTTACTCAAGAATTGCAAAAGCAGCTGATCAAATCCAAAAATATCTTCATAAATATGCAAATAATTTTCTTATTATTCATTGAGAGCTGAAAAAAGGCGCCCCATAGACAGAACAAACAGTAAAGTTGATGAATAAAAAATTGTATCAGAGTCTCGCGACACGATAAAAGGTGTTGAATAACTCGATGCTGCTGGTAAATATGTAAATTGCGATCACAATTCACAAGATCCCAAACCAAAGCGTCTTTCATTCACTTTAGCTAACCTTGGCATAATTTCCCTTATTATTGTATTTCACATCGGCAATGGAGCTGCATAAAAAAAAGCAGACTAAATTGAATAAATAACAATAAGCTTTTAATTGATGTTATTTCTCTCATCGGGTGAATCGATTTCAGTCAATATAGCAGCGCGTGGTTTGCATGATCGTTGTTGGTGTTTTAAGGAAAATCTTAACACTCTTTGATGAAGCTGTTTAAGGTGAATTTACGAAACCTCTTTGGTTTTATTGTTGCTTTATATTTATCCAATAAAGTCTTTACATTCCAACAAGTGGTTAAAGTCAAATTTCGTACACAGTTTACACTTTATTAAGTGAAAATCCGACTAAGTGACGCTTCAATGAATTGTCGTTTAATTGAATCTAAGAAACATTAAGTAATAATCTCATTAATTACGAAAATTAAATACCATAAAGATTTCATGCGGATGCATTAATAGAAGATAAATTGCTTGTTACATAACAGCTTCGATTAGATAACAAATTCATCTCATTTACCTTAATCATCGTCAGACATCCGTAAACAAAAAAAAAAGAAAAAACAAAAACTTTTTTTCATGCAAGCCTTTCTAATTCAACAGCAACAACGAAGATCATCATGACATTGCTAAAGTCATTGCTTTGTGTATATGAAAAGTTTTCCCTCTTAACACAGACATCATGTGAATGTTTGTTGGAAGATTTGCTTTTTCACAGTCGCATAACATTCGCCGCCACCATCGTTCGTTACAATAGAAAATAAAATGGAACATTTTGTTTCTTGCTTGCCCGTACGAAGATGAATCCATAAATAACATTCAATGTCGCAATAACAAATGAACTCCAATTACTCTTCTTATTTCTTAACATATTGAAGCGCAATAGGCACAGATTGAATCGACACAATTCATAAAGAAAAAATATCATGAGTCGACAATTCAATTCTCGTTGGGCCATGCCAAATGATTGCGAACAAGTATAAGAGCCGGTGGTGTGTCAAGTTAAGTAGCGAATGATGACTGGGTAATTTGAATAATTTTAAGCTATTCTTTCAAACTATTTTAAGCATCTACAACAATGATTACTGAATTTTCATCATGAAACTCGTTTGCGCTTTCCAAAAATTGAATCAGAGTGATTTATGATTTTGAGCTTCTTCACAAGCAATGACTTTGGTTTAACGGGGGCGAGCGATGTGAAGATTTCTGTAACAAAAGTATTTAGATGAATGACTTTCTAGATCAGTTCAACATGTAAGATATCTCAACGTTATTAATCTGACTTTAACTAAGATTAATCACTTTCCCGAATAATTAAACAATTTTTAAATGGAAAGAGGTCATGCCATGTCTAGAGCGGAATGGAGTAAGAAGTAATAAATTTTCTGACACTACAAGCTGGTCTTTCAAACGATTCATCTGAATTTTCAAGCAGAGGTCAAGTCGCAATCAGATTTGGCATTAATTCACTCACTGAATTCAACAATCAATTAAACTTTACATAATTTCGGTAAACAATTCAATATATAAAACAGCGATGATCACATTGACCTCAACTATAGTTTAAAGTTTCATTGCAAATATTTCTCTTTTCAAAAATAATTAAATGTTGATCGATGAAAGATCAGGTCAAGTTTTACAGTTTTACAACACTGTTGTAGTCAATTTCAGCAGATTTATTGATTGGATCAACTGCGATAGGACCCGATTTTAATTAAAAAATTTGTTGTCGAGTGATTTTTAGCAAATTTGCTTTTCTTTTTCTTTTTGATTATTAAGACAATGATCTTTGTGGAGTTAAATAATTTAGTTTTCTAAAATTGCTTTGCTTTCACTATTTAAAATGAAATGACATGCTCAAGTTAATTTTTAAATAAGCCCTTATTAAAGACTTGTAATAACTTGTAATGATATGAACGGCATTGAGTTTAATTTTTTCTTTCCATTCTACTTGAATGTCTACTAGATTTCTCGTTACACAAAATGTAAATAAGAATAAATTGTAAATCGCGGTTGAAGACCTTAAATACCAGAATCATCGAAGAAATTTGACTTTGACCCACTGATCTACCGAAATACGAAAAATATTTATCCACAAAAAAAAAAATCGATGACAACACACACAACTGTTCATTTATGATATGTTTTAGAGCTTTTCATTATCCGGATTATGTTTCATTCAGCATTGAACGCATTGTAGCAAGAAGAAGAGAAAAAAAGTTTGATTTTGAAGTTAACAAAAAATAAAATCGATAATTTGCGTCAATTAACGTGACTTAACGGTTGTTTTTATGTCTCCCTCACTCTTCGAAGTGACAACAATTTAAAAACTTTTTATTTTCCTTCTTCTTTTTGATAATGAAACGAACACACGTTTGTATGAAACACCACGCCAGCCACCCAGCCACTCAGTGCTTGGAATGTGTGTGGGTAATAAAATAAACAAAGCGAGCTTATTCAGGTGAAAGAAATAAAAAATCTCGGACTTGGATCTATTTGGGTCCATTGAACCAAGAATTTATGAAATGGGAGTGAATGTAAGAGGGAAATCGAACAATGATTATTCAACAGATTCAATTTTAAGTCTTTTTCCTTCTTCTCTAATACTTTTCTCACTTACAAATAATTATTTTACGTTTACGTTTGCCCAGGTGCAATCTTTCATTACCTTCAACAGTTTCCATTCCATTTCATTTTCCTGCCTCAATCTTAAGATTGATTGAAGGGACAAGTAAATCGAAATTAAATTGATTAATCAAAATATATAAGTCAAACATGTGACATGTCTGGTTTCATATTTAAAATTTTCAATTTTAGTTAACTGGGGTGTAAAATGTTTCTTCTTTTTCTTTCCGGAATAGCTAACAAAGCCATAACAATTCTCGGTCTTAAATGAATAATTTTCAAATCTATGACAACAATCAGAAACATGATTCAGTTTTGTTAACAAATCCTACACAATTTTATTTCAATTCAACTAAGTAAATGTCGATAGCTATCGATTGGTGAAAATAATCAAAGCCACGACACGTTATGCAATTTAAATCCGTTTTCTTAATTTTGCGAATCTGAATTTTAGATTCGTAAAAAAAATTATCAGAAATTTGCCATCTCATTAAAAATTATAATAAAACTTTCTTTCTCCTTTTATTTTGCTTCAGCTATGGATTGAGCTACGAAGACATAGAGAAGGGACTGCCGCAAATTGACACATCAAAAACTCTTGTTCGCGAGGTGTGCCCACCATTCTTATCAGGTGTTGAATGTCGTCCGGGAAAGTATCGTCGAGTTGATGGTCTATGTAACAATTTAGAGAATCCAACATGGGGTGCAGCCAACACACCATTCCAACGTTTAATCGGACCACTTTATTCAGACAGTATCGGATCACCGCGTATCTCTGTGACTGGTCATGATTTACCACTTTCCCGAGTTGTATCACGCACAATTCATCCCGATGAAGGTTATCATGATCATGCGGGAACTGTTATGATCGTTGCTTGGGGACAGTTCATGGATCACGATTTGACATTGACTGGAACGCCATTGGGTGAGTTTGTTTGTCACTTTATAATCTTTTGATTCAATTAAAGCCGGCGAAAAGAAATTTTGAAATTGAGGTTGTTCATTCATGCAGTTCACGAAGTAATTGAAGGTCAATGCGGTAGATTTCATAATTTCAAACCACTTTGAAGCTTAAATTGCCTTTCGCTTCTCTTTTTTCATATCTTATTTATTTAATTACGCGATTATTTAAAAAGTCAACGATGTCGTTTAAGTAAACTTTCTGTTCATTTGTAGATCCGAGAAGTCGAAATGATCCCGAAGAATGTTGCAAACGTCCATTACATTTGAAGCATCCTTATTGTAATGAAATGCCTATTCCTGATGATGATTATTTCTATCGTTTATTCAATGTTAAATGCATTGATTTCGTCAGAGCTTTCCCATCACCACGACCTGGTTGTAAGTTGGGATCACGTTTACAATTTAACACTTTAACAGCTGTTATTGATGGCAATACAATCTACGGTGTCAGTGAAAAGTATACTAGAAAGTTGAGAACGGGATTCGGTGGATTTTTGAGAATGAATCCAGTCTTTTCTGAATATGGCTTGAAAGATTTATTGCCACTTAAACTCGACTATCCAGATGAAGGTTGTTCAAGACCAAACAAAGGAATGTTCTGCTTCGAAGCTGGTGAAATTCGTGTCAATGAACAGCTCGTTTTGACTTGTATGCATACATTGTTAGCTCGTGAACATAATCGTTTAGCAACTGAGTTATCTCGCATTAATCCACATTGGGATGATGAAACACTTTTCCAAGAAGCGCGCAGAATAAACATCGCTATCATTCAACATATCACTTACAATGAATTCCTACCAATTATTTTGGGTAAAGAAGTTATGGAGAAGTTCGGTTTGTTGACACAGAAAGAAGGATATTGGGATGGTTATGATCCACATGTTAATCCAGCTATTATTGATGCTTTTGCTGCTGCTGCCTTCCGTTTTGGTCACACACTTTTACCGACTGCTGTTGAACGATGGTCCAAGGCTCACAAATTCATTGCTTCGAAACGTCTTTCAGATCTCATTCGTCGTCCATTTGATTTGTATCGTGCTGGTGTCATGGATGAATATTTAATGGGTTTAATGAATCAAGTCGCTCAAGCTGTTGACGATTCAATTACACAAGAAGTTACGAATCACTTATTTAAGAAGGAAGGTGAACGCTTTGGCATGGATTTAGTGTCATTCAACATGCAACGTGGTCGCGAGTTTGGCGTGCCTGGTTTTAATGAATTCCGCAAATTCTGTGGTCTTCATATGGCTGAAACATTTGAAGAACTCTTTGGATCGATGCCTAATGAAACTGTTCGACGATATCAAAGTATATTTGAGCATCCACTTGATATTGATCTTTGGAGCGGTGGAGTTTCGGAGAAGTCATTGCCCGGCTCTATGCTTGGCCCAGTTTTCTCTTGCATCATTGCAACACAATTCAGTTATTTAAAACGAGGTGATCGCTTCTGGTATGAGCTTCCGAATCAACCTTCATCATTCACACCCGAACAACTACAAGAAATACGGAAAGTTAAATTAGCTCGCGTGATGTGCGACAATACTGATCTGATTGACTCCATTCAAATTTATCCAATGGTTTTGCCTGATCATGAGCTGTAAGTTATTATTTCATGGAACATTAATTTAATTTATTTTACCAAAAGAACATTTTCCGACAATTTCAAACATTCGTCTCCCTTCATCTGTTTCTGCTTTCTTTGTTTACAGAAATCCTCGTGTGCCCTGCAAATCTGGAATAATTCCTTCCATAGATCTTTCTAAATGGGCTGAAGATTTCGATCACTACTCGCCTCATCAATACGTAAGAAATACAAAAGAATAATATTAGAAATCAGAAATGGATCAGAACACCTGGTAGCTTATTACACAATGAAACTGTGAAGAGAAAGAACTGATCCTTTCTAATTGCCATTATTCTTCCGTTTCTAGTTTTTTTTTTTCTTTAACTTTTCATTTTTGTCTTTCTCCCTTCCAAAAAAAAAACACTTTTTCCATTTCTTTCACAGCAATTCCTTAACGATGTATCCGACATCAACTACAAGAAGTAAAAATCTTACCACCATCATCGGATTCTTAAGCAGATACAAAAGAAAATTTCTTTCATAACTTCTCAAGCGAGGCTCAAATTTTTGTAACGTCATCATCGGGATCACAATTTATTTATTGATTTGAATACAAGTCTGAAAAAATCTGCAAAGTATGCGACATGAAATTACAATTCATCTTCTGGAGTTGATTGGAGTAAAGCTTTCGTTCTGCATCATCATTAGACTTCTACTGACATCATCATTATAATTATTAAATCTTTTGCCATTTCATCCATTACCTTCCTTTCTTCTTTATTTAGTTTCGTTTCGAAAGTCATCTAAGTTTAAACTTGAATTAAAACTCTCATCATTTGTCGTCGTCATTTTTTATTTTTTATTGTTTGATTTTTGTTTTCTGCATTTACAATTTATTTTCTTGCCATTTCTTTAACCAAGTCTTTTCATTGTCATTTATCTACTTCTTTGTCATTCACTAAGTTTTTTCATCATTTTGTATATTATCCATTATGTGTTTCAAATCTAACATTGAGTCTTATTTAAAATAATCTTGAATTTAAAAAAAAAAGAAGACATGCCATGCCATATAAAAAATTATACAATTTTTCTAACGTTGCATCTTTTTCGTTAGCAAAATTTTTCATCGACATTTATGATTATAAGTGCTTCTCGATTAAAACGAAATTAATGTTTTGTGTACCTTACGTATTTGCCTTTTGTGTGTAAATAAAAATGAGATTCTAAAATTTAAGTTTTATTGTGGTTTAATTATTAGGGATGGAGGGATAATGTTGCAAAAAATTGTACTTACATCCGCTTGTGCTGGTTTTATTCCAGGTAGACGAAGAAGTTAATTCTCTATGCTTTCTTTGTCAATATTGAAGATATTAAAAGATGTTACAATGAAGAAATGAATTTTTTTTCGAATATTTTCACTTCTACCAGCGACTCTCAAACTTTATTTTCATATTATGAATTTGACGCGTAGACGAGTTACGCATCTCACTAACACTATTACAATTATGATCATATTTGCTTTCGAATGAAATTTTCAGCTTCAAACTATGATATCAAACAGAGATTTTAGTAAATAAATAAAAATTTTATCAACATTAAATAAAAAGTTTCTCAAACCACCAACACTTGAATTTATCGAGACGGTTATTTACATAAAATTTTTTATTCTCCACATTAATCATTTTGAACAGGAAAAAAAGCAACCTGAACTATAAAAATAAATATAGGATAAATTAATGAGAAATAAAATAGAATTCTTAATTGGTCTCATTTTCTTCTTCCTGATTCTTCTGATTACTTACAGGAACCTTCAGTAATTATGTGCTAACCTATTGTAATGAATAATAAAATGTGTAACCCATAAAGACAATTAATTGAATCAACAATCAAACTGATGCTCTTTTACACAGTCATTAAGAAACAAATGATTTGGTAAAAGATTTATTAGTTCATGGCAAACACACGCCCGTCTTTGGTTTAGAAAAAACCTTCCGAGACATAAAATTGAAAAATCTTTTCTTTACCAATTGTTCAATCATTAATCTTCGAAGATGCATTTGCCTTGAAAGAGCCGTCTCTATTGAAAGCATGAAAAATTTATTAGAATTAATCATTAAACAAAAAAAAGAAGAAAAGTTCTGTGGGTAAAGGAAACCGTTTTGTATAATTTCTGCATTGATGCCAATTGTTTAACAAATAAAAAGCAAAACCAATATGACGACAAATGACAAATGAATGTCTATTATCAATCTAAAATCATTTTTCTTTCCCCTTTCTCTAAAGCTTAAAATTCATTTAGGATTGTTATTGTTTAGAATGCTCCCTTAAAATTCCCACGAACGTGCATTAATTGGGGACACAAACCGAGCACTTGAGGCCAACTGTCACTTCCGTTTCAAGTCTTTAACTTTAAAAACACGAAATGCGTCGCATACTTCCGAACATATCCCGAATGTATTATTAGCTCTAGAGATCTCTTGAAAGAGGCCTTGATTATTCAAGAAACTTCCCAATCTTTCTCTTTCTTATTGTTCTTTTTCAATTTCAAAGAAGAAGAATGAAAAAACGGTCCATGTCATCCTTCACTCACCTCAGGTACAATTCTGGAACAGATGCAATTTTTGCATTATTTTCTTGTTTTGTTTTTCGGGTTGGTTTCCAGTAAGTTAAAAAGAAAGACTGAAACTATCTGTGTTGATTTTTAATCTGAATGCCCGAAAACAGAATTCGACTTAAATAAGAGAAAATTTCTTTTATTCATTCTTCTTCTTTTTCATTAACTTAGGACGAAATCTTTTCAAGACCTATTTAAAGTGAAAGAGATTTCTTTTCCTTCTTTTTGTGTGATCAATTGCAGCACAAGGACATGACATTGAAGGCTGAAAACACATAAGATTCCGAGCAACTTCTTCTTCATTCTTCTTCTTTCCAGGATAATTTCTGCTTGTTGCTGTTCTGGAGAACATCTGTCGATTTCTTTATTATTGACTCACATCTGAGAAAGTCTCATGGAGTAAAATTCAAGTTAGAAATTGCAATGAAGTCAATCAGAAATAAGCAGAAGAATTGTGAAATAAGCAACAGCATTGCTAGACTGTTGAATGTTGTTTTGTCTTCGTCCTTAGTTTGAATCTTTAAGATAAAAATCTGACTAGAAATCTCCAAATTTCTTGTAATAAAATGGTAAATTTATGTGTTTGCTAAAATTTTTAAGAGCTTATATGATTGTTATAAAAGCATAACAAGAGAAACAAATGTCTGCATTAATAGGATAAAAGCATAAAGAATGCTCAGAATGCTCAAGGAAGTTCATGTTCAGTCATAAAATCCTTTTTTTCTAAAGTAAATACAGGGATAAGTTACACAATTTGGGATCAAATGCATATTAAATAAGTTTACTCGTGATCGTAACATGATCATCTCTGTTCCTTGAAGTATCATGTTGATCTCATCATCAAATTATTGATTATAACGATGACTTGAAAACTCTTTCATCCTGCTGTGATTCAATGTATAACAAAAAATTATTTACTTAGCCTTGATTGTAGCAAACACAATACATGCTAACAATCGGAAAACTCTTTCGATACATTGAGAATGTATTTGGTATAATAAATCCCTCACATCAAAGAAGGCAAATGGCATCATAAATAAGAGAAACATTGATTTGCTTGTTAGGTAGAAGAATTATGTGTAACAACAATAATAAATCCATAAATTTATTTTCTTCAATTACGCCTAGGGAGATTTTAAGGAGAGAGTACAATCTTTCTACAATTATCCTTGGAGCTTTAAATGCTGTCACAGGGATGAACCCGATATTAACAATCATTGTTTCTATTTCTTTCCTATTCATCCGACACTGTAAGACGAAACACAACAACAACTGCTTTCTTAAGAGTCGACCGGTTTCTCAGAAGAAAAAAGCCTCGTAAAATTATATGCACTTCTTACACCGAAAAATGGGATGAAATGAAGAGAAAAAAGAAAAGTTCCATAAAGACTAATTGTTTTTTGCACTCTTTTGTTGAAAGCGTTAGGGAAGGAAGAAGAAGAATAATTCCTACAAAAACATTTCACAAAAGATAAGATCAGAAAGATTTACTTTCGGGCGTTCAAGAGATTGCAAAATATTATTTTCTTCTTCTTTTTACTTATTGCTTTATACATGAACGAGCATGTACCGTACACCTTTTCTTTGCTCTGGCATTGGCTCATTAAAGTGTCATTCATCATCGATCAGCATCACGCTCTTAGGTAATGTCTTGGATCATTCTTACAACAGAAGAATGAATATTATTTTAAAGAAAACTTTTGTGATCGGAGTGAAAGAAAGCGATCAATCGTTTGAACAAATATTGAATTTTTCATAGTAACTTTTGTTGAATGCAAAAACTCATCAACGAAAGAAGCTCATCAAACATTTATGCTTGTACATTTATCATAACATTTGTGACAGATGATTGCCTAATAAAAAGAAAAAGAAATTATTCTAGTGGTTTCACTTCATGTCGTGTGTTCAAAATCTTTTTATCCTCGTTTTTCTCACGAATTACTGAACATTCCTTTTGCAGAAAAATAAAAAGGAAAAACGATACATGTTAAGACATGAACTGACAGGGTCTAACACATTTCTGAAGTTGGAGCATAAGAAAAGCATAACTGGAACTGCATGAGTTGATACTTTGAAAGATACAAATTCATAGTTCTGAAAAGATATTTTTAGTGATTTTTTTCATGTTGAGTTGCAGACGGATTGCTTGAAGTATCTCAAGTATGAGTATGTACGTTAATTGCCATAAAGTCGACCACACTCTGACTTCTTCTTTTTCCTTTCAAATGATACTAATCACCTGTTCTAATAAACATACATAGATATATCATATTTTCATTCTTTACACCCGAAACTTCTTGTTCTTATTACTCAATTTTGTTATGTTTTTGTAAATCATCTTTTGTTTTGTTTGAGGAAATAAACGAGCGAAGAGTTTCAATTTTCAATTTCGAATATTACTACGTTAATGACTTGTTCTTACAATATTGGGGCGTATTTAGTTTTGACCTTCTTTTTTTTATGACAAATTAAGGAAATCTGGTTTTCATCCTCGTAATTAATGAAAAGAAACTTAACTGTAGCAAAATTTGATATATTTAGACGCTCTCGGAAAGTCAGAACTAGTCGTTGAAAAAGTAAAATAATGTAATGAGATAAACGCAGCAGAAAGGAAAAACTTAAATGTAACGAGAATTCTAAAAAAAGTAGACACTCGCAACGAGATGTAAATGACATCTTGAAGCTCCGTCAAGACATTTCATCTGTTCGTATATCAGCGATCGTATTTATGTGCCTTTGACAAATTCTTAAATGTCTTTTTGTGGCATGAAAAGTTTTTTTTTGGTTGATGCGTAGCTTTCGCTAGGAGCGTTTATAGATCTCTTCTTTTAAGATGTGTGGTTTTTTCCTATTCCACACTTCTCTACTCGGCTCTGCTCGACTGTGTATGACATTAGGAAAAAATCCCCTGAAAGATCCAAATTTAGAATTTCGATTCCGATGAACTCCTCACGTTCTTACCACTTCAGCGATTTATTTGAGTTCGCTGTTTTTTTTTATTATTTTCATTTATTTGTTGGCATGAAATTGAAGTTCAGTAGCCGGTCGAAAAGGCGTAAGAATGAATTAGCAAAAAATTAAGATTTTATGAGTGCACACATTGAAATTGTAAAGGCCAATGCGAAGAATTTTCTTAACGGTCAAACCTTGAGATGATTTTTGCTCAAGACTCGAAATCTTTCCCATCACAGATTAGATGCTTCATCTAAAAGTATGAATTAGGACAAAATTTCGGAGATTATTGTCCATTGCAAACAACTAAGTGATGAAGAAAGAAACAACAAAGCCGTCTGTCAGACATCACGAATACAAAAAAAAATCAGCTAAATTACTTACTGTAATTACACACTCGAAAGTTTTCAACTAACTTTATTCGATCTTCTTCTCAAGATAGAAAAAAAAAGCAAGAGTCTCTTGAATGGCTTAGTTTTCTCTTAAAAAATATAACAAATTGCCTGCGTAGAAAATGCATAACTTCAGGTTACTTGCTTCATTATAAAGATGGCATATTTCTTAAGAATGTTTTTCTTATCTTATTTCTTTTCTTTCACTTGATCAATGTTTACAAATATAATGCAATTTGGAGTTCCGAAAACATCCTTTCATGTTATTTTTTACGAATTGTACAAATATCACGATGATGAAGCGTTGCATCAGAAGCCAGGTGGTAAGCAAGGTGCTTTTCGCCTTCCACTTCACGTAAGCAACATTAATTAAATACATAGCACGCATGGATTTCTTTAACGTACATTTTAGAGTCTTTTAGATTTTAAAAACAAGAAATAGGGAAGAGAACGAGAAACTGATGAACACAGGATGCATTCAGGCGGAGAAAATTCATCTCCTTTCGTGAAGACGAAGACGATGAAACAAAATTCGTTTATTTTTTAAAACTTCACAACCACCATCCACTTAAACCTTCTTAGCATCGATTCTCCTTCTCACATCGTTTTACTTCTTTTTAATGATTTTCTTATGACCATCATTTTTGTAATTCGTTTTTTTGAAGAAACAGGTGAACCAAATCGACAACAACAAAAAAAAAAGTGTGTGTATAATTTCGGGTTCTTCTTCTTGATGTTTTGCGTGTTTGAGTTTATTCAGGTTTGTTGTTCTTTCAATTGCTCCAACCAGTTTCAACAACACTCTCTTAAACACGTTTCATTCTTATTTCTTCTTCTTCATTTGGATTACACTCAATTAAATATCTAGAGGCGCTTTCCAGCGCTATTTTGGGCAGTGAAGAAATTGAGAAATTTAAAATAAACAATAATTATTTGAAGATTCTTGTGCTTAAGCGCTGTCGTCCTTTCATCCATTAACTAATTACAGCAATTATACCCGGCTTCATTATGTCTTCGTTTGCATGTTAATCGGTCAAATAGATTCATAATTAATATGTTCACTGACGAGTGTTAAAAGCTGCACTTCACAAATATTATTAATCACCACCAAAGGCAAATGTTTAAGATATTTTTTCTTGATTTTTCTTCATATCGGTAAGACACACATAAAAGCAACCTTTTTTTTGTTTCTTATTCTCTTATGGCTTCATATTATAATTTTTAACGAGACCAAGAAAGACGGTTCAAGAAATTAACAGAGAATTTTAAATAAAAACCGAAAATATGGAAAATACATCGTTTCCGTTCTATGCGTATCAAATTGAAACTTGATTTGAAAAATTGGTTTCGATTTAATAGTTCACGAAAGTTTTGACGAGAGTTGAGTTGGGGAGTGTTAAAAATCAATCAACATTGTTAGAGTATCGTTTCGTTATTCCTTCTCTTGTTTGTAGATCACTTTTTTTCTATTTGAGATTTGATTTCATTTTCTAAATATATTTTTATCAGAAAATAGAAAAAAGAAATTTATGAAATCACGACAAAAGTTTCAAATTACCAAGAAAACCTCCTTCAACTCTCTTATCTGTTCGTATGATGGAACGTTAATGTAGCTTAGAGGCAGAGTGAACATTATGGGAAAGAATTATGCAGACATGTAGGGTGGATGGCAGTAAATTTTGATTTTTCTGGTACATTTGACGGATGTCTTTATCTACTTATGTCGGATGCATTGAAGATTATCACAATGTGTAAAAAAGCGATTCAGAATGCCTACATTTAGAAATCAAAGTTCGAGATCAAAATGTCGAAAGTTGTATGCTGAGAGCTGTTTTAATCTCGAATCATAGAATAACACGTTTAGATGTTCAAAATGTAATCTTTCAACTCTTCATTTGCATGTTTGTGAACCCACGTTTCATTGTTTTCATTTCATTCTATGTTTCCATTCTCATCTCATAAGACAACTACTTTGTTAATGTCAATTTTTATAAAGAGAAGCACCAAAGTAGTTCTTCTGAGCATCGTTGTAGTCCCTATTAAGATTAATTAAATTCAACATCCAAGTAGCTAAGAGGCTAAAATTATTTTTAGAATATAGAAACAACACGATCGGTTGATGCAGTTAATGCCGCAACGCCTTACATAAACTAAGCGAAAACGCAGCAATTTACTTAGACACATCAAAGCCGAAAGCAAAACGCACAAATTAGAATCGAGATGAAAACTATTTAAAATAGAATCAGTACGTTGACATTTGTGTGAGTGAGACGGGACTTACGGATTTTCAAGCATTTGTTGTAATTTGTTACTTCCAAGACTAAAAATAATTCTCAGATTCGATTGCATTTATGTTGAATGTTGACTGCATAGTCATATGAAAAGCGGGAAAAAGTATTCAACGAAGGTGAACATAACGTTGAAGTGTCACACGTATGTAGAATATCTATTTTTATAGGTTTATAATTTAATGTTTCATTAGTAGTAGATACTGGTATTTGGAACAAAGCGATAAAAAATAAATCACGAGGCTCATAGATTAAAGAACGATAAAAACTAACTAGATGACTATGTTGAGCGGAGGGAGTAAGCATAGAAAATTTCCCATCAAAACATTTCAACTTCTTTCTATGCTCAAACTGTCTCGTGCACTGTCAACAACAGTGAAACATAAAAAATAGAAAAATAAACTCGAAGCAAGAGAAATTTAATTATCGTTCAAAAAATCTTATCATTGAACCTTGTTTGTGATTGAAAACACATTTTTGAAAGATGTGTAAATTATTTTTATGAGACCCATGAGACTTTCACATTTCTCTGTTGTTAAACGTATATCGTTTAGCGTTAACTTTTTTTTTTCAAAACCTATATAGATATGTAATCTAATGAAATGAAATCTTTAAAACATCGTATCAAGTAGTGACTTCCATTAGCTATATTTACAGAAGAAAAATCAAGAGAAATGTAATCCGTAAATCACCTGACAACAGCACCATCTTGATCATTACTCCCCAAAAAAAAAACTTTCCATTTCAAAAGATAAGTCGGCTATTAAATTTCCATATTCGATTCAGAAATTTTAAATAAAATTCTAATATGTTAGCATAATAACTTCCTTCTTCATTTCATGCGTTCATTCTTTTTATCTTTTAAGAGTAGTAAAGAATTGTCCTTGGAAATGTTATAAAACTTGAAAACCAGCAACTCAAATATAAAAGCAAAAGTCAATAAAAATTATTTTAAGTAAAGAAAAAAAAAAGTCATGAGATTATTTCCATAAAGGAAATGTTTATAAAAATGTTTAATTAGATTTGAAGATGAAATGTTAGTTATGCTGTTTATGCTTCTAAAATTCTAATTGAATTTATTTCAAAAATAACTTTTATTATTATTTAATAATTATTTTTATACAAAGTTCTTTTTGCTTTCCTGTTTTAAAATCAAAAGTATTAAATATTTCACACGTCATTTTGCACTTGAAAATTTTGTCGCATATTTTTCTTTTCTATGTACATGTCGTCTTCCTTGCTTTTCCCAGACAGACAGTTTGCAAACGAGAAAGAGAGAGAAAGGGAGAAAGAAAGCGAGAGAAGCGAGTTCTACGTTTTCCGTCTAAGGAAGGTTCTATGAACTTTCATGAAAATATAATAATTAGATGGAGGGTTGAGTTTTCTTTTTCGGGTGGGTTGAGAAACATCACATTCTATGTAAAAATACTTTTGTTTTCTCATACCCTCGCATTGAAGAATTTAGGAAAAAATCAATTTGTTGTGTAAGTGTTAGTGATTTACTACGCCATGCCGACAAATGTGGTAGATCATGATGTTTTAAAAAATTTGCGAAAATGAATGAAATATACAAAGTCATCAATTGACACTGGCAAAAACGTTTATTTTGATGATTGTTAATGCAAATTAGGTAGTATCTGTATGAATCATCGATGATTCTCACAGTTTCTAGATTACTTATTCTTGTGAAATTCATCCGGCGCCATTTTTTTTGACATTGTAAACTGAAAGAGCCGAAAAAAAAAGCAAAACAACGTTAAAGGAAAAGAAAAGAGAGATGATCATTTATAATCGGCAGTATTAATTATTCATTGATAAGCATACTACTCCCTAAGTCATTGGAATTTCCATTTGATATTAAATAAATAATTGTAACAGCCATTCAAAATATTGTCGATCAAAATAAAACTGAGAGTGACTAACACTACAATACGTGAAATGATTAGAACTGAGTAAGTTTCTCTCTTGCAAAAGTTATTTCAACTTGTAAAATTGAACTTTGCTTTCGACACCATTAAGTTTGTGTTGTCGTAAAGGAATTTATCAAGTCATTTATGACAGAATTTTATAGTCGCTTTCTATAATAAGAATTAATTTTAAGATGCTAAATGTTTGTACCAGTTCAAGTATCACTAAAACTGCGATGTTGGCAGAATTTAGAGGCATTCTAATTTTGTTTCGTATGTGCTGAAGTCTTTGCTCTCCCGAATTTTTTTCTTCTCTCTCTCTTGACACGGAGGTTGTGACGAAGGAAAAAGAAAACCAAAATTTAACATACGAACGAAGATTTCATTCAAGTTATAGCCGCGCTCAAAACTAGACGCTTTTTCCAAAGTTCTTCAAAGGAAGAGTCTTTTTTAGCTCTGGATATATTCTTGTGAACAAATCAAAAGAAAGGTTGAAAAGTGAATAGGAAGAAGTGAATAACGAAACTAAAAAAAAGAATAAAAAGTTGGAGGGAATTAATTAAAAATAATTTCTTGAAATAAATAATTCGATTTTTTATTTTTTGGAGAAACAAGTTTTTTGAAAGTAGACGCGAACGCTATAAAGAAAGGAAAAATAAAGCAGAGCGAGAAATTCTTTGAATATCTAACATAAGGAGAAGACATCTATTTTGAAATTCCCTTATCAAAATTTGAAGAACTAATGCCTGTGGAAATTGCGAGACATCAAATAATTGATACACGTCCGCAAGTTTTAAGGAACCAGACAGATTTTCTTTTATATCTCGTATCAACCGCGGTTTTAACAAGTATTCAAAGGAATAAATATCACAGCAAAGACGATAATATATTGTGCATGGTGAAAAAGAAACACTAAATAACATTAATTATTGAAGAAAAGTTTAAGAAAAAACTAAATAAGAACTTGAGCCAGAAAAAAAGTGGCGTCTGAACGAAGAACAATAACTGAAAAATTTTGTGAAGAAAAAAAAGCGAAAACGAAGAATGATCCATCTTCCCGGAATTTGACCATATACCACTACGGATAAAATTTTAAAATAAATAAGAGAAGAGGTAAGGGCATCAAAGAGTAAATAGTGTCACTCCAAGTTTGCAAATGTATTCGTGTAACTGCAATAAAAAGATTTAGTGTGCGTGTGATAAGTCGAAATATAAAAAAAAATCTAGGCAAAAATATGCCACATCGACTATGCTTAATATCCACCCACGAATATTCTTTATTTATTTAAAATCGAATCTGGCAATATGAAATTGAGGCTCTAATAAACTTTTAAGGCAGTTTTGCTTAAATTCTCTTTTTTTTCATCTTATCAGACCAAGAATTGAAATTTCATTTCATCTCTGTCGCATTTTATTTAAAAATGTACAACATTTTCAAGACAGATAATGTCAGCGGTACGAAGAATAGAAAGGAGAGCACAAAAGTGCAACAATGTTAATAATATGCGTCGTGGCAGATATTTTGCTCTTTTTGATCTTCCATATGTGAAGAAAGAAAATAAAAAAAGAAGTTAATGATAACTTTTTGTATGGAAAAAAGAAAATAAATTAATGAATTGATAATCGGGGTCAATCCGCAGTAGGTATTAAGAAAGACTGAGATTAAAAGATGGATTAAGATTAAAGCATTTCATTCAATTATAATCAAAATTCATGTTGTCTAGTCGACAACATAAAAATCAAAAGAAATTCTCTTTGATTTTTATTTCTGATGCAATTTTTTCCTCATTCTTATCTACTCGTCTCTTTCCATCTTACGCAAAAACTGCTGCTTTAGTTTTCCTCACATTTAATGTGAATAAAAATTCCTTTCATTCCATTAGATATCATTTGCAACAGAAGAGAATAAAAAAAACATAAATGAAATGAAATGTGGAGATGATGATGAAGAAGATTGCGTTTGGATATGAGTTGGCAGTGAAAGGCAGGCAACTAATATTTTTGCACTCATTCAGCGCTAAACCGGTTTGCCGGCATGATTGAGAATGTGAACCGGCTTTATTTTATTTTACTTTAGTCCGCTCTTTTGTACAATTTTTTATTACTTTTTTGTTACTCTCCCAAAACTGATCATGTTTGCGGGTTCAATAACTTAATTCCCCTTTATTTTTTGTTGTTGTTTGCTTGCTTAACTTGACGAGCAGCTAAAATGATTATTAATATTAGAATGAAGAGGGTGAATTCATAAACTCTGTAAAGATTGTTTCTTTCTATGATCGCGAAAGATAGAAATCAACGGAAATAAGAAATGAAAGATTCTCATCTCCATAGAATTTCCAACTGATTCATTGTCACAGCGAAATAGAATAGAACCGCGCATAATTTAAACTTGTTTTTTATTTTCTGCAACTGCCAAAAAAAACGGCAAGAGCAAAAAACGCACAAAAAAACATTTTTGCTGAAAACCAGAAATATTTTTCTTTTCTTAACTCATTCCTTCCTTTCTTTTTTTTTCTCGGTTTCAGGTCTTCAAAAGATATCTACCAGCTGAAAAAAAAAATTATAAAATCAAATAAAGAAAACGAAGCAAGAATTTGTTTTCAAAAACATTATTTAAAGAAAAAAAGAAGATAAAAAAAATTAGTGGCGAAAGGAGAAAACTAAACCTTTGATTGTGATACAGAAAATATAAAATTGTGATAATTTTTATTATTCTTTTTTTCTGCTTCAATTACTACATAAAATTATAAACAAGACATTAATTAGATATATTTTTCTGTTGCGTGAAAGGCCAAGAGAAAATATATTAAAAAAACTATCAACATTTAGAAATTGTTGTTTTACGATATGCCTGTACGAATTCCCAAATCTGACACAATGTTGAGTTCACAGTTCGATCATAATCTTTGGTGTGACACATCTAGTTTGTATATCAATATGGATGAAGACGATTGGGGAATGAAATTCTTAGACGTAGACAAAACCGACACATTACTCTTAGCCAACTTTAATGCTTTCGAGAGTGTTAATATGGACTTTAGCGATATTCTAACGGCACCATCATCGCCAAAATATCAGATACGCCATCATGATTGTATGTGGTCGGGAACGTGTGTCGATAAGTCACATCCGAGTAAGAAGAAGGGTTTAAATTTATGTCCACCAAGTACCAGCAGTTCAGTAGTTCCTACACAACAACAACAGCTTCAACAACCCCAACAAAATGACACAACAAGCACGACAATGCAAAAATCATCATCAACAACAACAGAATCAAATTTAAAACTCACCTCAAAGAAGATCATGACGCCAAATAGCATCATGAAAAGTATCGTGTGTAGAGATAAGATACCAGTTGGAGGTTCATTGCTTATTAATTCAAGAATTAACACGAACACAGCCCCGACAAACATTATTCAACAGACCAGAGAAAGCAAAAGTATAGAAGGTTCAGGAAAAGAGTTCGACACGATAATGAATGCATCAATTAGCAATTTAAGACCAGATACACCACTTAGTCTCGGTGATGATGTACCCGAATTTAAGAATAATATCGACCTGACACCATGTCCAAGCAGCAATCGAATGAAATTTAGTGATCCAAATTCAACAAAAATCATTAACATGCTTCGTGAACATCTTGAAGAGACGTCGGGATGTCTTAATGACTCAACACCGTTTATGGGCGGTGCATTTAAAAATGGACGTCGAGCATCATCATCTGACCTCAATGACATTCTTACCGATATCACTTTCCTATCAGACTATGAAGACTTGGCCGATAATTCGAGCGATGTTGACATGGACGACGAAGATTGTGCTGAAATCATCGACTATAAGAGTGATAAATTTAACAAAATTCTTACAACGAGCATTTTACCCCAAGCATCATCATCAAGAACGATCAGTCACCATGGGTTTATAAGTGATCATAGTTATACAAGACCTAAAGGCAGTCGATATGATCCAATAGCGCTTGGAGTGCAAACACCATCAGATTCGGGTGAGTTGAAACTTTTCATTCTTAAAATATTCACACAGTGCAATCTTGCAATTAATGTTGAAAATTCAATCTTAATATCAAATAGAATTTTCATTTTTTAAAAACGTTTCACTGCATGTGTCTGCAAAATGAAGAAAAAAAATTCTTTTGCGGCTTTCAAAGCAACAACGACGACGACACTTTCCCTCTTTTTTCTTTATAGCTTTTTTAAGCGAAAACAAAAACAAAAAATTCAATTAAATCATAATTAAAAATTTCCTCCCGTCTGAACTCTTTCTTATTCCTCCTTCCATCTCTCTCACTCACTCACTTTATCTATGTCTCTATCTCTTTTTCATTTCGTGACGGTCGTTGAGCTCAAAAATTAAATTGCATCAAGTGCCAACGAAATGAGCTTTTGCTTTAAAGAACTTTTTTTTCTTTAAAGAAGAACGAAATGAAGGATGGATCATCGGTCTGATGATTTGCTTTCGTTTATAATTCATATTTCTTATTTTGTATTATAATTTTTTATACTCTACTGAATACTTCCACATTGCATATTGAAATTCAGGTTCGTGATGAGTCGTCTTGTTATGATTCCTACTGATGTGAATCGAAAGCCAGAGCGGCGATAACGACTTTTACTACTCTAATTGGTTTTCATTATTTCACACTGCTTATGATGATTTTTACTATAACGATAATGATTCATAAAATCCGGACAACAACACAAGTTAAATTGATGTCGAGCCGGTTGATTATTCTCACATATATCGCGTCTACCCATATAAATGCGCCAACAACTAATAAAAAAATACATTTTTCTCTTTTTGTAATGCGGCTTTCCTATGATTCCATCAACACCAAAAAGGCGAGCGAGATGACGTCATGGAAATATTGAATTTTAGGCGCGGTTGTTGGCACCAAGAGTTCTTTTTTCTCAATTTTTTTTTCTTGAAGCATATGGAATCATGAGAAAATTTTCTGTGATACATAAAAGTGAACAAAAATATGTATATTGAGCTTCAAACAGAGAGAATAATAAAAATCTATCAACTGGAGTGAACCACGCACGCGCGAAAACAAGAAAAAAAAATTAAAAGTTTCTATAAACCTACGTCAACATTTTCACAAGCCGGGCTTTGTAGCTGGAAACAATTGTAGTTTCAAATATGTGTGTGGGGGGCCAATGTTCAAGGGAAGTAAAGAGAGATGGAAGGTTTTGGCGCGAAACTCATGTAAAGCTACTTTAAATGAAAGCGAATATAAAGGGCGGTATATGAAACTATGTATTGATTAAAAATTTCACTCTAAACTTTATGCAAATGCAAAAAAGAAAAGAAAAAAAATGTAAAATGATATAGCATCTTGTTGACGGTTATAACTGATTTAATTGAATGTGTGATAAAAGTTATTGAGGTCTCGTAGGTAGAAGAATATCGTAACTGATGTAGGTTGTTGCAGTTAAGCCTTTCTCTGCTTTAAATGTTCCATTTTTAAGCGAATTTCTCATTTCTCGAGCAAACCAGCCCATGTTGTGTCTAAAGTCCAATTTCCGATTCAAATATTTTACTTTTTTGCTCTTGACTTGTTCGCATTAATTAAAGTCTAGTTTATTTCTTTTTCACAAGTATCACATTGCTGTTGTAGACTGCGACAAGAGTATGAAGTAAGCAGGCAAAAGTTTAAAGGAAAACATCAATTAATAGAGACATAAAAAGAGAAAAAAGAATGAAATGAGAGCAAATGGTTCTCTTTACTCGACTTTCATTGCCCTAAAGATAATTTCTTTCTGATTTATTAATAATTAAATCCAAATATATCTCGAAAAATGCTGAAAACTTCATCCAGACATTTACAAACACAGTGAAAAACTTTCACAGACTTTATGACCATTCGTGGATAAATCAGAAAGTCTCGTCTCGAAACGAATTCTTTTGAAAATTTTTTGATTGTATCAGCAGAACTCTTTTCATTATTCACTTAAATTAGTTATGCGTATCTGCTTTTTTTTTCGCTATGATTACGCGTGGAATGCCGAATTGCCGAAATAAAAAATGGCGTTTGTACGACCTTGAACTCACTGTTCTCTTTCCTGAGACTGGAGAAGAAAAAAAGGTTCTGTGTGCGAGCGAGAAAAGTAATCACCACAATTCTGGACGATCAGCGACAATGAAAAGTGTCGTACAATAGAGATGCTCTCACATAAATTCAAATCTGTATTATGCTTCTATGTGTCTACGCTCAAAATTCTTGTATACAATGAAATGTCGTCCCATGCTGAACCCAACATTTCATTCTTCTTCCCCACGAAAAACCCTGTGATCTCATCAAGACGGGAAAATTCGCCGGCTTTTCAGTTTTTCCCATGTTAGAGCGAAAGAGATGAAATGAAACTTTTCTCACATTCATGTTTGTGTTAGAGGAAAATTATGGTATCATTTCTACTTATTTTCCTACATTGCACACGGGATGGGATGCCTCAGACATTCTCTCACTCCCAAAAAGAAAAATGTTTTCTTTTTTGATATCCTTGAATACTTTTTCTTTTTCTTCTTTCATCGAATCATGTTATTTTATTTTATCTTCATTTCTCAAGGATTAAAGTCCACCCTCATTCCAAATGCCTGCAAGATGATACAAGAAAAGTTTTTCTTTCTTTTTTCCTTTCGGCAATTTGAGGAAACATTTTTTGGATGTTGCTAAGGGGGGAAATTTCGAATTGTAGAATTGTAGAATGGGAGTAGTTAGACACTTATACAAGCAAAGGATTATTGGGAGGTAAGGAGGTGGAATTTCATGCCGGCACAGAGTAGAAATCGATAATGAAAGAAAAAAAGCATACACGGGCGATGTACTTGGTTCTGGTTGTTATTATATTACCCGCCACAATTCAGGATGTTCTTTTCAAATTAAATTATGCATGTTATGAACTTTAACTGGTATCAATGACCATTGTTTAATCTTTTCATGTGGCGTAAGTGTTTCGTATTTCTTTTGGCATCTTAATAAGCTTGAAAATAAAAATCCGATTATTTGTGGACATTTTTCTGTTTCTTTTTTTTTTGCATTCATTTCTTGAAACTTTTAAGAAGTAAAGGAGTGAGAAATATAAGGCAGAGGAAAAGAAATAAAAGCCAGACTCACTTATACTTATAAAAAAAGGAATAAAAGTTATAGGAGGGGGTGGAAGAGGGTGAATAAAATATTTCTGTGAAAGCAAAAAGAGAAAACTGATGGAATTTTATGGTAAAAATAATATTTCCTGTTATTTATTTTTTTCTCTCTCTTTAAATCGATCTTATGTTTTTATTGTATCAATGGTGGAGACCGCACCGAACCGCAAATTATTATGTAGTGCAATCAAAGCTGAGTCACGAAAAAAAGAAATAAAATCTTGTTTCCTTCTTTCCATTGAACCGTGATGAATAATCTCAATCTGCGATGAACTTGGCTCCAGAAAATAAATGATTCGCACTACAAGGAATGCGTTCTTAGAATTTTAGAAATCACATTAGCTTTAGTTAAACAAGTCAGTAATATTCAAAGAATTGATGAGACGAAAGAGAAGAAAAAAGCGCCAAATTGTGTATTATGTCATCACACATGTGTGTGGCTGTTCGACGCCTCAGCGACAAAAATTTTCTACTTATTCCACGAAGAAAGTATTTTGAGAACATTAAATATTTAAGAAAGAAGCGCCTTGAATACATATACTTCTGTTGATGAAATATTATCTGGTAATAAATGCCACGAATGATGCAAGTGATGAATGCACGAAATTCTTTGTCAACATCATGAGATGAAAAGAACGACAAAAGTCTTTTTTTCCCTCGTACATCTTTGTTTCCAACTGATCAAATAAGCTCATATCTTTCATGTGATGGAACAAAATTTTGATGATTGAACAAGTTTTTATCGCATACACGTATATTTAAATTAATCATTCATTATTTGGCCCGTTTGTTGGCACCAAGGATTAAAAGCGAGGTCATGAAATAGAAAACATCCATAGTAACATTCTTAAAAAAGAAAAATAAAAAGAAATTAAACATCTATTTAAACAAAAGTTTTCCTCTAAATAGAATTGAGATCTCCGCGTAAAATTTTTCAACACACACAAACAATTCCTAATAAATCAGCTCCATATATTTACATGGCGGAGAATCGAGACTTGTATTACGTATTGGCGAGACAAACACACAACTTCACTTAAATCATGTAGTTGCAAATGTGTGAGTGTGAAAACACGTAGAAAGAAGAGAGAGAAAGAGAAGCCAAAAAAAGATTTTTTTTCCGCATAGCAACAGCAACTTTTAAAAGAAGATAATCGCACACAGCATGAAACGTACTGTGAATGAAATATTTGAGAAGTTTGAATGTATGCTGCGAAGTCGGCACGCGGGGCCTCCTTATACGTTTACATGATTCATATAACTTTACTTGAATACATAGATATATGTATAAGAGGAAAGCGCTTCATCTTCTTTTGCCTTTCAATTCTCATCAAGTGAAAGATTTTTTCTGTTGTAAAAGATTGTTCTCTTCACTTTATGACATCGATGCTCTTTACAGGTTTTTAACGAAGAAGCGATGCGTGGCTAAGTCAAACATGTTAATCATTTCTATTCTTCAATTAGCAAGACAAGACTAATGAAAAAGTTTAGAGTTATTTTCTTCTTCTCATTTCTCAACTATGAAATTTATCTGGCGCAGATGTGGCGAGAAAAATCTTTTTCTATAATATTTTTCTTTAATAGTAGGAAGTCAACATAAATGGAAATGATAATAATTCCCATCACGTATAATATTTTGCCATCGAGAATTCCCCCACAAAAAAGAAAAAAGAAAAAAGAAATGAAACGACAGTTTAAGACAGCATAAGTTATGCATTCGTGTATCATATTTTTAATGTCTTGAAAGTATCTTCGTTATCTTGTTGTGAAATCTTTGGTGGCTGAGTGTTGATTCCGTTGATTGCTTCAGGCTTGACATCACCTGACTTGTGGAAAGCTTTAATGAATTTTTTTTCTTCTCCTTAATTAAAACTACTTTTAACTTTATAGCTTTTTTTTTCTTTCTTTTAAATGCCTTGAAGTGAACTCATTGCAAATTTTTCTCGTTTTTAATTTATTACAGAAGAAGAAATTGATGTTGTCAACATAAGCGAGAAAAATCTTCCTACAAATCCCAGTGCTCGTGATCGTCGTGCACTTCAAACAACAGTAGCACATAAGATTGCAAAAAGCAAACATCCAAATCAAAGAAGACGCGTTTCTGATGACGATTCATTATCATCATCAACATCAACTTTATCAAGTAAGGGCTCTACACCTGCCAAGATTGGATCGCAGACACCACTTCGTTATATTTATTCCTCAGGGCAAAGTTCAGCTAGAAAGCGTAAGGATAACAATAACAATGAGGCCAACAAGAAATATCGTTACGGCCATAGTAAGAAACAGCGATTATCGCACAATAAACATCAAAAGACTATCGATCCCGACGAAGCAGAAACAATTGAAAAGCGCAATTTGCACAACAATATGGAACGTCAGAGAAGAATAGGCTTGAAGAATCTCTTCGAAGAGCTCAAATGTCAAATTCCATCTTTGAAAGATAAGGAGAGAGCTCCGAAAGTAAATATTTTGCGAGAAGCTGCAGTTTATTGTACGAAGTTGCGACGTGACGAGGATCTTCACGCAGAGTTGACCAAGAAACATAATCGATTATTGACGCGCGTGAAAAATTTGAAAGCTTCAATTGCAGCTCAACAAAGAAGAAATTATTAATTTTTTTTTGCGGATTGTGGGGAGGGTGAAATATGGAAAAATGCGGGTAAAAAAAATCTGATAAATGAAATCCAAAAAGAAAAGTTTGAATTTGAGAAATGAGTTGAAAAAAAATATTATTGAAAGAAAGAAAATTAGAAATGAGCAGTGAGGGCAGTAAAAGAATTACAATTCTCGAATGAAGATTACGAAGAATGCTTTTAATAACAATTGAACTGAAGAAGAAGCTTGAAATGCACATCAAAATAGCAAATAATTGTAACACACACAGATCTCGATTAATCATTAAGTTTTTTTATCGTTTAAGTTTTTTTTTTCTTGTTTTCTAATGAAAAATTTTCCTCAAATTTTATTTTTTTTCTTCACTTTTTCCTAGATTTCCGATTCTATTGACGGTGAAAAAGAAAGAAAAAAAAGAATGGAAAATGTAAACGATAACATGATAAACATATTTTTTCTTCATTTGTAACAACTCTTTCATGAACTATAATTACTGATTGAATATTAAAAAAAAAACAAAATGTTGTTATGAGAGGAAATGCTAAATAGAAAATTATATAAAACCATGAAATGAAAGCATATTAAACATTTTTTTACTGACGAAAGTGGAACAGTTTTTAAGGGAGAGAAAGATTATTTCAGAGGTTCAATTATATGAGTTTATGCTTCCCTCTGATAACGTAAACTGGTTCTGGATTTTATTTAGAAATCAAAAGAAAATTAAGTTTTCCCTCTTTGTGTAAATAAACTTCTGTTTTATTTGTTTCGGAAACGAATTTAGGTGTTTTTACATGCTTAAGTCATTAATAAGTGAATTGGGATGAAACATTTAAGATGAGAAAAGAGTCCGAAGCTTGATTAAATATATCTTCAAACATATATATTATATACATGTATACATACAACATACAACATGACTAAGACCATTTAACCATAATTTTTTTCTCATCTTTTCTATATGAATTAATTTGATAGCTTTGGCTACATTTTACATGAAAAATGCGCTTTTATTAAGAATTAAGAGATAAAAACTTACTAACAAGAAAGAAAAGAAAATATACAGACAGAGTCCATGATTCTATTGATTACATTTGACTAGTTATGGTAAGAAAAGAAAAATATACCTCCATGAAATTTTTTCGTCATTAATGAATATCCTGAAATTACGCTTCATAGAACTGATATGTAATTTAAAAGAAGTTTTTAAGAAATTCTTGCTTTTGTTGGAAGCTTTTAAGCACATTAGAAGTTGTCCACTTAACAAACCTTTACACTTGTGCTTGCTTTATGCAGTTTCTATTGTCAACTCAATCATTTTCTTCCTCTTATTTAATTTTTCTTTTTTTCTTTTGTGTTTTAACTTAAGATTCTAAAACAACTCGAAAAAAATTTAACTTTCTAAGAAATATCTGCTTGCTTTTTCGGTTTGACTTTCTAATCAAGTAAGATTGTAAATAGTTTATAAACTTTTCACTTTTCTTTCTTAATTCATTTTATTTTGTTCAAAAGTTAATCATTTTTATAATTTTAATTAGTGGTTTGTCATTTGTCATCATGAATAATAGCTTTTTGGAATAAATCACAACGTCAAAATTACACTTTTAGGCAGTTTTTTGTCCGTGCATTGACGCAAAATAAAAATTTTTAAGGAAAAAAAATTCATTGATATGTAACATGTGCCAACGATAGTGTAAATAGTCGATTTATTAATTTTATACATATATTTTTTTTTACACATTATATTATATTGAACAATTAATAACAAGCGTTTTTACATGCGAAATTTTGTGCTAAATTTTTTTTCTTTTCTTTTCGTTTTGTAAACGACAAATGTAGAGAATCTAATTTTTTTTAATACAATTTACTGGTATTTTGTTTTGTTGACCTTATTAACACGCAGATTCTATAATTGAAGAATTTTAATAACATTAGCGGAAGCACTTTTTGTTTATGTTTTTGTTTATTGCAGAAAAAATCACACTTTTTGTTTAACCATTCATGGATAAATTTGATAAGCTTTAAAACTGATCATAAGTAGGGGAAACGATTCTTTTTTTAACAGTTCAATGCAAAAATATTATAAAGGGGAGATGAGAAAGTCTAAAGGTCATCTGCATACATACATTTACGCAAGTGATTCAGATCAGAGCGCTTTTTGTTAGATTATAGGAGTTTATTTTTAGAAATAAGGAGAAAAAATTGTATGAATCATTTGCGAAAGTGTTTTTGAGAAGATTTTTTTTCTCAAACTTTTTGCATTGAACACTGAAAATATGTCTTAAATGATAATAGTTAAAAATAGAGATTTTTGATTGAAAACTATCCTTGTAATGATATATCTAATAGCATTTAGAAGAAGGTGACACGCCAGATGAAGCTTAAAAGAAAGCTTTTTGTGCTCCCAGTTATAAGCAAACAAGGTCCTTTTTATACATTTTGAATATCAATAATTATACATTTTTTTAAAGATTAATCGAAGGGTTTTTATATTAAAATTATTTCCTCCTTAAATTTACATACATAAATATATATAAAACTTATGTATATAGTTGAGAGTTTCGCTGCTGATGCATCATTAGAATTTTAGACGACCTCAAGATTTATATCACTAATTAGACATTTGAATAAAATAATGAAAGAAAACATTTGAAATGATGAAACTATGGAAATATTTATGCTATTTTTTAAATTGAAAAAATACTAAAAATGAAACTTAATAAACGATGTTAAATATCAAAATATTGATTAAAAAAAAAGAAATTAACTTTTGATGAAGAAAATTTAGCTTTCCTACGAAAGATTGAACTGAAATCATTCTTTCGTTAGGATCAAAAACATTATAAAGCATTTTTACAATGAAAAATTAATAAAACACTTCTCTGTAAATTGAAGTTAATTATTTCTTTTTTTGAACATTCATTCAATTTCCATTCCAGCTAAGAAATGTTTCATTTAGGTAGATATTCATTTATTTCCAGATACCCGAAAGAAGAAAACAGAAACTTATCATTCATTAATAATTTTTATTAAATTCTTCTTTCAACTCTCAACTGACAGGTTGATGTAGACACATATTTGAATATATAAATAATGTCATTGACCATTCAATCTTTCTTTGGTTCGGTGACACTTGTTCTAACAAGATAGCTATCAATTTTAGTGATATTCTCTAAAACATCGACATTCCAACCACATAAATAAAAATTAGAAAACTTTAGAAATTTCCAAATATGATTCCCAGAGTTAAATTTATACTTTCTCTTATTCAAAGTTAGAACCCAACGACATTACATTGTATAAACCGGCTTTTGGAATTCGTTATCAATATAAACATTCTTCTATTCTAAGAGAAAGATGTAAAAAAAAGGTTAAATGTTTGGAATAAAATCAATCTTTCATGCAAAGTTAGAACCGGTCGTTTAGAGAGTGAATGGGGGACCAAAGGAGACATTCTCTTTGGCTATCTATCTATCTATCCATCCATGAAAGTTTGCTTTACCTTGGTTAACATTAAAGTATAAGTTATGTATAAGAGAAAAACATAAAAAAAAATATTAATAAACATGAAACAAATCTTAGGCTTAAAGAACAGCGAGTGTTGTTTATGAAGCAAGAAAATGAATTAATGTTCTTGTCCAGCGTCTATCAACTTCGTAAACCTCAAAAAAAACAGTTCAATGGCATGGAGAAGAGATCTCGGAATGAATTTTAATTCTTGTTTTTCGGCATGTGTTGCGGGTAAATGATCGAAAGGTATTTAACATTTGGTTGCGCAAAAAAAAGTGAAGAGAAAGAAAATTAAACGAACACGAAAGATACATTTAAATTGATGTTAATAATCTAAAAAATCTTCCTATTCATGTTAAAATCTTCATAACTCTTGTTCATGTTAAGAATTGTGGGTAAACATAAGTAAATATCCGGAGATATTTCACACTTGGTTCAAAACAAAAAAAATAGAAGCTTAAAGTAATGCGATATTTTTAAAGTAAATAGAAACAAGACTGAAAAGATCTTGTTATACAATTCTTTTAAATTTCATAACAATACAACTCGCAATTTATAATCAGAGCCCATGCGCAAAGGGAACAAAGCAGAGTAAAAAATAAATGAAAAAGACGGAAATTGGATTAGAAAATTTCTCATCTATTCACAATTTTTTTTTCATGTTTCCTTTTTGCATTTTCCAAGTAGGTATCAATGTTCTTCTTCTTCTCACCTTCACCGAATATCTCTTTATTTTTTTACTTATTTATGAATGAAAGAAATTTTTGGGGACAAATATGAATCAAAGTTTTGAGTAAGAGTAGAGAGCGAAGCTAAAAGATTTCACAGAATTACACCTCGGGTGCAACAACAGAGTTAGGTCTTCTTAAATGGCATTGACAAATAGCAAACAAAACAAAGATTTAAAGAAAACAAATTTCTTTTATTAGAATTCTTTAAACATTTTCTTATACTTTAAATTGGGATACTCGATGTCAACGGTAAACGTTGACACTTCTGAAAGTCTTAAATTTAATTGATAATTAACTTGAGTGAAGATTTGAAAATAATATGAGTGGCAATACTTTGAATTCTTCAAGAGATTCACTATCCATTGTTATATCTTACATATGAGGATTTTTAAAAAGAAACACTGAAAAGAATGCTTAAAATAATTCTGAAGATATGAGCAATTTGGCGAGACATTCCAATGTACTTGATTCTTGTTATTTCACATTCACCTTTCCTTGATTTTCTTGTTCTCAGCATTTCTCTCGCTTGCAGCATTATAATAATCAAACCACCTTCATGGAGAGAAAGATTTATTTAGCACAAAACGAGAAGTTATGACTGAGAATTTTTTAAGATGTCTTTGGTCGAAGAAATCGAGTTTTCCAATTAAAAGAAGGGCCGGTTTTAAATTCATTCACATTAAGAAAGCAGAAAGAAGTTTTTATTCTCATGAAGAAAGTTGTATTGAAAGACGATTTCATTTTTCAGTACTTTTGATTCTAAGTTTCGTAATATTATATTCACAATTTGGCCATTAACACGCATAAGCTTTTTTTTTTGTGTGTTTCCTTCTTCTGAATCCTTCAGTTACACCCTGCAAAAAGCCAAAGGCAAAGAATGAATGGAATGAAAAGAAATGCTTAAAGAGAGTATCAAGCAATGATGGAACATTTTTTCTTTTCACTTATTTCAATTCACTCGATTCTCATCAAAAGCATTCAACAAAATGCTACACAAAGCACAAAAATGTTCCCCAAGCAATATTCGCATATAAATTATACTCTGAATCGTTCTATCTCACTCTGTTCTTGGCCTTGAATTTCGGGTTCTTTAACCCAGCGTGGCGTTTTTTTGTGAGCTTTCCAAATGAGTTTTTTTTTTGTTTGTAGTTTAGAAATACGCAAAAAAATGGGTTTAATGCACAAGAATGGGAATTTTTTCCTGAATATTTGCTTTCGATTCGTTTACATTTTTATGGCATTAATAGTTTGAATTTGATTAGCATACTCGTATTTTGGGAAGATATGTGATGAAATTATTTTTTCTTCTTTATGTGTTTGACCTAACAGATCATTAGCCGCGAGACCTTGAAAATTCCTTCAAAGAAATTCCGCGTTTGGGAAGAATAATATCTAATTAAAAATTCAGCAATTAAATACAAAATTTGCGTCATTGGGCCTTCCGGTGTGATAATGAGTTCAGATTCTGAACAAATGGAAGGCAGAAGCGATAAGTTCCATGGGATTTACGACGATTCATCTGAGAACTTTCTATATTGTGATATTGAAACCTTCACTCTCCCTTTTTTATCGTAAATATGAATGTTTCGACAAATCACAGTGCTTTATGATAACCAAAAATGTTTCAGAACCATCGAAAAATGAAGACTATGTCAACAATGCCACAAACTAGAATTCTATCGAATTATGTTCAAACAAGTTTCTTGTATAAATTTTCTCTTTCAAATAGTAAAAAGATATTAAAAAATTTCGAATAAAAATCTTTGAATTATTAAAATTACGTCAACAGAACAGCGATAAGAAATATTCATGGCCACTTTTTTCCCCTCTTAGAAGGTCTCCATGTGTCATCTCGCGCGGGTAATAAATTTCATTCGTCAGCCACCAGAAAAAAATGCTTTTTAATCTCAATTCTTTTTATGAATGTAATTGAGATGAAACCATTTATTTTTTTTGTTGATAACGAGAGGATGTCAATAAATAGTTTATTCAGATATAAAATACCGATGTATTCAAGGTTCTTCATCATTTTTTAAAAACTGCGGAATATCCAAGCGATAAGAAAAATGTTTGATTAGTGGTGGAATTTATTTCAAAGTCATTCTCAAAAATTGTATTCTAATAAGATCATGGCAGTTGGTCGTAAAATTCAAAAATGATCTTGATCTTAAGTTCATTTGTGCGATTCATGTGGTTTATCATGAAGACAGAAATAAATTTCTTCATAAATTCAATTTATTGAATGAAGGATATTTAAAAGACTTCAATCAGATAAAAATAAAGTTTAATGAGGTATGAAATCATACTTAATAATATGATTTTAATTTTAGATTATAAACTTATCAGTTTTACTTAGTTCACTTAGTGAGAAAATTTATACGAAACTTATCGATTTTTTAGTGATCAAAAAAATCAAAACAAATCCATGTGGAAAATAAATTTCTTTAAAGTATGTAAAAAGTAAATTTATTGAATTTATTGATGTTCTAAAGTAGTGAAATGAATTATATACAAGTTAATCATTGTTCTTGATTTCAACATCAATATTTAATAGTCATTTAAATGGTTGATAAATAAAATTTGTTTAAAAAGTGAAATTTGAAACTTTTGTTCTAAGTTCATCACCAATAAAGTAAACAAATCAACATAAATGTTACGAAAAGTCCCTCTGATTGTTATACTTGGTTCAACTGGAACGGGTAAAACTAAATTATCAATAGAATTAGCTCGTCGTTTTAATGCCGAAATAATATCTGCTGATTCTATGCAAGTAAGTTCAAATATTCTAACGTTTAATTATATAATAATTGGATGTGGCATTTCATTTCATAATATGAAGTGCTGTTATCAGTTAAAAAATAATTTAATATAAGCTGATTACAGGTATATAAAGGACTGAGTATAGCAACAGCTAAAGCTACTTCACATGAACGCTCTCAAGCCATCCACCATATGCTCGACGTAGTAACAACTAATGAACCTTTCACTGTTACACATTTTCGAGACATGGTTCTTCCCATAGTGAGTACAAAATTATGATTCTTGTTTTTCCTTACTATTCCCCCTTGCCCCTATTTTAATGAATGGCTTTCCAGCCGAAAGAGGAAATACAATCATTATAATAGATTCTTATTACCCAACACACGAAATCTTTGTCGCGAAATAGCTTCTGTTTTTATTTTATTTCATAACGAACAGACAAGCTATTTCCTGCTGCCGCGACATTAAAGGGGGAACTTTGCCATTCTTATTGCAAACATTCTCATAGCGAATATTTCAACAGACAATCGTGAATAACTACGCGGCTTTTTCTTCTTCTTTATTATTCTTTCCCTTTCTACTGAAAGAAAAAGTTTAGAATTTTGATGAGTAAAAGAATATGAAGGTTAAATAAGTAAGAAGTAATGAAGAAGAAAACAATAACAAGTAAGTTCCGCCATGGAAATATTAATTTTAAAAATCTACGTATGCAAACACAAAAGGAGTTTAAATTATTTTCCTGATCGTTATACTGATCACTACTCCCTATTTTGAATCCATTTAAGTTTAACGCGTTATTCACATTCCTAAGTTAATTCTTCTAATTGAATACTTTACTTAGTTAGTCAACATAACATAAAATATTTTAAAGTCACATAGCACTAAATAAAGTTAATATCGAGTTTTGTAATTGTGTTAATAAGAAAACGTTGTGATCTCGTCACACCAATTTTTTCTAATCTATTTTCATATTCATTTCGGTTTCCTTAAAGTTTCAACATAATTGAAAAGAACTTTTATGTTAATTGAAAGTTCAAATAAAACACATTTCCGAGTTTAGAAACAAGATATCTAAATAGAAAATATTTGTAGAGAATGAAATTCCAAACTTTTACTTGCCTCATGAATATTCTCTTAAATAAATAAATAGCTTCGTATTAAGAATCATGTAAATCAGGCAGGGTATGTAGGTAAATATTCCTTTAGACACAAAAAATATATTTAAGACGTGTTGTCGAGGAATCTCTGCAAACCATCTTTAAATTCTTGGGTGCTTTATATTTACATTTTAAGTTTTGCTTTCTACGTTTCATATCAGACCATATCCAACATTTGTGCGTATTCATTTAGATCCGAGAGCGGCCTTTTCTTACCTCTTCTTTTTTTTTTGAAAATGATATGAAAATTAATTCCCAAGGTCAAAACGTGTTCTCTGTCGTACTTCGAATTTCGTTGTCTTAGCTGATAATTCTCTTTTTTTTATATACGACGATCAAATGTAGAGCTAATGAACTCATTCACAGTCAATGACAAAGTTTGATCTTTAATAGTCTACCGACGAAAGGCAATTTTGACTAATGCTAATAAGAACGAAATAATGGATTTTCTATGATTCCTAATTAGATCTGATAAATTAAGTTTCCGAACACGTAAAGTTTTTTAAATGTTGGAATTATGATCAGTAGTTTCGGAACATTCATAAATTTTAAGAGCCTATAGTAGATTTTTATGTTAAGTCAAACCAAGAATAAGATCATAAAGCAAAGATCGCACCTTACATTTTCTCTTTTATGAATAAGATAATTGAAATTAATATTTTTTCATTGACACCTCAGTTGAGTTTCTTCTTTTTATTCTGAGATTAACGCCTATAAATCGTTGATCACACAATCTGTGGTGAAGAATTAATAAAATGAAGAAAAAAAAAAAGATTATTTAAACTGTGTGTCGTCATTTCTTATAAACTGTCTGTCTTCCTGTGAAAATTTATGCGAGCAGCGATTAAAAATTTAACCGTCCCTGAACCATCCAAAATTTATTGAAATTAGTTTTTTAATATATATTTTCTATGTGGCTCTAAGCTTTTTCTTTGTTTGTAGAGCGTCTAGTTTGAATGAGCTAAAGGAAGAAACCAAACGTAACACAAGTGAGTGAATGACTTGTTAGAAGGTCTACGAACGCTTAGAAACCAATTCGACCATAGAGAATCTTAGTTTAATATTAATTTGATACGAAATAAAAAAGATATGTAAGAATCGCTTTCGACCGGAATTTGAAGGCCAATGCGGAAAAGAAAAATTATATGAAAAAAAAAGAAAAATTAAATTCGCAGACGTTCAACTATAAATCTCAAGCTCAAATCTTTTTTAAAATACGAAGGAAGGTTTTTCGCACGGTGACGCAAATTAAATTATCAAAAAAAGAAGTCGTCTTAAATTAATGTACGTCCCACATCGAACATACTCAACGTAATCTCTCTTGCAAACTTAAGTAAATAGGTCTGTAGGGAAGATGATAATGATCATCTGATTTTCTATGTATGTTTTTAGTGTTATTTATGTAAAATCATCACACGACTTTTATGTCATCTTTTTTTGAATGAATGAATGGAAAAACGAAAACGAACCAGAGCAAAATTATAAGAGATAACATAAATCACAAGATTATTTAATATTAATTATATTACGTACATTCGAATGATGAGAGTGTCGAAGATCAAAAGCTTTGAAATTTCAACAAATGGAACAAAATATTCAATTTGACAATTATTTGCGACATTTTTGAAGTTCTTCAATAGTTTTTTTTTCCTTTGGTGTTTCAGACCTTGGCTTGATTTAGGTAAATGACAAGAAGATAAATAAACGTTAATAAGCACATGCCATGGATTCGATTCTTAAGAAAATAATTTTAAAATCTTTTGTACTCATTTCTTGCACAAAGAAAAGCGCGTAAAAGTTTCTGTCAGGAAATGTTTACATGTTTCACTTAATGTCTTCTCTATCAGTCAATTTTGAGAGCTAGAGAGATCATAGCACCACCACTTGTTCATAGAACTGTGATCACATCATGTGTGTGCAAATCACACCGAAAAAAAAATAATCGTGTGCTTAAGCGAATGAAAAAAGAGCAATAAACTGACTTAGAAATAACTTTAGTCCAAGGTTAAAGATTTTCAGTTTCTTTAAAATACGAAGAAGAAACGTCTTTCGTTTTTTCTTCGGCGTGAGTTAAAAGAACAGAATAGGTAAGAAGGGGGCGAATAGAAACAAAAAGGAAGCAATTCATATAAGCTGTTGCGAAATTTAGGGTCATATTTAATTAATTTAGGAAAAAAAACGTCTGATTAAAGATAAAACTAAAACATGATTAACGATGTCTGTCGAAAATGTCATTCGCTTTATTTCTAGGAACATTTAAGCTTTTCTATGTAGGTAACTTTATGAAAGTTCGCTTATTAAGCTGATGATTAATTAAATATGAAGAAAATCACAACCATGTTTAAATTTATTCAGTTATTACCTTTATGCTACCTTTATGATGACGGGCCGGACTAATGAATCGTTGCAAAATTTAATTCGATTAACTGGCGATGAAATTTTGTTGGATTATTACGAAAATTCTCTGGAACCGTACAAAGTCTATTAATTCAATTTAATTTCAAGACCTGCTTAACCTTTAATAAGTTATTCCTTAGAATCAGGTTTAGCTTATTGAAATAAGCTTATAGTTACTAGACAGGCCTCTGAAATCTTAACATCGTACGACGAATATATTAGATCATCTTACCATATAGCATTCCATTCACTGAACCACAATCGATTTTCAAAAAAAATTTACCTTTTCAAATCTTCTGAGAATTTAAAGAGTTTTTTTTTTTGGTTGCCACAGTTTATTCCATTTCTTGACCAGACATTTTGATTGCGTGGTTTTATGAGTTGTGAGGTAGACCTTTAGACAGAATTACGGTTTTTTCCTTCCTTCGCAACGTTTAAATAAAATATCAACGGAATGAGTTTTTTTCAAGGCTGTTTCTTTTTCGTCTTTTTAGCATATTTGATAACGGCACAGCGACAGTAATCTTTGTTCCTAAGTCAACGGTAAATGATTCGCAAATTCCTAATTTTTTTTAATTAAAGACTTGAATTAAAAAAATTTAAAAAGCAATTAATAATTTAAGAGTAATTTTCTTTGTATCTTTATACTTAAATGACGATAAAAAAATGTTTAAGTGTTTCGACATAAATCGACAATTTATTTCTATTTCTATTTATAAATAATCATCGGTTAGTCACGTTGATTGTCAGAATGATGTGAGAGGAAATAAGAGTTGAGGAAGGAAAATGTGAATTCAACTTGTAACGTTAAAAATAAAATATCAGCAAAATGGGTCAGTCAAACATCATCTCGTCACACTAAATTTGTAATGCGAGTATCTTCTTCATATGCGACGAGAAGATTTTTGAATATTTTACTAAGTCTGACATGAAAGGAACTGAGAATAATAAAAAAGCGACAATTCTCAAGACTAAATTCAATTAACGATCAGCAAATGTTCTTATATGGGAAGTTCAATGAAGCTTCCCAACACTGAAGGAAATCGACGTTGAATAATGTCACACCACATCAGCGCCGACATATTCAGACAGCACAAAGTGAATTGTCATAATTTTAGATTCACACATTCACGTTTCTCGGTCTCGCAAGAATTTATCTCATGAAATTTCATCACAATTTTTCAATAGCACAACACTGTCGTGTCGCACGCAGAGAATCATTGAGATTGTGCAAAAAAAAAGAAAGAAACAAGAAAAGAATCTCATGTAGCGTAGTGAATGAAATGACCATTCGTTTCCTTTCAATTTATTTTCTTTATGCTAATATAGACGTAAGGGGGTGAAATGAAAGATTATTTAAAAAATATTGTTAAAAGATCTGTAAAAATGATTAGATTTTATCTTAAATTGTCGGAATAATGAGTGAGGACTACAATTTGCTAAATGATACGTCTGGCGATGATTTTGACTTGTCAGTGATCGAACTTAAACGTTTTCTCCATCATGTCTACTTATTTAAAATCATTTTTGACATATTCATTTATCTAAGATAATTAATTATCTTCAAAATTGGTAATTTTTCAGATTGACAACTTGATACAAAGTTCTAAAATGCCTATAATCGTTGGTGGCACAAACTATTACATTGAAAGCATTTTATGGCACAACTTAGTTTCGCCTGGAGTTGGAAAAAGAAAAAATCTGTTGAGCGATGAAAAGCTTCATGGATTGGAGGAAGAAGTCCAAAATTTTCTGCAGAATTCTTCGTTGGATGATCTAATGGCTAACATGGAGTCAATAAAACTTTATGAATATCTGAAACTAATCGATCCACCTATGGCTAATCGGCTTCATCCAAATAACAAGCGAAAAATAATGAGGTGAGTCGTAGAAGTATGCGAAAAAATAAATTTGCATTAACTTTGAGATTTCTCTTTGGTTATCTACTCCAGTCAAAGGTTTTGAAGAATAAAATTAAAAGCGAAAGATTTTTAGCTCTACGTGATTATACAGAAAAAATTGAATACATGACTTTTCATCCGTTGGCTTCTTTTTCCTCAAGGCAGTAATTTTTCATGGCGGGCGGCTTCCAAAAATAAACGCGGAAAAGTTTATTATATTTTTTTTCTTCGTTTTCGTAAGAAGAAAATCGTGCTCAGATTTCGTTTCTTTTACTCAAAATTCATTTAAGAGATTTTTGTAATTTTCTGCTTAATAAATCTTTATGTTAATTTATTCTTGAGCAATTCAAAAATGGTTATCGTCATCTTATCTTGAATGAAATCTGAAAATTTTTAAACTTCTGTTTCCTTCTTAAGTATGAGTTTGACTCATCCGTCGATACCGCCCACATCCGATGTGAAACTTTCGTTTTCATTTTTTGTTTTCTTTGACATGCTAACTCAATGCAATGATTTGGAGCTAAGTTTTCTTTATTTTCACTTTATGTCATTTAGAATAATTGAGGTCTGAAACGAAAATATTTCTGTTAATCAGACGATCACATGAGACGAGAAAAACATTTGACATAACTTTTCGTTTTTCTGTGCTTTTCACGTTTTTCTTTCTTCTTTTGTTTTTTTACTAACTATTTACGTTTGTTTCGTTAGCAACAAATATACTTAATTGTGACATATTTTCTCCAATAATCATTGCAACATACTAGTGAGGAAAGATTAAGATTGATTACTTGAAATTTGAATTTAATCATTTTGTTAACGCACATTGATCATGTTTGTTTTGCATTATTATTAATGAAATTTTCTTCCACATAAATATCATGAGCTTCATTCACATAACATTGTATTATGTCTAATAAATAAATGCAATTAAATTCATCATTACAAATTGCAACGATGGATTTCAAAGTAGGTAATCATCGAATGAAAGAGAAATCATTTTGTAAATGAAGAAATAATTAACTTCTTAACAAATAGATTTGCACTGACAATCTCACGTGCAATACATATTTCTCACATATTTTATTATTAAATTCAATAAGCATGTAATGAATGACATGGCACCAAACATAACATTGCAATATTTTCGTTTCTTCTCTGTTTCCGATAAAATAAAATAATTTTATTTGGAATAGAACGTGGGAAATTCCCAGCTTACTCAGGATTGTATTTTGGAATTCTTTTTATCTTAATTTTAATTTCCAGTTCAACATAAGAAGAAAGAAAAGAAAAAAAAGCAAAACATATCTAGTGAAAGCGATAGCGATAAATGAACTTCAAATTCTTATGTTGTATCTGCATTCTTCTCATCCTCAAAACCGTTTGAATCAACGATGTGTAATATTTCATTCATTAACGGATGTGGGCATTTTTTACAACAGAATTTGAAACATTGTAATTAATAACAGTTCTGAAACTAAAATCTTATCAGCAAATTCCCAACACTTTTGAAACATTTTTTTTTGTTGTTTTTGCGCAAAACCAAGCGAATTATGATTCCGTAGCGTGCATAAATTTCCACAGAATGAAATTGGAACTAAACGATTTCATTTCATTGTACCCTTGTTTAAAGTAAGTAAAACCATAGAAATAAGACGTAAAAAGAGAATTATGCAAAATATGCATTTTACTGTTGTCGGACGTTTTATTTGTACACCAATCGTATTGTAGTTTTCGTTTTCCCTTTTCAAAGTAGTAATTTCCAACATAAAAATGGACAACATTTGATTGATTTTTGATACAGAAACTTCAACTCAAAATTGTAAGTGATGTGTAGTGTTAATAATCATTTGACCGATCAGTTAAAATAAGTTTGAAAACCTAAACGAATTCTTCAATTTAAGTAATGACGCTACAAAACGAAAATGAATCAGTTTAATAATTAATTGTTTTGATTTCGTGGCATTCTCTTTTATTACTGGCGTTTATTGATAAGAAATTGTGTCAAAAATTCCCAAACTTGTCTTTAAATTTATCACTGATAACATTTAACAGTAAAAATCAAAAGCCTTTAAAGTTCATTGATGACGTTCATTCATTCATTAAAGACCAAATGTTGTGATGCTCTCATAAATATTTTAATTCCTTTGTGTATGTAAATTTCGTAAGCGATATTGGAATTTTGTTTACGTTTATCAATATCTCGCATGTGCAAATGTTGCTTGCGCAAGCTTAACGTGATCCATTTTCGTTTCAATTAAATCGTCTGATATCGAATTCAAAATATGTGTCGTAGTATTTATAGCCACATGTCATAAGAACTTTTGGGATCAAATTTTTGCATAAGGTGCGAAACGTGATTCTCTTATTTTTATCTTCTATTCTTAGCTACTTTGTCTATTATTGAAGTTGTGAATTTCTTCCTAAATTTTTATTGTTATGAATGCTCGCAAAGTTCACATGCAATTTTCATGTTCCATAAAAACACTGCGCAAGTGATTAATAATTTTATTGTATGTTGGAATGGAAGAAATCAGGTTCATTATCGCTATAAAAGACTTTGTATAACATTTGAATAATTTTTATGATCATTTCGTTACAATACAGATCATTATCTCAGAATTTATGTATATCTACATAGATGCATTGTTTATTCATTATTCATCAACGTATAAAATCAAATGAAATCATTTCACAATGATACAAATCATTGGAACTAATTTTAGTACAATAAAAATGTGCAATTTATTATGTACAACATTCTCAAGCTTCATGCATAACGAACAGCATAGGCATTGACAATTTATTTTCTTTTTTTTTCTTATCCGTCATTTTGAATGATGAACGGACAATTTTAAATTATTAATACAATGGAAACCACAAAGTTGAACGCCATTCGATGTTCTATCATGGTTCTGGTTCTGCTTCGCCATTAAAATTTTCAATAAATTACATAATATCATCTGAAACATAAAATCGAAGAACATTTTTATGTGTGCTTTTTATTTTTTAACAATGCGGTTCTCTGGCAACAAGAAAGGTTTTCCTACTTTATTTGAATAAACGCATAAATAAGCAACATGTGGACCATGACAATTGATAAGACGTATTGTGTGTTAAAACTAAATTTGTCGTTAAAATAACCGGCGAGAAAATTGCAAATGCGCTATAAAGCGCGACTTAAGGTTTTGTAATAAATATTAAACGGTTCACTGATAATGAGCTACAAGGAAATATTGAACATATTGAACAAGCAGCAATGAGATATTTACTGAAGTATGCAAAGAGTAAAAGCAATTTTTTTGGAATGGTTACAAATCGCTACACCTTAATGTTAATAATTACAGAAAAAAAATAACATAAATTGATCCAATTTTCCAATATAAACATTATCTATGTAGATTTTAAATGTTACAGATAGATATCAGATTGAAATGAAAGTGTCTAAATCATGATTTTAGATACAATCGTGAGGTTTCCAACTAGGTGACAACTTTTTTCACTTTTTTTTTATTTTTGAAAGCAAAACAGCGTTCAATCCACGGTTCAATGTCTTGTAAAGAAAGATAAAATATTTATTCGGGTTGTTGTGCTTTTGTAGATATTGAACTACACAATTGATAAGACTTCGTCGGATAAATGGAAATTAAAGTTTCACGAAAAGTAAGAATTCGTGTTTATTTTAAGGTAAAAATTAGAGGAAAGGAAGGAAAAAAAAGAAGAGAATCGAAGTCAAAAGGCGTCAGTTTTATTTGAATATGTGAGTATTGATATCTAAACAAAATAATTCAATATTTAGATATCGATACGAAGAAACTCGTTCACATTTGTACAAACATCGTACTTATCTTAATAAATATCTCAAGTTTCCAACAGAAAAAAGACGAAAAGTTTGACAAAACCTTGATCTCGATTGAGAAAATTATTTTTTTAAAAATAAATTCATTTATCTAATTTCTTCATAGAAGCTTCTTCGAAACTCAAGTGTTTAATCATTTTGTAATCATCTGAAAAGTTTTTCAAACTTTCATCGTCATCCTACTCGAGAAAGATCTCAGAGTTCATAGAAAAGGTGTTGTAGTCGAAATGCTTTCAAATGATGCTAAACCTACGCATTCTCTCATTTTTTTTTATTAACTCTATGTAACTTTAAGTGGTTCATTCATGTTTAGTGTAAAAAAGAAAGGAATGAAAACAAAGTTTTGATTGAATCATTAATTTGAAAGAATTATTATGACTTTTAACTTATAATTAGGCGTTTATATTCATGCAAGTTCTTGATGCTTGTTAACAAATTATTACAATTTGTTTTTCCTCTCTTCCTCCATCTAACCGGAATGTAAACAAAATATTGCACATCTTGCACACCACAAGGTTTGTTTATAGAAACACGTTTCATTGGATGCTTTATTTTTAAAAATCTTTGCCCTTCTCTCAGTTATTTGGAGCGATAAGAAATAAATCGAAGCTGAAGCGTAAATTTGAAATGAAAAGAAAGAAAAATACTCATTAAAATTGCGCAACTGTGTAGCAAGAAAGTAGATCATGCGGATGCTATTTGGAGTTAGCGAACATTTGATCTCGTCCAACGTGTTAATCATGTGATGTTCTTTGAGAATGTCTCTTTGTCATTCGCTTTTTGACAGTTGCGATATGTCTTTGAGAGAAAACTATTTAAAAAAAATCTTACTTTTGTCTAAAAACATTGAGTGGGTCGAATCAAGTAGGGAAGAAAACTGGTCTCGTTAACCAATTTTTGTGAGTTCAATGGCTCTTAATTCTTTTTTTCACCTATGCCAGCATGTACCCTGCTGTTTCGTTCATTAAACCTCGTCAGTTAAACCACAAAGAATAAAAAAAGCAAGCAAATTATAAAGTCTTTATAAACATTCGGTCATTAATGAAGACAACACATTGTTGCAGTTTTTCGGCATCAGATCATTCTCATTTTTCGATTTGGTTTTAAGAATGAAACTCGAAACAAGAAACAAAAAACGACAAAAGAAGGAAAAAAATGCTCAAAAATATTAAACGCAGAAAATATTAAAACGACTTTAAAACACAGATGTGGCAAGAAATTCACAATATGCTTCTCATTTTTTTTATGAATATTCGAGCAATGCTGGAGATGGGAAAGTCAAGTAACAAATATCAATTTATGAAAAAAAAGAACGTCAACTTTAGAAGCATGTAGAAAGAAGAGATGAAGCTCTGCATTCAGTTTATCAAATATCCAAGGAAGAAGGAAATTCTCAGATAACATTTTCACACTCGAAATTATCCATTTTCCCCCCTATGTTATCACTGTTTTTGTTCACAGTTTGCAAACATATGACTAGAATTATCATCCTCTAGAGATTCTTCATCTTTTTTCATTTTTTGTTGTCATGTAAACCCAAAATGAGCGTATGGTATTCACAAACTCAACGCCTGTCTCGAAACACCCACCGTTGGGTGTCTGTACGACACTTAATCTGTGACCTTGAAAGTCTTCTATCTCACTTTATGGTCATACAGAGTTTAAATAAAGGAAATTCTCATTCGAATTTGTTTGCTCTTTCGTTTCAGAGATAGATAATTTCTTTTAGAGGAAAGTGAAAGCCGACATTCCCATTTTTTACAGGCAACTTAATACTTAAGGGGCGAAAAATAACAAAAATTTGTTATGATTATTAAAATGATTAATTTCCTTGCATTTCTCATCTTGACAGTTTCACATGTTTCTCTGAAATATGATAACTAACTAGAGCAGTTGACAAAATTCGTTATTATCGCTTGAAATCAATGCGTGTGATGAGAAAGAAACTCTTTTGAAACTCTTTGAGGATCTTTTGATATCTTCGTATTGTCATGATTACATCAAACGAAATAAATAATAATTCTTAGTGTGAATAAGGTCATGAAGTAGAGTAACCTAATATTTATTGCTGCAGGCTGAATATTTTGAAAACAATTTTCTCAATCTTTATAATATTCATATTTGAAAAGAAGCGAAAGGAGAATAAACATATCAAGAACAGTGGGTGTGGTCCGGAGATCTTACATAAATTTTAAAAAAGATTTTGTTTGCTGTAGAATGAGTTATGGATTCATCAATTAGCACTTGCATTGCATCCGTTAGTTTCCTGGTTTCAGTGAACCTTAAAGATCTATTTAAGAACTAATTTAATAATAAAAAACTTAAATTCACGACAACATTGTATTTATGCTTAAGTGTTATGGTCTAAATGTGTCTATTAACTTTATAACTGACGTGACAGACAGCGACGATATCTTTTTCTCCTTACTAGAAGACTCCAAATTACCTCATTGGCGACATTGTATAAAGAAGTCTGTAAACATTGTAACTTGTATCAAATAATTTGGTGCATCTTTATTATGTAACAAAAGCTTCTCTTTTTTCATTCTTTCAGTTTTTTATTTACACTTTCACTTCCAACAATACTCGCTTTCATTGTGAAAGACCAGAAAGAAAGAAAAAAAGTTAATATAATGAGAATATTGTAGTCGGAAGAAAATGATCTGAATTGAGTAATATGTGGAAATTCTTTCTTTCACATTTTCATCGTTTTTTGCGTTGTTCCCAGACGCCCGTAAATGAAAGTTATCATTTAAAGCGGAAAACAGAAATAAAGCGAAGAAAAGTATCAGCAATAAAATTTCCACACTCGCATGTTTGAATGTAGAAATGTGAACTGAAAATATCTGCTCATAAGAAGAAAGAAAGAAAATCGTCTGGGTGGAAACAGTTTTTATTTTGGTGAGAATCAAAAAATGAACCGTCAGGTAAAAGCCAAAAGTCATTAGCAGAACTGTTTTGTAATATATCCGTTGATATAAAATTGACCTCAATATACTGAAGCTAACAAAAAAAAAGGCAAATCCGACACAGATATATTCAGTTTAACTTTTAATAATGGGAAATTTATTCGTTAGCAGTGCTAAGTCAATTTTTTAATATTCGTGGAAGATGACCTGAAGCAAAACAACCTCAGTTAGGAGTAAAAATCTTTTTACCGATTTGTCATGTCAAAATTTAACGAATCTTCAAAAGGTTTACGAAGATTTCTAATTTCTTCAAATTTCAAGTAACGAACACAACACAACACAGCATGTATGGATGATTAAATTATCAAGTGGCGTTTCTCAGGTGCAAGCGCGTACATTTATAAACCTACGTCAGAAGATCCAAAATAAATATTCCCCTTCACAAAAAGTCGATTTTTTCTTTAAATCTAAGTTAATCTGTTAATTCATAAAACTAAATTTGACTCTCAATTAAATTCTTCTCCAAGTTCTCAACAACGCTTTGCCATAGCGTAGTAAGAAACTTCGAAGTGATTTAATACTTTCTGGAATGTCGAGTTATTTTTTTTCCTTTTATTCATCGGTAGCCAAGTCATTTCTCTCGCTTGCTTTCATGTATAGATTTCTCATGAAGTCAGGTGCTTTCCTCTCTCTTTCTCCCTCCTTTGCATTCAATTATGAAATTGAGAAGATTTCATAATGGAAACAACTTTGTTGTAGAAAAAGCAATCAAAGGCGATTAAGTGAAGTTGAATATTTAATGAGATTTTTTTTCTGTATTTAAAATTTCTGAGAATTTTTTATCCACAGCTTCATGTCTTGCTTCATGTTTTTCAAAAAGATATGGGAAAAAATTGCTACGCGTACAAGCGTCGATATTTTGGCGCGAAAATACTAACACCAAAAAAAGTTGACAGTAGACGCCTCACACACACTACCAAGCGTACTATATTGCCGGCTTCTTCTAACACATTATCAAATTGACACAAACAGAAAACGAGTAAAAACGTTTTCGCCGGTATACTTTGCGAACGTTTCTTATACACTTTGCTGGCAAACTGACAACTCTCTCGACAGCTAAAGTTTCTTGGCCTTTTAAAATGATGATGCGGACCGCAGGAAAAAAATGAATGTGTCTCGATTCGCATATTAAGACGTTGCATGTTCATTTCGTTCGCTTTGCAATTGTACACAAAAAATGAATGCCAGGCTTCGCTGCGTTATATTATTGCACTAAATATTCAAAGAAATAATGTTTTTCGTATGTTTCATATTACTGGCAAACCACAAAAGAAGAAAAGAAAAAAAATCCTTAACAACTGCGACTTTAAAAAAACATCATCATCGTAACTCGCTCTCGTTTTAAATTAGTTTTGACCTCATCATCACATTAAATAAAACATTTTGAATATGTCTTTTAAGAATCGGCAGTAAAATGGGAAGATGCATTTGCAGATTCACTCACGGAAGTTATTCATAACTTTTATTATTTCTTGTGAACTGCTGCGAACATTACTCGAATATGTACAAATCATCATGCACAAAATAAAAAAAAACTCTTGTTTATGGTGACAATCAGAGAAGCAAGTTTGTTTATCAAGTCTCTTTTTATGAAATGAAAGTCATGAGAATATTTTTTGAATGATGTTTCCTTTAAAAGTAAAATAAACTTTGATATAAATTCTTTTAGTAAATTGACATCTTCCATTAACTTTTTTTCCCTTTTATTATCAAACTAAAAATCATAAGTTACAGTAAAGGGAATGATCAAAGCATGAGTAATAGAATTAAATTATCATTGTCATTAAAATAATTATTTGCAAAATAAAAAGAGAAAATCTTTTCTTGGCAATGCGTTGCACCTAAAGGAGTTTATGTTAACATTCGCGACACGTTGTTCTTGCATGAAATGGGTGCTCAGGAAATGGTTTAAATACCATTTGTATGCTCGTTGTGTTTTATATGTAATGCCCGTCTGGGCCATCGAAGGGGATCACAGCGTTGGCCTTAAACCCGGGAGGCCATTGAGCCATTGAATTACTGATAGCTTGAATAACATAAAAAACTTTCTATGTTTTTCAATTCATGTGAAAATCTTATGGTTTTTAATAAATATATTTCAGTTTCTACTTGGTAATAATCTATTTGTGAAATATTTCTTTCTTTCTCTTCGATTTAATTATAGCTTGAACTGTCATGGTATTTATTAGTTACTGCTTTTAATTGAACACTTCAACTTTCATATAAATTAAATATACTTACGTAGTTATAATAAATATAAAAGTGAAATCATATACGAAGGAAGTTCTTTGAAGTAAATAAATGCAAATAATCACAGGATGTCTTAAAACTTACTATTTATGGGCTATTCAATCGCTGCTTTCGACAAAGCGACAGACATGACTTTAATATTTAAAATAATCGAAACGCAAAATCTTATTTTAATGTTCATTGCGTTTGTTTGTTATTTATGCAACTTTTTTTTCTTCTTCTTTGACTATTTCTTTGTTCTACAGAGCATTAGAAGTTTTTAAGGATCATGGCGAGCGATTGAGCGACATACTTAAGGATCAAAGAAGATTGCCAGGTAAGCATTTACGACTGAAATGTAACATTTCCGCAATATGGTCATTAATCAACTACATAGAGGGGATCTGCTAATGATCATCAAAATCATTCTTTCGTGATCATGAGGCGACACTAATGTCTATCTTTTCTTTTTCATGTCAATCAATCTGACACCTGAAATCATAAAAAGGCGCTTCGATCTTAGGTTTGTAAAACAAAATTCGTTGCAACTTACAACATTAAATAAAAAATTACAAAAGAAATGATTTACAGGTGGACCTCAACGTTTTCAAAATGTGATTATCTTCTGGCTGCAGTGTGAGCAAGTAAGTTAATTTCTTTCTTGTTTTTATGATGCTAAAGCTGAAGAAAATCTTGTGAATATATGCGAAAAAGACTTTTCTGTGAGACTGCATATGTGCACTCAAGTAACCTCGAGACTTAAATAGGAAAGAAACCCTTTACCCAAATTAACCACTTGATACTCACTTCATCTTTTATGTCTACTTTTATAAGTGGAAAAATAAAAAAGAAATATTTAATAGCACTCTTAATGTCATGCAGCATGTTCCGTTGTATTGTCTACTCGGGCAACCATAGAAACGATTTAGTTAAATGTTCACACAAAGAATCGTGTAAAGAAACAAGCTTCTCATTTAAAATTATCTTAAAATGTTTGTTTTGTTAAAACAATTTCCCAAACTTTAACGATAGTACACGAAAAATCGAGCGATTAAAGTGTTGCGTCGGAAATAACTTCCACTGGATGTTCCAAGGTTTATTTGAATCACGTTTAACGAGATTTCAATTCATTTTGAAACGATTTTTTTTTCTATTCCTACATAGAAAATTTCTCAATAAGAATTTACAAAATCGGCGCCTGAATGTGCTTGTGATAAGAGACTAACAATAAAAAAAACCTATTTGTTATAGACTGACATGTTCGTCAAATTATCACGAAGTCGACAAGTAGAAATTTAAACTACTCAACTGGATGAGAGCCATTCCATTATATTTAATACTTTTATTAGATTAACTTCAATTCGAACTGTCATTTGAAATCATTTGGATTTTATGTAGAAATGGAAAATTCATTGATTAAAGTTGTCAGGGGGAAAAGTTTTGTTGCATTTTTTTAAAGAGAAAAGTTAATTAGATCAATTATCTTAATTAAATTATGAAAGTTTATATTGCAGGGGTTGAAATTGACTTTGTGTTCAATCAGTGTTTTGTTCGATTAAATTTCTGAGAAAATGTGACAGATTTCGATAAATTTGAATATCATTTCCAAGCTCTGGTTTAATGGCAACTGATGTATAAATATTTTGCGGAGTTTTCATTTCTTTATGTAACTTATAATTATGTTTCCATACTATCGGAATAAAGACGAAACATAATCTATACATGATCATAAAACATTTAATTTATTGCCAACAAATTTGATAATTGAATCTCGTTAATTACTTCAATACAGGAAGTTGCATAAAATAACAAATAAATATTCTTTAATTAAAGACAATCGGAAAAATTGAATGATTTTAAAGTCAAGCCAAAGGGGCATTAATCAAAATATTATTCTCAATTATTTTAAAGAAGAAACTCGCAGTTCATGATGCGTCAATCGAAAAGTTGTTGATGGAAAGTTTTCATTCTCATCTTATTCAAGCAGCTTCTGCTTTGTTTTGATAGATAAGAAAGATTTTTCTGCTTGAATTTATTTACATAAAATTGAGACTTAACCGATAATTAAGAGAAATAACGTCTGAGATTGAAGAACTTTTATGACATGCTTCAGGTGCGTTGAGGGTCTCAATTTGACTTTTATTTATTCCTGTTCTATTTTGATAAAGATATCTTGGCTTGGCTTAAAATATAATTTATTACATAGCTTATTGAATTAATAAATAGTGATTCGAGTTAGTTACACAAAAATTCCCACTTTTTTTGACTAAATAAAATCATCAAACAGTGTTTCAAATTTTTTATTCCATTTACTTTTTTGATTGCGTGGAATGAATACACATCTAAGAAACTCTTGAAACATCTAACATTGTAATGAAACACTTCAATTGGACACAAATCACAAGCACTTTCATTAGACGCCAAGAGAAATTGTTGTTGCTATGAGTAAAACGGATGCTATCTTATCAAGCTACAATTTTTTTAACTAACATTCTATTAAATTGAACTTATTAACTGATAACATACGCACTTCATGTATTGGATGAGAGCCTTGCGTAAAAGTAATAAATTTAAACGTTCTTTGTTTTTATTTTTTTTTTGGATTTTCTTTCGCTTATCACTGACCTACTTAACTAATATTTCGAGCTCAAGAACTGTAGATGTGCGTATTGAATTACCTTTTTTTTTCAAAAGTTCGTCGACTTTTTGCATGTCAAAGGAAGCCTTTTAAAGAATTATTCGCTCTTCTTTAGGCATAAATAAATATGTAGCGACTTGAAAAGAATATTAAAGGAGCCCATAACGAATGTTAAAGGAGAACTTCTCACGTAACAATCGCAAACTTTTAAGTCTTCATACGGTTTGCTAATTTTTTTTTTAACTGTTGAATAATCTTACAGGTTTTTTGGGGATTTTGTTATTTATTTTTTTCCCCTTCATACAATCTCAATGTTTATTTATTAATTATGTAATTCGTAATTCCCACATAGGAGATCTCAAAGCTCGTCACAAATAGAAGAAGAAAATAACTTCGTCTTGTGTAATCAAAAAGAAGGTTGATGAATTTAACTTCTGAATGTTCACATCAAATTCCGTGAGAATGATAAGAGTTGTTAAGTGATAAGACATTAAGGTGTGAACATTTCGGTTCTGGTTTCCACTGAAATCATATGATAACAAACATTTTTTTACCTCTAAAAATCTTCTTATCAATATTTATAAACACAAGCAAGGCGACGCTATAAATCATTAGGACACAAAACTTAATTTTCGGCGTCAAAAAAAAATTCGCAATTTTTCTAACACTTAATTTAAAAACTGTGCCATAATAATTTTTGGACAGATTAGCGCCCGTAGAAATGTAGGTTGTTCTTGATAAGATGACGACGGGTGTAAGACTTTTAATCTGATAAGCATATAGAAGTAGCTGACGTAATCTAAAATACTTGACGATATAATTCCTTTTATATACGTTTTTTTTGTGCAGGAAACACTGAATCAGCGTCTGGACGCCAGAATAGATTCAATGGTTAAAGATGGACTGCTGAAAGAAATAAGAACGTTTTATGACGAACATGTGAGTGATCGGTAAGCATTTCTTAAGAACTTCTTAATAACTTGACATCGACTAATTAGTTTGACATTAAAATCAACAGCAAATTAGCGCAGAAACTTTACAAAAAATTTGAATTTGCGTCTTGACATTGAAAATCGATGTTGAAATTTCTTTTTTATCTGGAACAAAATTTTAATTTGTTTAAGAAAATTCCAAGAAGCGTCGCGATGTATTTTTACTTTTCATATGTCAATTTATCATCACAAACAGAAATTCGTATTACTCATCGTGTTTTGCATTTTTTTTTATCGCCCTCGTGCAACGTTTCAACGAATTTACTTTAGCAAATAATAAAATAAAATTACTCTTCCAGTTTTGTTTATCATTCCTTGCTTTGCCATTGAAATGAACTTCTTGGAAGTTCAGTTAAGTTTGAGAGCGCAATTATTACCTTGAAAGTATTTTATTTACAAAGAAGTTCAATTCATTCATTGAGTTTGAAGTTGCGCGCGTTTTCATGGTTTTATTTTTATATCAAAACATATTTTCACAGCAACGATATCGATTATGAAAAAGGCGTTCTACAAACGATTGGTTTCAAGGAATTCATACCATACCTGGAAGCATATGATAAGACAAATGACGACTTGATTGATCATTTTGTTAATGCATCCGAGTCATGTGAAAAACCACAAGGTTGGAAGATGCTTGAAGAATGTTTGGAAGAATTGAAACTCGTCACAAAGAGATATTCAAAGAAACAATTAAAGTGGATAAGAAATCGCTTCTTAGGTCGAGATGTTGGAGCAGTTCCACTTGTTTATCCTTTAGACACGAGTGACGTTAAACTTTGGAATGATAATGTCATGAATCCTGCATTTGAAGCTGTCGAAGATTACTTAAATGAAAGGTCAATAAAAATTCATCCCGTGGAGAAGATTCAACGACTAGTCGAAGGATCTAATGAAGAAACGTCATTTTTCTGCGATGTCTGTAAACGAGTTTTTATTGGCGATTATCAGTGGAAGCTTCACATGAACTCAAACAAACATAAACGTGCAATAGCTGGAATGAAAAAACGGGAAAAGCTTCTACAACAAGAAGCAAATGTTGCCAAAGAAACGACTGATAATTAACATCTAGAGTTCGATGGGCTATCTCATCCTTGTAGATTCATTTATTTGTTGTATAACTCATTCATATTGTTTTAACTTACAATAAATACTTTTCTTATATCTCATTCGTTATTTGTCTCATTATATATTTAATAATTTTAGTGTTATCAGTTTTCTTCTTCATGTTGTCTAATGCGCTACAATTAAAATCACAACAATAACGTATAGGTAGGTAATGATTAGCTCAAATAATTTCGGAGCTTGCATAAGGATTTCTTACTTCATTTTAAATATTTTCTTTTAAAGTGTTTCTATGAACTGTTGTTGAGATTATGCAGGCAGATTTCACTCTTCTGAATACGTATGTACATCATTTATGAATATTGTCACTTTTTATTTGATCTGCTTTGAAGTCTGTAGCATAGAATAAATATTCAAGTTCGTAGACTTCAGCGTACGATAAATTATTGTCTTGACTCAACGTTAATTCGTTGATGATTTTGTTAAGTTTTTAAATTTAGTCGCGATGTAAGCATGAAAAATTCCTTTTCCAAAGGCGAGAGTTATGCTTTTATTGGACGAAATCAAATGAAAATTTAATGCTTTAAATGAACATTTTGGCTTCATGATAACATCAAATTAAACATACAACATGCTAATGTCAACAGATGGTTTTCATTTAGAACACATCATGATTCAATTGAAATTATTTGGAAGAAAAAGAATAAAAACATTCAGAAATAAAAAGAAGCTTCAGGTGAAAAAGTTCAAAGCGTCATAAGCAGCTTAAAAATATTTCAAAATAAATCATAAATGGTTCGAATTTTTCATTTTTGTATGATTGACATTTCACATTTCTCTATTTTTTGAATATTTCCTTTCATTTTCAATAAAAGATTTCTTAGGATTTTTTTGAAAAAGAAAGCCTTACACATTATGGAACTTCTTAATAAACATTTATAGTCAAATTTAACTGCTAAACTTTTTATGATCAGTGCATGAATGTTTAAAATTTAAAATATTATAACAATCAAAGCGATTTAATGAAGAGAAAACTAAGCATTATCGATTATTTAATTAACAAAGTCAATGGCAAAACAATCAGCATAGACATTAATCTCTTTTAACATGATTATCACATTTACAATTATTGTTTTCAATCTTCTTTTTGTATCGATTAAATCGCGCACCGTAAACCGTGAAGTAATGAATTTATGTTGATGATGTTGGTCCGAATAGGATTTCCATTCGTTACAAGAACTTTTCTCCATGAATTTCTCTTTCAGATAATGCAAAGTTTTCCATTTATTAAATGTTTGCAACAATTCTCCATTTCGAACCAGCATCTTATGTCTATGATTATATTAGTGGAACAACAGCTATCAAATTTATCCAATAACTTCATTTGGAACGTAAACAATGAGATTTATTTATGTTAAGCATTGGAATCGAATAAAATTTTGAATTAAATAAGATATGAATTTTGTTTGTCATAAACTTTGTATCATGTCGTAACTAGATTACTTTGATATGAAATCTTACTCATCTTCTTGAAGAACTTCTTCTTGATTTGCCAAGAACGTTGGTAAGCATAAGCCTTCAGTTCCATCAGGTCGAAAGCCGAAAACCATTTGCTCAAATTCGGTGGGTTCATGTGGGACGATTCCGTTAACATCACGAAGTTCAGCAGAAGGAAACCAGGCTGGATCGGAATCTTCGACAATTCTTATTCCGACTAAACGACACAACGCTACACCAGGTATCCATAATATTGCAATACCAATCAGAACAACAGCAACAAAGATGCACCAATGTGGCCAATCTTTCTCTTCTGTCGCTCCTATTTCTGCCACCCACGCAGGGTAATGCGAACCTTCAACTATTAAATTCATAAACGAAGCGAAAAGAATTGTCAACATTGCGATTGGGCTGATGTACTTCCAGCATAACATCCAATAAATGTGTGGTCGACTTCCAGTCATCAATTCGATGTCATCAGAAAATCTTCTTAAGCCGTAAACGTAACTCACAGCAATACACTTTGAAAGTGAAGAAAATTTTGTTTATTGAAAAGAATTTTACTTGAAAGTTGAATATTTATTTACCTCAAAAAATGCAATAATGAGAAGCGTGTAGTTCCCAGCGAAACTATCCATCAATTGAAAAATGTAACTTCCAGCTCCATTTGCAAAGACGAGTGAAAGAATGCAACAAGATGCGCATAAAATCTGATGAAGATGATTCATCAAAATATGTTGAAATGTTAGAATGAAAACAAAAATAATGAAATGAACGAACACCTTGGAAACTTTTGATCTTTCAAATGTTAACAGTTTAATAAGAAAATGAAATTTTCTTTCTATTTCAATGAAACATTTTGAAACTCACCATGGTGATTTTGTCTTTCGGTAAATTAGGAAACAATTTCATATCCACTAGTGATGTTATGACGCCTTCGAGTGTTCCAAATTGAGAATCAATTCCCAATGTAAACAACATAAGGAAAAATAAAACAGCCCAGATTTGAGCACCTGGAAATTGATTGATTGCTTCTGTAAAGATAATGAACGCTAAACCAGTGCCTGAAACACTTCCTGACAATTCAGCTTCCAAGCTGCAATTCTCAGGCTTATCAGGTAATTGAAGTCTCATTCTTTTGTCGTTTCTTTCGAGACAACTATTATAACTTTGTGTTGCTTTGAAACCGATGATGGAGAAAACCACAGTGCCAGCAAACCTGCAACGAAAAATGTTATTAAATAACTTTTTTGATTTCTCTTACAAAATATTTACATTGAAGTGCCACAGTTTGTGAACGACACAAGTAATGCATCACGGTAACAGTTGTTGTTGGCCGGATTATAAGAACTGAACGCAATAAGTCCACCGAATGCTAATCCCAATGAGAAGAAGATTTGAGTGCCAGCTTCAAGCCTTGGAAATATAAAAATAAATCAATCTCAATTTCATCTTCGATGCTATTTTTATTTACCAAACATTCGGATCTTTTAATAAATCCCATCTTGGAGTAAATAAATGAGCGATACCATCCGTTGCACCATCCAATGTAATTCCACGAAAAAAGAAAATAATCAGCACAACATAAGGAAAAATTGCAGTGACGTAAACGACTTTTCCACTCTCAGTGATTCCTTGAACCATACACAAATAAATTAAAGTCCACGCAATGACAAGAGATAATCCAATTGGATAATTAAATGATTCTGGTTCATCCACATTTGGTGATACCATAAGTGTCGATCGATACCAATAATATTGGGTTGGTGATGAATCCTTGGAGATGAATTTATTAAAATTTCTATCCTCATTTGCTATTTAAAGTTACTTACAACACATTCTTTCTCAAAGTAATACGTCATGTTACTTGTTATGAATCTTTTTGGACATTCATGCCATGGTCTGAAGAGAAGAATTAGAAGAATTAATCAAAGGAGATTGAAAATAGTTTTAAAACTTACAAAGGATTTTCGAAACTATGCAGAAAGTATATAAGACACCAAGCGATGATTGTATTGTAATAAAGAGCTACGATGAAACTAACGATTGCTGAAGAAATTCCAATTCCACCAAGATACGGAGACACTTCATTCCACACACCAATAGCTCCTTTTCTTAATCGTTGACCAATTGCTAGTTCAAGGAAGAAGATGGGCAGGCCTTGAATGAACAACATTATGAAGTAAGGGACAAGGAAAGCCCCCCCGCCATTCTTTTGGGCTAAGTACGGAAATCTCCAAACATTTCCAAGCCCCACAGCGTATCTAAATTTAAGAAAAAATTCTTTGAGATTGTAAATGTGATGAGATGGAAAATCTTACCCGATTGTAGCCAAAAGGAAAGTAATTTTACTGTCCCAGCTTTCTCTTTCATCGCCTGGCGCATCATCAGCGATAATGTCACTGTCTTGAGGCTGCTCATCTGCAGCAGGTAAGGTCACCTGAGGCTCCTCAAAAATCTCCAACAACGAAGGTTGCTTATAATGACGTGTTGTAAGAACATCGTCTGAACTAAATGCTTGATTTGTTGCACCATAAAGCGGCCCTCGGCCACCTAGACTTTCTGCTCTGACCAGTTTTTCTTTCAAACGCTGTTTATTTTTATTAACAAGCATAAAGGGAATTGAAATAAGAAAAATAAATGTTTCACTTCGTTGTATGATGATGTTTGTACCTTTAATTCGAGTTCATCAAGAGTTTTTGTGTAATCACGATGACTTCCATTTAAATCTCTACTACTCTGGCGTCTAAAAAGATGTGCTGTATTCGCCATTCTCAAACTACTAAGGATAATTTGTATTTATGTTTGTGGTATGTCTTTAAGGATGTTTATATTGTACAATTAATAATATGACGAAACACGTTCTAGTTGGTGAATGTGAACAACATCATAAGTGCAAATATTGTGGTGCATTTAAAATAGAAAAGAAAAAATAGAAATTGATACAGATGGTGCAACTAAATATCCTCGATTCAGAATCATGACCTCGAAGTGACACGAAAATATTCCGTGACAAATTAAATCACATTCGAAGTCAGATTCTGAAATTGTGGTGGGAGAAATAAAACAGTGCAATGCGATACATGAATCAGCAGTTACACAATAATTACAGATATAATCACCTCGATTAACAGTAACGACTCCCAAAGAAATTAATAACCATTCATCATTATGCTTTTGTAAAGAATTGTAGACAACAGCAGCAAGGATAAGAAATCGATAAAAATTTTCTTTTATTTTATTTCTTTACTTGCAATAAAGGTGAGTTGTGCCTTTGTGAACTAAATCGTGTCTAAATCTTTCTTTTTCAACTAAATCTTCGAATGGATTTACAATCTTTCTATAATATTTATTCACTCCTGAGAGGTTGTTCTTACATAATTGCAATTTACACAAATTCTATCACAAAACTAAAATTTTTCGTGTCTTCGTGAAACGTAAAGGATTTGATTGGAGTTTTTTTTTTTGATTTTTGTGAAACGTGTTTATCAGGAATTAAAAACGAAAAGCGTTCAAGTTGTACTTGGTAAATGAATGAAAATAATTTATCACGAAACAAATTTTATATGCTTGCAACAAGTTAAAAATGAATAAAATTAAATTTTATTTTGATGATAAGCTTCTTTTGGCAACCCGAAAACTGAACGATGAAGATTTTTTACATTGAACATTTGTGCGCATGGCTTTTGAATTTGGAAAAAGCTCTTGAGATGAATAGCCCAGATGGTTTGAAAGAAAAACAAAACTGTGGTTATTTAATTATGAAACATGAGATTTTTTATTAGAAATTCTTGTAAAAGGGTTTCGATGTCCTTTGATAAAACAAGAGAGTTGAAAAAACTTTCATACGATTTGATGTCATCGAATGTCAAAGCGTTAAAATATTGAAACATGTTTGAGAATGATGAATCATATTGAAATATTACATCTGCGATTTCTTCGAGATATTGCGTTATTGGACGATATTTAACATTTCCTTTGATATCGGGATTGGATGTGGCATTCCAGTCAATAGAAAGCGAATTACTCTGAAGATCACGAAGCAGCTGGTTGAGATTATTAAGCTCGTTTCTTATATTTTTCCTGAAATAAATGTTACACTTTAAAAGCTCAATCTTCATGAATAGATATGAATCTAACTTACATTGATAAATAAATTGAATTTGATGTTTCTTGAATGGTTACAATCATTTCACAAAGAAGTTCTTCCTTTTGAATTTCTGGGTAAGGATCATTCGCAATACTGAAATAGAAAGTTTTACTACTGTTACTCATACAAAATATGAAACTACCTTTGTATTATATTATATCGAGCTATCAAATTCCATAAATCTTTAGCCAGTTTTCTGTTTTCTTCGAGAGATTGTGAAAATAATTTGTTGAAATCTTTTACTCTTTTTAACATCAAAACAATTGATTTCACATAATTATCCATAAGATTTTCGTTGCTCGGTGATGAAATTGACAAAGATGTGGAATCAGATGAGGCTGCCATAACTAATTTAATTTAATATCAACAATTTTTAAAAATGAGGAAACTTTTGTTAAACTTGTTTATTACTTTCATAGTTTATATAAAAATATTGCGCATAGCGATGCAAGCATGTAAAATTTAAAATGATTTTGGTCGTTATTTTTGTTTCAATATTTTCAACATTTTTTCAATGAAGAATTAGGAATGATAATTGATAATGAAGTTTTCATAACATCATGAAAATATTTTGCAGATTAATTGGAAATAAACTATCTAGTGGATATCTAGAATCAATTTGATATTCTTTTTTCGATATCAACTTCAGCACTTCATTCTTATCGAAGAATTTAGAAGCAAGGGGAATGAATTGACGGAAAATACGATTGACATCATCAAAAGTGTAGAAAAAAATCGTCAACATAAAAATAGAAAATGAACTTGTTAGCTATACATTTCTGTATATTTGTTCTATTAATTGATATCATAGACTCAGTTGAGTTGACATTTGAATTGCCTGATAATTCGAAGGAATGTTTCTATCAGGAGGTTTTAAAAAACCGATCGGCAATTCTTGAATATCAAGTGAGTAATTATTAAATATTTCAATCGTTGCTGACGAGACAAATTAACGAGAGCTCTTTAGGTAATTACAGGTGGACAATACGATGTGGACGTAGAACTCTTATCTCCAACTAAAGAAATAATTTATCGGCAAATTAAAAGTCAGTTTGATTCTCATCAATTTACAGCTCCTGTAAGTTTACAAATTTCCTCATCATTTCAATATGAAACATAATTTATGCAAAACATTTTCTTTTTATTTTAGAAAACGGGTGTTTATGCTGCGTGTTTTAGCAATGAATTTTCAACATTCTCTCACAAACTGATTTACATGGACTTCAGTTTAACTGAAGAAGTAAATCCGCTTCCTGGTGTCGATGAACATGCAACAGTTCTTACACAAATGGAGCAAACAGCTCAAGAAATTCACAAAAGTTTAAACGCTATTCTTGATTATCAAACGCATCATAGATTGCGTGAGGCACAAGGACGAAAGCGAGGAGAAGATCTCAACGAGAGGGTTCTTTGGTTCAGCATCATTGAAACATCTGCAATGCTTATTATCGCAATCACTACAGTCATTGTGCTAAGGTCATTCTTCACAGAAAAGAGACCAAGTCAAATGAAATATGGGCGCCTTGATGGACGTTAGTTACATGTTAAAATCAATTCTGTGCTTATCTTGAATTTGCTTTATTTCTCGAAATGTTTCAAAAAACCATCCAAACATAAAACATTTCTCTGCTTTCGATGCTGACGATTTTAGTTGATTTATTGTGTATTTTTTTTTTCATTTTTAATTCATACAAATAGCGAAATAAAATTAGAATATCTTCGCCTTCTTACAATCATCAATCGATGAATCCCTAAGACAAAAGTTTTTTTTAAGTTCTAGAACATTAAAAGAGAACAAGCAGAGTAAAGATGACATAAACGACAGCGCATGGATAAGCAATGAGAAATCTTTGGTTTTGATCACCGGTCATGAGACAAAATATTCTTGAAGACGCTGTTGTGCTTAAAAGAACAGCTGCACCAGCCAATAAAATTCCAATTTTGTTGTTTAGCGAGAAAAATATTCCAGGAACACTCAACCAGACTATTGGTAAGATGCTGTATCCTAAAATGCTGGCAACACTTGTTATTGAGATATAATTACGTACATCGTTGAGTGTAGTTGACATCAGCTTCATTAAGACATACATAAACATCACAGAGAGTAATGATAATCCATAAACATATCCAAACATGTCTTTTCCCGAGTCAGAAAGGAAAAGACAAAATGCAAGTGCTAAGTAGAAACCAATAGGACCAGCTAAATCTGTTTCCTTGAAAAAGAATTCAGGATCATCAGCAAGACCTTTTGAATGAAAAGGATTTAGTACTGCAAGAGATTTTTCCACAATTCTTGTTGGATTAATTTCTAACTCTTCAAGCAACGGCGGTTCGTCTTCATCATATCCTAAGTGATCTTTCAATTCATTATTTTTTGTTTCAAATGTTGGTGTAAATATATTTGGTTGAATTTGAGATGGATTTGGTGACGCATAGGCATCCGCAAATGGTGACGAAGGATAGAGATTCGATGAATTATATTGATAGTTGTTTGGTGATGATTCAAAATTTTGAAATTCTATGTAATAAAAATTTTATTATTCAGATTTCAAATGAAGAGTTGAAATAAACTTACCTAAATTCTGTGGGTACTCTTCAAATCCATACGGAAATTGTTGATCGTACGTGGCCATAGCGAAATAAGTTTTTTCATTAAAATTTTGAGATCAACAAAAGATAATTTTCCAGGGGTGTGAAATTTGAGAATTGTGTAAAAATGTGTTAGAAACAAACTGACATACCCCTCGAAGACGAAATTTAGCTCTAGAGCACTCTCAAATTTTTGCGAAAAAACAATTATTTATCCGTGAAATAATGTCCTGAAAGTTTCGAAAAACATCTGCAGTTGTTTCATTATTATTTTTGTTTCCATTTCTTTTATTTTACGAATGACGAAGAAGTGAAAACCAAATTGAACCGTCATAATATTTTTTCTTCTGTAATTTAAGTTATATTTTTGTGAAAATATCCAATCAAGGCGATAGAAACCAGAAAAGGTAAACATTATAAGTGAATTGACGAGAAAAACACAATTGAAACCATGTATTCAACAAGATATGTTAAAGTGCCACTTTGGAATAGTTTGTGTACAATAATTTTAACATCCAGTCTTTTGATTGGATTAGCAGTTTGTAGTGACAGTGAAAATAATGCAAATAGAAGAATACCTCCAAGTGGTTCTGGAAGCGGAGGATTAGAGAAACGTAGCAGTTTTGCTGTTCTTTCGCAAGCAATGTCCGAAACTTTCAACAGTGAAATCGGAAGTAAGTAAATATTCGATGTTTCCATCATTTGCATGAATGATGATCGCACAGAAGACGGAGAATATTTAGTATATAGCTGTTAACAAAAGAACTTATTTTTGTACTTTTGATCTTAACTTCAAACAAGTGGTTGAACGAAAAGTATGTTTGTTCGATCATCGTCCAATAAAATCGCAATAACTTAAAAATTTGTTTGTGATCTTCAAATAGATATTTCTAAATGCAGATTCATGTGATCCAAATTAATGTGCGCATAAGATTAATGCGGTAAACCTCAAAATATCATTGCATATTAAAAGAAAATAAATAATAATTTAATTCTTTGACAATGTTTGTTTTTGTAAATACTTTTGATGATTAATGTTTCGTCTACGATTGTAAGATTCCAAAGCCGAATGTGACTAAACAAACAATTCGATTCGTTGAAATATTCCATCAACACATCTTGATAGAAATCTCTGCAAAGTCTCCACGAAACAAGTGAAAAAGAAAAATATTTTTATACACATCGAAATGTTACAAATAGTTTCACTTAATTATTTTTAATTTTTATTAATTGAATGTGATAGTGTGTGACTCGGCACTTCTTCATTTAAAAGTCATGTAAAATGTGCATGTAAAATTTCTCTTGAAAGGATTTCTATCAATTTTGTTCTCTTTCAACAAGTTCAATCAACAAGAAAAAATCGATCTAGTGAACTGTAAAATCATCTCTTGGAATCAAATGACTCAGATGATCATAAAAATCTCAAAAAATAAAAAGATTCGCTCATATTTAAATAAATATGTTACTGCTTCACACTGAGGTTTAACGACTTATTCGATTTCATAAACAAAAAAAAAAAAGATTTAATTTCCTTCATCTTTGAATACATATTTGGCGTGAAATTCGTTTATAATTTCTTCCCGAAAGAAGAATGTGAGAAGTTTGCATGTTTGAACAAAAAATTAGATTCCAAGGTATTGCATAGGAGGAGTCATTGCGTTTGAAGATAAAACAAGCATCATTAGATTGCATCAAGTGTAACAAAATCATATTTTCAATCAATGTGCTTACTTCTCTCATTAGAGGAAGTAAAGTGTTGCGTATGTATTGAAGGGCACGTTGATTTGAACAATCACATCACGGTCACGTGGGAAAGTTTCGAGTTATTCAAGATCATTTCGCACTTTCTAATTAAAACAATAATTAACTTTTCTTAAATGGAATAAAGAAACCATAAACGTAATGTAATAAAAGTAGAAGCTTTTATTAATCTTCTTTATCTTATCACGTGTAAACATTTGGCACACTTCATGCGCTTTATAAAGACCGAAGTTTACTTTGTAACAACAAAAATTCATTAGTCGTTATTCATAGCTCTCCTAAGCGAGATTTTATTTATGTGTTAAACTGAGATTATTCATACATGTTGCAAATTGAAGATAATTTCATCCGATAGGTATCTAATTTTTAAAACTGAAACAAAAAGAAACATTTAAAGTTGTGGTTTCAAAAACTTCTTCCATTTTATTAAAATATCTTATTACTCTTTCGATGCTTGTTAATTTGATTTTTAAAATTCGATTAATTATTTTTATATGTTTCAGAAAAATTCCACAATCATTCAATATGTCAAACAAAAATATTATGAAAAGGAAGTAAATGCGTGTCTGATAATTCTTGTTAAACTGTTAAAAATGTTGTAGTTTTTTGTTTACTTTCGAAATATCTACTTAAATATTTAAACTTTGGATAGTATTACAGTTTTCAAAAAATTGACAAGAACATCGAAAAATTACAATCGAAATGGAGAACATTAATTTCTATATCACTTCTGTCCATTGCTCTTTAGGAAAAAGAAAGAATGAAAGTTATAATTTAAAGCAAAATAATTGAGACACGTTGCAGTATATTGAGTCATCGTCATTGTTATTCCATTTAAATGTTAAGTAAAGTTAAGGATATTTTCGGAGGAAATTCCTTTAAAAATTGAGCTTTTCTTATGCACCTAAAAGTGCTTTTATCTCAGGCTTTTCAGCTGCATCAACATAACTTGTCCCATCAGGCGCAGTTCCAGTTCGGGAGGCGCCCTAAAACATTTTCCAATTTTAGTTTAGTGTGCGAATTTATAAAAAAGAAATAAAAAATATACAAATGCACATAAGCAATTAGCATTGTCATTAGCACCGAACTACTTACGCTGTTGATCAAAATTTTAACACAGTTTGTGTGCCCTTCCCAGATAGCAGCAAGTAGTGCAGATATTCCATGTTTATCAAGTGCCTAAACAATAATAGAATATTTTAAATTAAACATTACGTGTGGAAATTTGGATTTGCGTAAATTTGTGAAATAAAAAAGTTTCGATACTTGCATTGACATCTGCACCTTTTGAGATCAAGTAACTAACGACATCGCTTTGACCATAGTCAGCTGCGTAATGAAGAAGCGTTCTTCCATTAATATCTTGATTGATTTGAATGTTCTGTGAAGTTAAATGATATTTTAAGTGATAAAAATCTATTTTTCCCCTCGTCAATTTCAAGGTCGAAATAGAAATTCCGAATTTTATTTTATCATACATAAATGGTTATTTCAACTAACCTGTGAGTCAACAATTGATTTCAAATCGTCAAGTTCACCATTTTTTACCTTCAAATATTGTGAAATGTGATAATTTCTTTGAAAATTTCATTGCAAATTTATTTACCGTCCAGATTAAATTTTCCATTTTACTTTCCTATGTCGTTATCTATACTCAAACCTTTTATGAAATGCAACTCTGAGATTTGACACACAAAGTATAGAACAAACTGGATAAATGCAATTAATATTAACTGTTATGTTTTGCGGTAGAGAAAATATCTTTAACTTTTGCGGATAAATAAAACTGACTCATACTACTAACATCATTGATAGCTGAATAACTAACATTTACAAACATTTCAGCAATTCAAATCATTGATGTTCGTTAAATTAAACTGTAAAGTAATTGAATTTATATATTATGTTTTTCTCTTCAAAGGTGCAGCATCCGGCTCGGAATCGTGCACTATTGATGATTTCGATTGTCCAACTTATTCCGATCAAATAGGTTTGGAAGCGATTCGGTCATTGCATAGACAATTAGATGATGATGACAATGGCGACATAGACTTATCAGAATCGGATGATGTATGGCTAATTTTTTCTCTCTGTTCTTTAACTATTCCTTAATTAAATTTTATAGTTTCTTCGCGAGGAACTGAAGTACGAAGGTGGCTACGAGAAACGTCATCGGGCGTTCCACTTCAACGACGACATGCACATAAGTGTCAAAGAATTGTGGGAAGCTTGGCTTAAATCGGAAGTACATAATTGGACACTTGATCAAACCTGCGAATGGTTAACACAAAGCGTACAACTTCCACAATACGTTAATTTATTTAAAAAACATAAAATAACAGGAAGCGTTCTTCCACGATTAGCTGTCAATAACTTGCACTTTGTTAGTAACGTTCTTGGTATTAAAGATCCAATTCATAAGCAAAAAATAGCACTTAAAGCAATGGATGCGGTTTTATTTGGCCCTCCAAGAGGTAATGATTGGCTTGTTTTTATTTTTGCTGTTTAATTAAAAAGCTAACATAATTTATTTGTGATACAGAAACGGGCACAAAATGGAAAGACATTTTCTTAGTTGCACTATTGTTAACGGCTATAATTGGCAGCTGGTATGCCTATCAACAAAATAAAAATGCAAAAGGTCATTTAAAAAGGATGGCACGTGATATGGAACAATTGCACAAAGCTGAGACAGAACTCTCTAAAATGCAGACTGAACTTGAACAAGCTCGATTGGAACAAGAAAATGTTGGGAAAGAGAAAATGGACCTTGAGAGAAGATTGAAGGAAGCGCCATCATTGAAAAGTTCCAGTTCGGAAGTTGAATTGCAACAATTAAGACAAGAAATTGAACTTCTTCGGAACGAGTTGTCACGTGCGGAAGTTGAACTCATAGATCATCATTGGACACCTCCAGCTGGTCTTCAACATTGGCTTCAACTGACTTATGAACTTGAAACAAGAAGTCATCAAAAGAAAAGAATTGCAGCTGAAAGTCAATTGTTACAAGCTCGGGAAGCTTGTGAAAAGTTAAGAAAGAAAAGATCAAGTTTTGTTGGTGCCTTCGTTTCAACACATGGTAAAAGCATCGATGATGTCGATCGCACAATTGTTGAAGCACGCAATTCGCTAAGCGAAGTTACACATGAACTTCAAGAAAGACTTCATCGTTGGAAACAGGTCGAGACACTGATAGGATGTCCTATTGTTAATAATAATGGAATTGCCTTCCTGGAAAATATGCTTTATCGTTCAAATGCGTCTAGTAAAACTTCAAGGGGTGAGAATGAAAAGAATTTCAAAGTTAAAGAATTAAGTTTTATTATTTTAATTGATCACAGGTCGAATCACAAGCAGTCAAGATGATCTAGACGATGATTCCATCCAAGGTAAGAGCATTGCGTTCGACAACTTTTCCATGTTCTCATCAGAATAAAGAAGCAAAAGTGCGAAGGAAACTTTTGAGTCCCTCGAATGATTTTATGTTAACAACCTAAATATCTTTTATTCTTGCTTCCTCAATTGCATTATTTTTCATAATAATATTAAAGATGATATTTTTAAACTTGCCTCCTCCCCCACATTTTATTCTGTTTGTGTTTTGACAGCGTACATAATTTATCGATAAGTTTTATAAGAATAGAAAAGTATTCGACGTTTACAGCGGTTTTTCTTAATGATTGATTCCATCTCTTCTTAACTTTTCTCTTCAAATCTTTTCATCATTAAATGCTGCATGGAAATTTCAAAAATTACTTGAATTAAATGCATGCATTATTAAGATTCTTATTTTGTATCTCGATTGATTTAACTTCTTTAAGGCTTTTAATTCGTAGAAGTTTTTTATAATGTCAGACCCTTTTTTATAAAATTCTTGCATTTTTATCTTGAAAGATTTTTTTAATTTTATATAAAAAATATAAAAAGTGAAATTGACAAATTGAGAAGACAAATGAGTTCAATTTAATCAAAAACTTTTTGTTTTCATCTTCAATTTGTAGAGTTTTTCTTTATCTACTTTAGTCAATTGTTGATCAAATGTGTAATGAACTGCGAAACTGGTAAAAATTGGGGTCTGCTTTATATTAGACAATGACAGTGCTTTAACGAGTGATGCTTTTTAAAACTTTTCATTTATTTACTCATGATTTTTCTTTTACTTGATTCAATAGTGCAATAAATACATTTAAGGTCATCACTCGTTCATGGCATGCATGAAAATTAAATCGAAACTTTCGTCACAAATTTAAACACTTTTTCTTTCATAATCTTTTCAAACTCATGCAATTTTAGTCCATCGTGTATCTATCTAGAAAAAGTTTAGCATCTTAAGAGAGGTTCACATTGAGGAAAATTGTTATGTAAACGTTTAATCTACTTTCAATGAGTCTCAAAATCTCATGAAATGACAACGTAATTAAATAATCAAGCAAAAGCAAACGATCATTGTTACTTAAAAAAGGATAATCAAATACTTATTAAATTGTGATTTTTTTTGTTTGAAAGAAATATCTTCAAAGATGAGTTCTTAAATTTATAAAACCAGATTTTGTTTGATAGAAATAAAATATTTTTGAATAAAATAAAAACTCCAATATTTCATTTAAAAATCAGTTAATTATTTATTTATTTTTCTAATCTTATTTCTCAAGACTTCATAATCCAAACTTCGAGTGTTAATTAACAAGTTTAATTGTTTCACTTTTTTTCTAATCTGTTTACTTCATGCAACCCAAAAACATACAAAAAACTTTCTTTGGACATTACAAACTTCAAATCATATTCATTTTAAGATTTCTTCCTCTAAACAGGTAAGAAAGAAACCATTTAAATACAAAAATAATTAATAACACGACGCTTTTAATTGCATGACACAATACGTTCAATAACAACACAAAACAGTGACAAAAGTTTCGATATAATTTTTCCTTCTGTTAACTTGCTTAAATTAAATTAAATAAATTACAATTTTTGTAGTAACTTGATTTTATTTACAGTTTCAATTTTTAATTAATTTATTATTTCAAATTGCTCCCAACTTCTTTAATATTCGACCAAACAAACCAAAACAAAATCTAAATTCTTAAAGGTTATCTCACCGACGTTAATAAATATCTAAGAGAAAGGGACGAATCTTCTGGCAGTGATGACGATCGCGATCATGAATCGGTAACTTTTCTTGTTGGTGGAGGTTACGAAGATCCACCAACATTGACGACCACTGTCTCACCTCCAACTATTCAGACTTTGACTACTTCGAATTCTGTAAACCCCATGAGAACTTCTATGTCTTATCCCATTCAGTTGATGCATCAAGGGAGTTCTTTAGAAAGGTAACAACAAAACAGAAACTTAGAAAGAAAGAAATGTTGTCTCAAAGTGTTCCGAAATAAATTTTTGTATTCAATCGTAACAGTAACAACAATTCGAATGAAGAAACGCGTTCAAATATTTCTTCATCGTCGGAAAAAACTCTTCCACCGGCACCACCTCGAGCTAAAAAGCAAATATCTTTTCCTTTAATTCCCGCTCAAAGTATTCAAATGACAAGTCGCGCACCAATGCCACCACCTCGTCGAACCACAACAAATCCAAAGTAAGTCGCGAAAATGGGAAAACAATTTCGTTATTTATGTAGAATTATTTATTTGTGTTGGTTATTTATAACTCCATTTAATTCATTATTTTAATATTTTTCTTATAAATTTTAATTTTTTTATTTGTTATGTCAAC